CCCCCCCCCCCCCCCCCCCCCCCCCCCCCCCCCCCCCCCCCCCCCCCCCCCCCCCCCCCCCCCCCCCCCCCCCCGGTGGGTCCATTGCTTGTGATCCAGTCAATTGATAGACTAGTATCCGTGCAGGAGGGAGAGGTAGCGAGCTGCGTACTGGATGATGGACTGGACGGGCCTGCCCCCAGTGCCCCCCTGCAGCATTCAAAGTTCGCAGGCACAACTTACATGGGCTCGCTCATAAGGCTCACAGCGGACTGGCGTGGTGGTCCATTCATTGCCTGCCGTGCTGGTGCGCCATTGGCCAGCAAAGCAACCGAAATACGGGGTCCAGTCCAGTCCCGTCCACTCCAGTCCCATCACCGGCTCCTCCGAGTTACCCTGTTGGAGAAATACGGGCAGCCAACTACAACTACAGTAATTAATTCATCAAATCATTCACGGCCATCCGTTCCCCTTCCAAAGTTCCAACATCAAATATGCACAAGTAGGGGTAGCTCTATATAGATCTTGGACTTGTGTCAGTTTGCGAATGTCCGGGTGAACAGTTTCAGTCTCTCTTGGCCAATGGCGGATTCATCACTTGTTGTCCGTTCTGCTTCGATATCCATTACAGGTACAGTGAGTGGCACGAGACGAAGAGCCATGCCATCAGCCAGAGACATCGCGCAACGTATATGTCTGTCTATGTCGCCCGGCATAGACTGGGTCATGGTTCTTCCCGCGTCGTGTCATATGTTCCGCTTGACACCAATTCGCCGCCGTCCTGGATACGTGCATGCACGGGCCGCACGCGCCGGCATTGGTGAGGCTGGTCGATAATGGGCACCCTATACCGCAACCGAACGCTTGAGCCAAATTTGAAGCCAGTCCACCATCCTTCGCAATGACGCACGGCCGCTGCCGATGCTCGGATCAAGACATGATGACTCTTATAGTACACAATGGTCAATGGATAGTTGCGGCAAAATCGAGACTGGACTGCCGTCGGGTCTGACCGCCACAGATCCGCTCGCCCTGCGGGATCTACCTTACACTAGCAGCATCTCGGGCAGATTGGCCCGACCTCCCTCGACAGCAAAACAGGGACATGCTTCCAGTCTGTTCTATGCATTGAGCTGCTGGCAGTACGCACGTCTATCTTCCACGTCGGGTACGTACGTACGTAGTACTCGAAGCGTTGTTTTTCTGCCACTTGCCGCCGAGGTGTTCCGTCCAAGAAGAGCGGTGAAGGGCGGGATGAGCCGTTCCCACGCCGACCATTTCTTGCAGCGAATCAGGATTGCACGCACGCCGGCTGGCGAGGCGCTTGTGGCGTTTGGGAGGCTCGAGGCCGAGTGTGCGTTCGTCTTGGTGGACAGCAAGAAGATACCTGCGTGAGTGGCGCGTCGGTGCCCAGGCCCACATGTACCACCGCCAGTCTCATGCATCTTGCCTCGAGACAGACAGCTCACGCCACGTCTGTGCTGCAGTTGCCCCAGTTGGGCCTCGCCGCATGAGCAGGCGTCGTCAATGCTCGCGTGTTCGCCGGCGCAGATTTTCAAGATTGATTGACTGTTTGTCCAGCTGAAGACCTAAGGAAAGGGGGCGGTCGTGGACAGCACCAGACTCGGGCAATGGTTGAGTACGGTCACCAGACTTTACCTGGTATCATCAGTTCAATCTGGCGCAGCAGCCGCTCAGCGATTGGACCCCGCATTGCTGGACATTGGCGCCTTTCAGGGCACATCAGGTAAATACCATGCTTTCCTCACCAGCGACTGGATCGCAAGTCAGTCGGTGGATAGATGCGAACCGCGTGGGAATAAAAGACGACGCGCAGCTGCAATAGCAACCTGCATGCATGCAGCACGGAGACATCCATTCTGCATGTGTTATGTACGTAGTCGACTCCTTGAAAGGGCTGGAATAGGGCAAGGTTCGCTCATGGCGGGGTGCTTCTTGAGCTAGGGAGGTCCTCGAGGGCATCCGAGGGGCAGGCAGATTGCATCTTGTCTGGGAAGTGCGTCGAAGTAGATGAGTAGGTACCTTAGCCATGTCGAATCGAGGTTGCTCAATCGAGACTCCATCTAACGCTTTGCCTAATGCCGTCCGTGGTGGTGTGGGACACTGGACAGTCGTCCAGAATCTGTGTCTGGTGATGAGGTTTCGCCGTGTATGCCCCGCCCCCAGCCTCCTTTTCCGGCAAGCACCCAGGCGATTTAGAGGCAACAGGTCGCTTCCCAGACTATACGTACGGATACGTAGCAGCTCATCATGTCGGATGGGAGATAAAGTGGCCCCTCATGGCCTATGGGCACATTAGGTACCAATGAACCGACAAGATTCATGCAAGACAATTGTGACCGTGACCGACCAAGGGCCGATGTGAGTGAGGAATAAAGAGGTCCATGTACCCGCTCGCATGCGCCAACAACAACACGATGCTGCAGGACTTTATGCTCCTCCCTCGCCAGTTTTGACGACTTACTTTATCCATATCCTGTACTCATTCATTCCTGAGGAAAGGCACCTTGGCCAAACATTGGGAAAGGGAAGACTGGCGCATTTGTGAAGAGAGGTTCGTGCGACGCTCCGATTCGCCTGCGCAAGACGATCAGGGTGTCCATCGAAGCAAGGGCAGCCAGCGTCATTGGCTCCTTCCTCTCCATTGGCATCACCGCCTGTTTTGCAGCCCCGGGAGGGTGACAGCCAGTCAGTCACGCGCTCGGCTTGATTTATCTCCTCTTCTGTTGGACTTTTGTAACCTCTCGTTTATTCGTTAACAGAATTTTCTCCTCCATCTCGACGGCAGCCCCATCTGGCTACTTACAGAAGCAACGACAATCCGGGGGAGAAGGGTCCTAGTGACGACAGACTCGACAGGGACCAGGGCTCGCTAGACAGCGCGCGCGGGCAATCCAGCCCAGCCAGCGACTGCCGCCAGCTTCTCGCAGGCTTTTTTTGAGGTGGCGGGGAGGTACTGTCCCGGATACAACATTTGCGATATCCAGGGTTTAAGCCTTTTGCGCATCTCCATTCTTCCAAAGGAGCATTGTTTCTCGACGCTGCTCCATGTTGTAACATACGGCGACATTTATTCTTGCGCGCCACTACAGAAGCACCCCAACGCCACATCCCGGCGCATTAGACGAGCACCCAAGCCGTCTGCCCATCCTCGACACCGTCCTCGACGAATCGCTCTCGAAACGCGCATCGACAGCTTCTGTCCAAGCAGCTTCCATGATTGTAACGCCCCAAACACAGATCACGACCTCACGTTTCCACAATGGCCGCGGCCGAGGTGCTGGCGCTCACAGAAAGCTGCTTCGCAAACGGTCATGGCTGCCCGGCAACACAGCCCTCGCAGACTGGGTGGGGTGAGCGCTCGTTACGCGCCCAGCTGAGTTTGATCTCTCAGGCTTGGTCGCTGAAGAGGAGAACAATACAGGTACGTTGTCGCATGGTGATTCTGAAGCATTTTGACTTCCAACTTCCCCAGTCTTAGCCGCTGGAAACCGTCGGGGCCGCGTGCTCGGCTGCTCCCTCACGAGCGGCCCGCTCCAGGAACCTCCTCGCACGCGACCCCGACGACTCAGACACTTGAGCCACGGCCTGGCATTCGTACCATTGCTGACAATACATTCGTTGCTGCAGAAACTCTACACGTCACACACAACGCAGTGCGTCGAGAGGACCCTCATCGTCCCCGCCACATCGACAGTATGGTCTAGAAGAATACCCCGAGGCGCTGCTGAATCGTCAGCATCCTCCACACCCACCTTGGCCGACAAAGTCATGGACCCGAGTGGAACCGATACCTTTGCACGCCGACAGAATTACGCTTTCGATGCTTCAAGTCCCGCGCTGGGATCAACTTCATCTTCATCCCGAGATCGCCAATCCTCAAAAGACCTCTTGAGTGACCCCGCGTTCGACATCCTTCTCGACCTCAACTCGGAGGACGGCCGGCGCGCGCATGCGAAGAAGAAGAAGAAGGCTGCGTCAACACCGTTAAACCTTAACGACAACAACGGCAATGAGAAGAAGGACGATGCCGCTGGCGGCGGCAACGGCGGCAACGGCGACCTAGGCGGAGGCTCAGCTGGGGACGCCGGCGGTGGTGCTGGAGATGGTGGCAATGGCGGTAATGGTGGTGACAAGCCAGAAGACGATTGGGCTACTTTCAGCGGTTCCAAGGCCAAGGCCAACGGCGCGCCCCAGGTCGGAGGACTACCCGACATTCCAACGTCCGACTTTGGCACCGAAGCCTTCCAAGAGATCAAACTTGGCGACGATTCCGGAGGCAAGCCCGCACCTTAATTTTGGATCTACGAGTAATAACAATGATGTTGCAGGAACCTGGGGCAACAAATGGAACGGTGGCGGGTCGACCTGGGACTGGGCTGGAGGTGGAGGCGATTCAGGGGGAGGGGGCGCCAGCGGCGGCGGTGCGAGCCCCTGGGGATCCAAGCCTAAAGACCAGTCCTCATTTGCGTTTGGCTCGAAGAAGGAGAACGAGGGTAAGACGGAGCCCCCCTAGTTTGGACCAGTACGAAGCTAACGACAGTCCTGCAGATGAAGATTGGTTTGCACCGGGCGGAAAGAAGGACAAGAAGAAGATCAGCCTTCTGGATGAGTTCGGCACCTCGGATCCTCCGCCGGCTGTTCCAGACGCTCCGCCGGCGGACGACTTTTGGGGCGCCATCTCCAAGCCCAAGAAGGCGAACAAGAACAATGGTCTTTTCGATGACACTACTGACGCCCCCCCTCCTGTTACTGACGCACCAGCCGCTACGAGTATGGACAACGACTTTGGATGGGGACTTGGCACGGGTAAGAAGAAGAAAAACTCTATTTTTGCAGATGACGAACCCAAGGAAGAACCGAAAAAGGACGAAGGAGGCTGGGGTATGTGGGGTGCCGGGAAAAAGAAGAAGAACTCGATTTTTGCCGATGCCGTTCCCGAAGAACCCAAGAAGCAGGACGACATTTGGGATACTTGGGGCGCCAATTCTAAGAAGGACAAGAAACCGGCCGACGACCTCATACAACTCGACGATGCACCTGCGGCAGGAGGAGGCGGCGACGACGACTTCTTCAACTCATGGGGCAAGAACGAGAAGAAGAAGGACACTTTCTCCTGGGGCGAAGATAACAACGATGATTGGGATCTAAGCACCAAAAAGGACCCCGCAGGTAAGCCGCGGCACACTCGGGAAGTTTATGCATAGGCTGATAATCATTGTCACAGACGAAGCGCGCGAGGCCGAGGAAAAGGCAAAGGCAGACGCTGATGCTGCGGAGGCCGCCTCAGAGGAGGCGGAATTGGCAGTTCTCGAGGGCAAGAAAGCCAAGAAGGGCAAGCTTCTCAAGAAGGAAAAGGAACGGTACGAACTTCTCCGGGAGAAGGTAAAGAAGCGGGCTGAGGAGCAAGCCGCTCGCGAAGCTGACCAAGCCGCCGAAGCGGAAGCAGCAGCCAAAGCCGCCGAGGAGCAAGCGGCAAAGCAGGCCGAAGAGCAGGCCAAAATCGACGCTGAAGCGCAAGCCAAGGCAGATGCCGAAGCTCTCCAGGCTTCTGCTGAGGAAGAAGAATTGGCAAAGCTTGAAGAGAAGAAAACCAAGAGGATGGGGAAGCTACTAAAGAAGGACCAGGCTCGCTACGATATCCTGACAGCCAACTCTGAACGGCGCGCTACGGAGAAAGCTGCCAAGGAGGCCGAAGAGGCACCAGCTCCTGAAGTCGAGGAACCTCCCCCGCCACCGCCTGAGCCGGAAGAACCTGTTGTCGATGAGGCTGAGAAAGCCAGGCTAGAAGCGGAAGCAACTCAAATCGCCGCAGACACCGAGGAATTGGAAGAACTCGAGGCAAAGAAGTTGAAGAGAAATGGCAAGCTGCTCAAGAAAGACCAAGCGCGTTACACCATCTTGAAGGAGGCTGCCGACCAGCGAGCGGAAGCTGCTGCCGCCAGAGAGATCGAGGAGGCCGCTGCCGACCCAGCGCCCGCGCCTGATGCTGAAGGCGAAGCTGCGCCTGTGCCGCCTGAAGCCCCAGACCCTCCTGCCCCTGATGCCGCCGCGGCTAGTGCCGATGATGAAGCAGAAGCAGCCATTGCTGCAAAAGAAGAAGCAGAGTTTGCTGAGCTCGAGGCGAAAAAATCGAAGAAGAATCGACTGGTTAAATCGGAGGACAGAGATCGCTACAATGAACTCAAGGAGCGCATCGACAAACGAGCAGCTGATAGGGCGCAAAAGGAGGCAGATGCTGAGGCAGATGCAGCCGCTGCAGCAGCAACGACTGCTGAAGAACCTCCCGCCCCGGAGCCTGTCAACACAGAGGCTGAGGATGCCGCTAAGGCCGCTGAACAGGCCCAAATCGCAGCCGAGGAGGAGGAAATCAAAGCTCTAGAAGAAAAGAAAGCAAAGAGAGGGAAATTCGCCAAGTCGGCAGACAGGCTACGCTACGAGGAGCTCAAAGAGCGTGCCGACAAGAGAGCCGGGGAGAAAGCACAGAAGGAGGCAGATGACGCCGCTGCCGCCGCCGAAGAGGAGACTCCTGCCCCTGAGCCCGAAGAGCCTCCTGCACCAGAGGTTGACGAAGCGAAGGCTGCTGAAGATGCCGCCATTGCTGCTGAAGAGGAAGAATTGCAATCGTTGGAAGCCATGAAGGCGAAAAAAGGGAGACTGGCCAAAGCTCTTGATCGTGAGCGATACACTGAGCTCAAAGAGCGGTCCATCAAGCGATCTGTCGAAAAAGCGCAGAAGGAGGCCGCAGAAGCAGACGCCGCGGCAGCGGCAGAAGCAGCAGCAGCAGCTGAGCCTGTACCAGAGCCGGAGCCCCCTGCCGAGCCCGAGGCCCTTCCCGAGGAACCAGGGGAAGACCCAGCTGTTGTTGAGGCCGAGGAGGCAGAGCTGCAGGCGCTGGAGAAGACCAAGGCCAAGAAGGGCAGGCTTTCCAAGAGTGCAGATCGTATCCGTTATGAAGAACTCAAGACTCGTGCGGCAGAGAGGGCTGAGAAAAAGGCAGCGGCTGAGGCAGCGGCAGAAGCGCCGCTGGAACCCGAGCCGGAGCCGGAGCCGGAGCCGGAGCCGGAGCCTGAGCCTGAGCCGGAGCCACCAGCTGAAGAGGCCCCAACTGAAGAAGCTCCTCCTGCTGAGGAGGGACTGGGTGATGGAGAAGACCCTGCAGTGGTCGAAGCCGAAGAGCAGGAATTGGCCGACCTAGAGGCGAAGAAAGCCAAAAGAGGAAAGTTGAAGTCCACTACGGACAAAGAGCGGTATGCCGTGTTGAAGGAAAAGTGCGAGAAGAGGAGCGAGGCCCGAGCTGCCCAAGAGGCAGCTGCGCCCGAGCCTGTCGCTGAGGCAGCACCTGAAGCCGAGCCTGAAGCCGAGCCCGAACCTGCTCCAGAACCGCCAGCTGAGGAGGCGCCGCCGGACGAACCCACTGTGCCCGAGGAAGATCCTGCGATAGTCGAAGCCGAGGAGCAAGAGCTCGCAGACCTTGAAGCTAAAAAGGCCAAGCGAGGCAAATTGGGCAAGACTGTCGAGAAGGAAAGATACGCGGTACTCAAGGAGAAAGCCGACAAACGCGCCGAAGCCAAGGCAGCTGCAGCAGAGGCAGATGCTCCGCCAGAACCTGAGGCAGAGGCCCCCCCGGAGCCGGAGCAGGAGCCTGCAGGTGGAGAGATGCCAGAGGTGGACCCAGAAGAACCCGCGGCCGTCCCGGTCGAAGATCCTTTCGATGTAGCTGCCGAGGAACAGGAGATGGCTGACCTTGAGGCCAAGCTAGCCAAAAAAGGCAAGCTTAAATCCAGCGATAAGGCACGGCTTGCTGTCCTGAAGGAGAAGGCTGAAAGCAGGGCGAATGCCGCGGCACCTGCTCCTGAGCTAGAGCCAGAGCAAGAGCCAGAGCCCGAGCCTGCAGCTGCAGAAGAGGAACCTGCGCCGGAGGCTCCTCCAGAAGAGCCTCCCGTTCCTGCTGCTGAAGATCCTGCAGTTATCGAGGCCGAAGAGAAAGAGCTTGCCGACCTAGAAGTGAAGAAAGCCAAAAAGGGACGTCTCGCCAAGTCTGTAGACCGGGAAAGATACGAAGAGCTGAAAAAGCGTGCCGACGACAGGGCGGAAGCCAATGCAGCAGTCGAGGCCGAGGCTGAGCCTGCCCCCAATGGTGCGGAGGGGGCCGGAGAGGCGACAGATGAACCTCCTGCTGAGCTTGAGGCTGCTCCGGAGGCCGATGAGGCTGACGTTGCCGCTGAAGAAGCTGAACTCGCCCAACTGGAGGCCAAGAAAGCGAAGAAGGGAAAGTTATCGAAAAGTAGCGAAAAGGAAAGATACGCTACCCTCAAAGAACGGTCAGACAAGCGAGCAGAGGAGAAAGCAGCAAAGGAAGCGGAGGAGCTGGCTGCTCGTGAGGCCGCTGAAGCGGAAGAAGCGGCGGCGGCGGCAGCGGCTGAGGCTGCCGCCAAAGAAGCAGAAATTGCGGAGATTGCGACCGAAGAGGCAGAACTCGCTGATCTCGAGGCTCGCAAGGCCAAGAAAGGCAAGCTGTCCAAGAAGTCGGAGCGTGAGAGGTACGAGTTCCTCAAAGAGCGGGCTGATGCGCGCGCTGCCGAGCAAGCTGTAGCCGAAGCACCCGCGGACGCAACCGCTGACGAGGATCCCGCCGCCATGGAAGCCGATGAAGCTGCTGCGGCCCAGGAAGTTGAAGAAGCTGAAGCAGCTGAAGCAGCTGAAGCAACGGCCGCAGCGGACGAGGCAGCAGCAGATGATCACGAGCTCCAGGCTCTGGAAGATAAGAAGATTAAACGAGGAGGCAAACTGTTGAAGAAGGATCGCGAACGCCATGAACTCCTTCTCCAAAAAGTTGCCGAGAGAAATGCAGCTCCGGGTGGCGATGCCGAAGCCGCCGCCAAAGAAGCCGAAATGGCTGCTGCTGCTGCTGCTGCCGCCGCGCAAGAGGAAGGGGAAACCGCTGCTCGCGAGGCGGAAGAACTGGCTGCAAAAGAGGCAGCCGAAGCCGAAGCCGAAGCTGCCGCGAAGAAAGAAAAGAAAAAGGATAAGAAATCTTCAAAGGAGAAGGAGAAGGAGGAGAAGAAGGAAAAGAAGAAGAAGTCCAAGGATAAAGATCCAGAGCCCGAACCGGAGCCGGAGCCAGCCCCAGAACCGGAGGCTGAAGTGGAGCCAGAGCCGGAGCCGGAGCTCGACCCGGCCGAAGTGGACGCATTGCTGGAAGAGGTGGATCGTGACCGCAAGCCGCGCGCAACGTCCGAAGCATTCAGTTTCTGGGGCCTAGCGGGCTCCAAGAAGAAGAAGGGTACGTAAACATTCCCATGTCCGAGGCCCCACAGCCAGTGGCAACTCCTGACTGGCTTCACGCCCCTGGCTCACGCACAGCGTCCCGTGCTACCCCAAACCCCCCATTCCAATGTTTCGGTGCAAGCCGAGACGAGCATGAAATAAGATTGCTGACACACTCGACAGCTCTGGAAGATGCAATGGACGGCGAGGATGCGATCCCGCCGCCGCCCCCTGCTGTCCCCGATGCCCCCCATTCTGCGTCTCGTCGCTCCTACGGCAGTCGGTTGACCGACCGACTGAGAGCTTTCGAGGCCTCGCGTGAAGAAGACCTTCCGGCGGAACCCGAGCCAGAGCCTGAACCTGAGCCTGAGGTAGCCGCGCCCCCTTCACCTCCACCAGAGCCTGTTGAGGAGAAGAAGAAGTCGAAATCGAAGAAGAAGTCGTCAAAATCTGCGGCAGCGCCTCCGCCGCCGCCGCCGCCACCGCCAGAGCCCGAAGCAGAGCCCGAACCGACACCTGCCGAGGAAGGCAGTTCATCGGGGCTTCCAGGCGCTTTCCCCGAGGAAGAGCCTGAGCCCGAGCCTGCCGCCGAACCTGCGCCAGCCGATGATGAGATTGTCGTCGAGATAGCTCCCAAGCGAGAGAAAAAGAGCAAGAAGAGTAAGTCCAAGGCGATGGCTGATGCGACGATTCCTCCGCCACCACCTCCGGTGCCAGACCCTCCGTCGGCAATTGCCTCCCCACCGGACGGCGAGGAAGAGCCCCAGCCCGAAAAGAGGCGATCCAAGAAAGAGAGAACGAGGATTAGCCGTGAGGGTGGTTCATCTTGGGGCAACTGGACTGCTGCCCCCGAGCCACCCGAAGAAGCTCCAGCGAAGGAGGAAAGGAAGCGATCTTCGCGTACCAAGACCGAGAGAAGCTCCAAGCGATCCGCCGAGAAGGAGGACAGGGAGAAGGACAAGGAGCGGGAAAAGAAAAAGACGTCCTCAAAGGGTTCCAACTCGGACAAGGCAGACCGCGCCTCTCGCTCCGACCGCCCAGACGGTCCTCCTCCTCGTCCACGGCTGGCAAGCATGTTTACTAGTTCAACACCGCCCATTTCACGCTCCATGTCCACGCGAGAGAAGCGCCCCAGCATGGGTCGCTCCTCACGGAGGAATTCGACAGATCATGGTCTTGCGTCTCCACCCCCTGAAGAGGTACCGGAGATGAGCTCCAAGGCAGCCAAGATCCTGGGATTCGGAAGCTCCAAGGCCGGCACCAGTGAGCGCAGGAAGTCGCGTAAATCGCGTTTACCTGAAGATGAGCCTCTCACGGAAGCCGAGGGCAGTCTCGGGCGGTCTGAACCCAAGTCGGAGCGCCGTCGTTCAAGAAAGCCTACCATGGAAGGCGACGAGCTGATGCCCGATGTGCCGCCAACACCACCCGTGGAAACGACTCTGAAGCGCAAGGCAGGTATCTCCGGGCTGTTCAGCGGCCTAATGACGCCCAAGGCTGACCGCCCGGAGCGTGGTGGACTGCAACGTCGTAGCACCTACGCAACAACTGACGACGAAGCTCGTGGGCCACCGCCACCTCCTCCTCCTCCTCCTCCAGCAGAAGCTGTGCCATCGCCTGTCGACGACCCCGAACGTGAGGCACGCCGAGCCGCGCGACGGGCCAAGAGGGCGGAGCGTGATGCAGCAGCAGCAGCTGCTGCTGCTCCAGCAGAAGAGAGCGCACGCAAGGCCAAGGACGATTCTCGGCGGGAGCACCGCAGACGCGATGAGGATGCCGAGAAGGAGGCGCGCCGGGCGGAACGACGGGCTGCTCGTCAGCGAGAGGAGGAGCAACGTCGCGAAGAGGAGGCGAAGGAGGCGCGCCGGGCAGAGAGACGTCGCATTCGCAGGGAGCGGGAGGCTGCCGCCATGGCAGCCGAACAAGCCGACGAGGGTGCCCCCCGGTCTTCGAAACACGAGCGTCATCGATCGCGCCAGGTCGATCCGTCAGAGGACGAGGCCGAGCGGCGTCGTAGGCGCGATGAACGTCGTGCGGCCAAGGAAGCCGCAGCAGCAGGCCCAGAACGCAGGAAGAGCAGCCGCCGCCATGCTGAGGAGACTGGGGATGAATCAGCATACCCCCGAAAGCAGCGGCGGCGCGAGCGGGAGAGCGCCGCTTGGCCTCACTCGGGAACATCATCCTGGGTCAAGGATCACTCGGACGCACCGCCGCCTCCTCCACCTGAGCAGGCCGAGGACGAGGAGGCGCGGCGCGAGGCTCGACGGGCACGGCGGCGCGCTCGCGCAGCGGAACTGACGGCAGACGAGACAGACGACCCACGCCATCGCCGACGCCGAGAAGACAGGGAGCGTGAGAAGCGCGTGGCCGCTTCGGAAGGGAGCGACGAGCGCCACCAGAGCCGCCGCAACTCCTTGTTCATGGACACTGGCGCGAGCATGAGCGCTACGCCCCGGACCAGCTGGTGGAAGAAGCTGGCGGGATGATGAGACGAGCTGCCACGAGACTACGGTGCCTTTGTTTGATTTTGGAGCACGATCTGCCGTCAATCTTCTCTTTTCGGGCGTATACTATCCATTGCATTGTCCAGCATGGCAACGGTGTCTTGGGTTCAAGTTTTGTGTGTTCTCATTGCCTGTTTGGATTAGCGGAGAGAGCATGTGGTTATGGTGCTGTGCGTGCCGTATAGCAGCGCTTGTGGGGGGGTTGTTTGCCTCCATCTCGTTTGGATAGGCTCGCGATGCCACACGGTACGGTGTGTGTGTGTGTTTGTAGGTTTCCGATACCCATTGTTGGCTTAGCGACAGTAGCTGGCCTACATGATCAGTAGATGAGAAAGGATTAGCGACTGTTGAATGTATTGAGTTTGTGTAAGTATTATGATTCTTCCCTGTACAATCGCGCCGAAGCAAAGCAACTACTATCGGGTAATTTAGCTTAACCTGGAGTGATGAGTGACAGGCGGTACGTACCTCAATTACCCGCCAGTTGGCCTGCCGCCACCTTCAACGGCCAACGCCAACGCCAACCCATTACTTGACTTATCCCCTCTGAAACACGATCACCCCGACTTCAGGCCCGTACACGACACGTAGCGCACTGCGGCGCGCGAACGCGATCGACACTCCGGACATTGATCAGCAGCAACGGGGTCGCGCGACCCAATGTGTCTGCCACCATGGCCGCCTCGGGCAACAAGAGCTCCGCTTGGAGCACCTTCATCTCCAGCGCCATCACGGGCGTGGAGTCCCGACTGGACAACATGTTAGAGGGCGAGGATGGGAACGATCCACTCCAGGCCGACCCCAGCCCCCCCAAGAAGCAGCCGGCGATGCAGGCGCCCATGTCTGCGTCAGCGAAGGCGGCGGCGGCGACACCGGGTACGTGGAGGAGCGTCAAGACCGGGGAGGAGGACACTGCTGACATGGCGATAGCGAGGAGCTCTTCGAATTCGAGGGTGAATGACCGGTTACAAGCGCGCTTAGCAAAGGCCATGGCTGCAAAGGGAGGGGAGAGTAAGGCGTCGCCGAGAAGTTCGTTCGACAGTCGTAGCTCCATGGACCGCCCGTCGCTGGACGTGGTGAATGGCGACAAGAAGGAGGACGGTCTCGCTACCAAGGTCGACGCAGGAAACAGCACAGAGGAGCACGAGGCTGCTGTCGAGGACGGCAAAGCGCCTGTAGACAACCCCGCGACGAGCGAGACGACGACATCACCGCCTCCGCCTCCGCCTCCGCCATCGACAGCGGCGGAGGCCAAAGCCGTGCCCGAAACTACGGAGGCTACGGCTGCTGAGGAAGCGACACCATCACAGGCCGAAACGAAAGAACCCGCCGAGTCGAAACCCAGCGAGGCCATCCCTACGATCACACTCCCACGCGAGGAACTCTCCAGTCTCGCCAAGGACGTAAACAACATGAAGAGTCAGCACCAGGAAGAGATCCAGGAATATGTCGAGCGCATAGACTCTCTTCAAGCCAAGGTCCTGTACCTCTCACGCACAGCAGCCGAGACGGCGAAGAAGACAGGCTCGAGTGCGCCGGCCAACAGTGCGGAGCGCAAAATCGCCGAGAGGGACGAGAGGATTGCGCTCCTCATGGAAGAGGGCGGCAAATTATCCAAGACTGAGGGGCAATTTCGGACAACCATTAAAAGATTGCGGCAACAGGTTGCGGAAAACGAGAAGCAAGCCGACGCTCTGAGGAAGGAGAAGGAGAAGGCGCTCATGGAGACGGAGGCTCTGAAAAGTCGACTCGATGGAGACGAGGAAAGGACCAAAAGGCAGGAAGAGGCGCGCAAGGCAACGGCTGCACTGCAAAAGGAGATTGATGCGCTGAAAAAGGAGGTGAGCGCAAAGGACGAGAGCATGAAGAACCTGGAGCAGGAGCTTCGAGCCAAGTCGGAAAAGGCCGAGGCTGCCACCGTCGAATCGCACAACAAAGCGCTCGCAGTCGAGCGAGAGAAGCAAAAGGCCCTCGAGGACACCATCGCCACCCTCAAAGCTGAGTTGGAAGAGGCGGCCGACAAGGCGCGGCTCGAGAGCCTGGAATGGCGCGAGAAGCTGGACCGAGCTACCGAGAGGAGTCACGCTACGGAGACCGAGATGAAGAACGAGCTCAAGATGATGGAGAGCAAGCTCGAGGCTATGCGCTCTGTTGCCGAAGAGGCGTCATCCGGATCGGGCGGCGAAGGGCAGATCAAGCTCATCCGACAGATCGAGACCCTGCAATCGCAATATGCTACCGCCAGTGACAACTGGCAGGGCATTGAGGCATCATTGCTGGCCAAGGTGGCGAACCTGGAAAAGGAGAGGGACGAGGCTACGAGGCGCGAGTCGGAGATGAGGAAGAAAGCGCGTGAAGCGGTACGTTTTGGTTGTTGCGGAGCGCGAGAGAAAGATGCTAACTGAGCCAGGCTAGCAAGAACCGCCACTTGGAAGACGAGCTCCAAGACTTGCAGCCGGATCTCGCCGCCGCAAAGGCAGAGCTCGAGACCGCGCGCGAACAGCTCGCAGCACTCAGAACATCTTCCAAAGCGACCGAGACAGCCCTCGAGCAAGCCCGTGCTGATCTCGAGAAGCAGCAGCGAGAAGTGGCTCGCGAGCTGCAGAGAGACAGCGAAAAAAGGCCGTGGCCAGAGGAGCCCCTCGGCATTCGTAACAACCAGAGCCGGCCAGAGTCACCGTTGTTATCCATCTCGCGCACCTTTAGCTCGGACCTCGCCGGCTTCCAAATACCGGGGCGGTCAAGGCGGACGCCAGTCGGCAGCATCCCCGACAGCCCCCTGGACGGCCCTCGGAGGATGTCGAGTCAACCGCCTGGCCGGGTCGCGAGCGGTCTCTCCAACGTGGGCTCTCCCCAGCCTCTGCCGACCCCCTTCTCGCCATTCGAGGCACCCAGCGAGCCAACAAACATGAGGTCTCCCTCGTTGGCAGGCCACGACGATCCAGCCGAGAGCAAAGCCCCTTCGTCACCCCGGCACGTGGCGCAAGACATGATTTCAGTGTCCACCGTCGGTGCTGGTCCCTCCGTGCAGCTCGTCGAGCGGATGAGTGCAGCCATTCGGCGTCTCGAGGGGGAAAAGGTCGCCGCCAAGGAGGAGATGGCGCGGATCTGCGCACAGCGAGACGAGGCCCGCTCCGACATGGTCGGTCTCATGAAGGAGATCGAGTCGGCCAAGGGGGCGGCGGACAAGGTCCAGGCACTCGAGAAGGAGTTGGCCGACATCAACGGGCGGTACCAGACCACACTGGAGATGCTGGGCGAGAAGAGTGAGTTGGTGGAGGAGCTACGGGCTGATGTGCAGGACGTGAAAGCCATGTACCGTGAACTGGTCGAGAGGACGGTGAAATGAGCGAGCGAGCGTGTATCAAATGATTTCCGATAGTCAAGCTTGATTCATAATCATTAGAGCATCTACACTAGGTCAGGTTGACGCCCTCACGCTCTGCACCCTGTAATATATACCGGCGCACCTGCATCAGAAGAAAAGAAAGTGGTCAGTCTAGTGGTCATTGGCTTTGAAAGGGAGTTTGCTTGAGCATGGGGTAGCAGTCAGCGTACGTACATCCTTGTCGGGCGCGAGGTCGAGGGCGAGCATATCCTCCGCGTTCTTCAACGCATGATCGGCACCTTCTTTGAGCAGGAGCACCGCAACGTCGCCTGCGTTTTGTCAGTCAACTTGTCTTCTTTCCTCGCGCAAGCCAATCTTACCGTGACCCTCGGCGATGGCATGGTGCAATGGCGTGAACCCCTCGACATCCGTGGCGTTGAGCGCACTGCGGTTGCGGAGGAGGAGGGTTACCATGGGGGCGGATCCAACGGCCGCAGCGCGATGGATGGCGTATTGGCCCCGTTTATCGCGGACGCGTGTAGAAGCCTTGTTCTCGATGAGGAGGCGTGCTGTGTCGAGATTCTTCTTGGACGCGACAAAGTGCAAGGCGGTCTGGTGAGGTTAGGCAGTCTGGCCACGCTTACGTACAAGTGAATATAGAGACTTACGGCACCACTGTTATCTGATCATGTCAACTGGCTGTCTCGAAGACGAAGGAAGGGGAGGCCAATACTTTTCTCGTTGACGTCGGCGCCTTTCTGTAGGAATAGTCTTAGAATGGGCTCGCTGTCGACAACGCTGGCTGCGATCATGAGGGGTGTCCAGCCGCTGCCATCCTGCGCATATACGGTCAGAGATCGTGGTCCAACATGTGAGAGTTCCTGTTGATGATGGCACCTACCTGTACGTCTGGGTCGAAGGACTTTTGATTGGCGAGGAGCACCACAATGTCGAGATTGTTGGATGATGCGGCCCAGTGGATGGGGAGACGATCATCGTCATCTCTGCGCTGTGAAAGCTTGGGATCGGTCTGAGACGTTAGAAGGAAATAAGGGTGTCTGCTGAGCATGTCTTTACCTTGAGGAGCCCGTCTGCCACACTCACTGCCTCGTGTAAGTCACCATGAAGCGGCAAGGATGAATCGGCTTACCTTGGCCGAGACGGGCGGCCGTGTGTAGAGGGAACTTGTCATCCTCGCTTGCCATGACTGAAATGTGATGAATTTGATGTGGATGTCTCGTGCTACTTGAAGACAGTTATCAAGTTTGTAATGGGGTGCGGCACTGGAACATGTTAGTTACATGGCGATGCGCCGATGATGGCGCGGAGTGGCTGCCTTGTACACCTGCTGTGGCGCTAGCTTCACCAGCCACTAACACCGCCACACGCGGCTGCAGCCTCCGTCGTTTTTTCTGAGTTGGACAGGGACGCTCGACACTGTACATGTAATTGTCTATCATCACCAACATCACCATCCGTAGCCATGGAGAACCCAGAAGCAACCCCTGCGCTCGGTGCGCTGGTATCGCAGAATGCTACCGTCTCGCGACAATTGTACACACGACCAGCGGCGCCATCAAACTCCGCGTCCACCGAAGCCGCCAACAAACGCCAGAAACTCGACGACGCGTCCTTTGAGGACCCCATGATGAAGCATCGCTACCTCGCCGAGTACAGTACGGTAGAGAAACTGCCGGCCTCTATTGCTGCGAAGCAACCTGGCGCGAAGCCCAAGAAGAAGACAATCACGAATGCGGTCGTGAAGCGACCGACACAGAAGCTATTGGAAGGTCCTGGCGGCAGCGGCAGCAAATCTGGCGACGGGGCGACGCGCGAGGCGGGCATGGACTTGACGACCAAGGGAACGCCACAGCTTGTACAGCCTCGACCCGAGTGGCATCCTCCATGGAAGCTGATGCGTGTTATCTCGGGCCATCTTGGTTGGGTTCGCGCATTGGCTGTCGAACCCGGGAACAAGTGGTTCGCGAGTGGTGCTGGTGACCGGACCATCAAGATCTGGGACATGGCGACGGGCGGGCTGAAGCTGACGTTGACGGGACACATCAGCACTGTTCGTGGGCTGGCCGTCTCCCCCCGTCACCCATACCTTTTTTCCTGCGGCGAGGACAAGATGGTCAAATGTTGGGATCTCGAGACGAACAAGGTCATTCGGCACTACCACGGTCACCTGAGTGGTGTCTACACTCTTGCCATCCATCCCACCCTGGACGTCCTCGTCACGGGTGGCCGCGACGGCGTGGCCCGTGTGTGGGACATGCGCACGCGCAGTAACATCCACGTCCTCTCCGGCCACAAGCAGACAGTCTCGCAGCTTGTGTGCCAGGAGACGGATCCGCAGGTCATTACCGCCTCGCTCGACTCGACCGTGCGCATGTGGGATCTTGCCGCCGGCAAGTCCATGGGTGTCCTGACACATCACAAGAAGGGCGTGCGAGCGCTGGCGACGCACCCGGAGGAGTTTACTTTTGCTACGGGCAGCACGGGCAGTATCAAGCAGTGGAAGTGCCCGGAAGGTGCATTCATGCAGAACTTTGAGGGCCACAACGCCATCATCAACACGTTGAGCGTAAACCAGAACAATGTCTTCTTCTCGGGAGGTAAGAGAGACCCAACAGCAGTGCGATGACTACTTTGCGGATGCTAATTCCTTCGACAGCTGACAATGGATCCATGAGCTTCTGGGATTGGAAGTCGGGACATCGCTACCAGTCCATGGACACCATGGCGCAGCCAGGCTCTCTAGACGCCGAGGCGGGCATCATGAGCTCAACATTCGATCGTTCGGGACTCCGCCTAATCTGCGGCGAGGCAGACAAGACCAGTAAGTTCACTCCACGTACAGCCCTACATGAACAGCAGAGTGACTAACACGTCAACAGTCAAAGTCTGGAAGCCCGATGAGAAGGCCTCTCCCGAGACACACCCACTCCAGTGGACACCAACACTGCAGCACCGTAAATTTTGATAGGGTCCGAGAAGGAATACACGTGATCATCGAACGATGCTTTGGAGGCTGCGCCTCGGGTATCTTACTCTATATCTAATTCTACACGCCAATACCGAGCATTCTGAGCTCCACATCGTCACGGAGCGCCATTCTCACCTCGTCTTCCGCAATGGCCAGGCGGAGCTTGCTGGATCGCTCGGCGCGCTGCGCTTCCAGAATCACAACACCAGCGGCTGCAAGCTCTATAGCCGCTGTGTGAATGTATGCGGGACGGCTCACGTCGGATGTGTGGCCGGCGCGAGCGCCTCCGGGGAGGATGAGTGCGAGTCCCGGGTTGGAAGAGGAGGCGCGGAGGTTCGCACGATGCAGCTCGTCGAGGGTCTCGCCAAACGTCGTCTCGACCAGTCCTGACCTGCGGATGCGTAGCATGAGCATGGCCATGAGTAGCTTGGACATGAGGGGCAGACTCTTGAGGTGTTGCTGGATGGGGTTGGTGGTGGCCTCATTGATGGCCTTTTTGATGGTGGCAATGGTGACCCGGCCGCGGTTGGAGCTGGGCTTCGATCCATCGGCGCGACCTGTCTTGCTAGGCGTGCCTGGATCGCCTTGTATGTCGCCTTCTGCGAGCTCGACGGCGCGACGACAGATATCGAGGGCGCGACGGGCGTCTCCGCTGACGGCGGCTACCTTTCGACTAGCAAATTGAATGGCGTCTGGATCTACAATTTTGCCCGGAACACCTTCTAGTCGTGACTGGATGATCTTCATGAGTTGGTCGTGGTTGTAGCCTGGAAATGTGATTCGTGTCAAACCTGGCATGTGCGTTAGCGTCTACTAGTAACCAAGCTTGAGCTGTGCATGGGGCGACCTACCTAGCCGACTGCTGATTTTGTTGCTGAGCGTGCGCTCTGGCAGGTCCATGGTATTCGCCACGGCTAGGACAATAAGTCGACTGTGACGGAGCGTAGGCCAGTTGAAAAAGTTGTACATGACCGCCTGGTTCTTGGTGACGAGCTGGTCGAGCTCATCCATCAAGACTACGCACGGCGTCCGTCGCGGACTTGGGTTGCTGAACTCCCGCTCCAGCAGATCGAGAGCTTGTGCCGGACTCGCCCGTTGGCCCTTCAGTGCCTCCCACAGCAAGGTGTATGACTGATGCGGATCTGTAATCTTCATGCCGTTGATCTCGACAAAGATGAAATCATCCAGCTCGTCCATGTTGACAGATTCCTCCAGCCTGCCAATCACCTCGCGGACCGTGGCCGTCTTGCCCGTGCCAGGGGTGCCTGAGATGTAGATGCAGTTACCGGCGCCGTCGCTGATGGCGGCTTCGAGATGCGAGTACACCAGCGAGAACTCGCCTTCGCGGCAGGGCAGACTGGTGGGAACGGACGAGACGTGCAGACGGCTGCGTGCTACCTGGAAAGGCGAGCCCTCGATCTGGCTCGGTGAGAGTTTGCGAGTGGCCAAGGGTGTAAATTCGAGTGTCTTGTTTCTGGAAACTGTTAGGTGATCAGCGACTAGCAGGGGAGACCATGGCACCTCACCTTTTTCTTGAGGCAGGGGTTGCGACACTCCGCCTGGACTGTGGCGTCGAAGCGTTCATTCCACGCCCAGTCTTTGTTGGTGTCTGAGGTGGTAGATAGTCATCTTGTGGCGATCGACTCCTCGCGCGTCTGCGCTTTCTCGTGGCCTTGGTCTTGTCCTTGACCATTTGGATCATCTTGAAAACATCCTCGGGGCTCTGGAGAACCTCTTCCCATATGAACTCGTCCGTATACGAGGCTGTCCGTGTGTTGCAGCCCCTGCGACAAATAAATGTCTTGCCATAGTCCGGTGACTGCCTCGGCACCTTTCCGCCGGGGTACTCTTTCTCAAAAGCGCCCAGAGATATGATCTTTGCTTTGCCATTGATAGACGCCAAGGGGTTGACATCCCACGAAGGCGTGATGTAGAGCTCATTCTACGCTCGTTAGCGTCCAAATCCCGCCAAAGCAGAGGCCAGGCCAAGGATAGTCGGCTTCACCCACTGGAAGATAATCTGTCCTCTTCTTGTCCTTGTTGCGAATCTCACGCTCCGTCGAGAACCACATAAAATTCGCGCTCATCTCCTCCTCCCCATCATCGTCCTCGATGAACTCGCAAATCATGCCAATCCATGCCTCGCCGCTCCCTTCGGCCTTGAGCAGGACACAGTCGCCAATTCGGCACGCAAACTCGCCAATCTTGGCACCGACAATATTCCTGGAGGACACTTTTCGCCGTTTGCGCTCGCCAGTTGCTTCATAGCCGGCAGGGTCTCGCGGTGGCGCTGATGTAGTCGCCGAGTCGTAGATCCATTCCCAGGGCAAATCTTCGCTGCCGAGTTCGTCGTCCGAGTCCTCGCGCGACACGCCCTTTGGTGACCGTCGTTTCCGTAGCAAGTGTACTGGAGAGTGACCCTGAGCAGTCATTTTGCCGTGGTTGTGGGTTGCGTGCCTTAACGAGAGAGGTTCTGGTCATTAACGCGTCTGGGAGACGCGTCGTTGACCTGGAACGGTTAGTTGCATAACCCCGCTAAATCGGTCTATGTTCAGATCACGCAATTGTCGTTTAGCAGTCAGACCACAGTCAGCAATCTACCTTCTTTATTTGTTACAACTTAGATGTTCACTGCCAGTTTCAAAGTGGGCGGGGTGATGTTGAATTATTGAACGATTGCTCAAACGTAGGGCTTGCGGGCCCCGTCCCCCAAGTGCCCCTCTACAAGTAGGACTCAGGAGATGATCAGCTACAGCAGCCTCGATCAGGTATCAAACTATTATCTGTGCTACCAACATGGTATACTATTATTTACAGTAGGTAGTTTAGGGGTACCAGATCCGGGTTCGCACTCCCCCGAGCACATGTAATCTGGAGCAGCAGCAAGGGGCGAAGGGCCAGCTCAGGATTCAAGCATAACTGCTTCCACACTCAACCTCGGTTTGTACCAAAAATGTTCTGAAAGCTGTCATGTATTCTTAAACTGATGACAGGGCCGGTCCCTACTACATTGCCGCATCCAAGGGCTGGAGCTTGCTCTTCCTGCGGGCGAGTGGGCATAAGAGGAACGGCTCTATTTGAAGACCCTCCCAAGAGCCTGCGGGTAAGATCTTCCCTGACCAGTAGGCCCCATAGACCCCAAAGACCCCAATTTGGAAAGGAATTCTATCTCGTAATCGACGTAAACAACAACAGGGCAGGCCTGAGTCGTCCCGTGTTTGTGTTTGATAATGCACGCTACAATCACATTCCGGCAGTAACAGCTCAAGGTCAGCCCAGTGTCTGGCGAAGGACATATAGATAATTGAGGGGAATAAAAGCAGACCAGGAAGCCTGTTGGGTGGCTGTAGCTGGTAAAGTACCTTCCCTAAAGTGCTTTGTCGTCCTTCAGGCAACTACCTTACCCAACAGCAGCCTCGCCTTCCTCCACCCACTCACTCTCACCATTCATTGCCTCCTCACTTTCTTCAACCCTAAATATAACGCCAATAATTGGGTCCGTTCATCTTGCAGTCCAAGCCATCTGTATAATATCACCATGGGCAACTTCGAGAACAATGGCTGGCGCATGGCCTCAGGACGCGGTCGTGGCGGCCGTGGCGGCCGCGGTGCGAAGAGCTTTGCTAAAACGGAGTCCATGCAATCTATTAAGGCTTTGCAAACCCAGAAACGCGGTGAGGATAAAGAGAGGCTCAAGAGAAAGCGCGAAGAGTCGGCACAACTTGAGGTAAGCCCAAGATGCACGGACTTTATCACGGATCTAACGAGTGCCCAGGGTGCGTTTATCATCGCCAGCGAGCACCTCGTACCCGATGAGATCAGGGAAGAAGGATTCTTTGACCAGGTCGCCAAGGAAACTGGTTGCACTATCGAGGAGTCACCTCTGGCGGATGGTTTTCACATGCTCGTTCTGCGTAGTCAGGATAAGATGCAAATGGACGCTGCACACAGCGCCATAGCCAACAGGCTGCACATTCTACGCCAGATTCAGCGTTCCTTCTCACGAACCCTGTTCCTCCAGTCACCAGCACGGTCGGACTGGGCTGCAATGATCTCCATGGAGGTGTCAGAGAGACCGTTTGTCATTGACAAGAACCTGTTGCGTGGACTTCCTGCTGCCGAGCACCCGGCCGTCATGTCAAGTCTCCTGGATCGGCTTGTTATTGACGTTCCCAATGCTGCCTACGGCGCCATGAACCTACCATCAGCGCAGTTCCTTGAAATGCGAATTTCGTTCGGTCGGCTCAATATCGAAAAGAGGAGGAAGGATGTGCCAGATAAGCTGTCCTATCGATCCTTTGAGAAAGCCCTCAGTTCCTACCAGAGCCGCGGCCATGCTGCCGCTCTTGCAACACGGTTAGTTGACCTCCCTGGTGTCTAATGTGTCCATTGTAACTCACGTCTACCCAGGTTGGCAGACCTGCAAAATGTAGACGAGGCCATAAATCTGCTCACTCGCCGCGGAGGTCCCGGCTTGTCCGTGGACGAGTGCACGAGGCGAAACGAGCTGATCACGACCATTCGAGATATCGAGATGCAGAGCGAACTACGGGCTGTGATCCTCGAGGAACGTTTGGGCAACGAAAGACTAGAGCAGCCCGTCGCTGTGCCACACCTAGACTGGTGCGCGATTGCGCCTGAAGAGTAAGACTAAGGTGCAAGATGGTACTTGTGTGACACCGAGCTAACCTGAGTTTTGTAGAGACTTTGACTGGATGCTCCGCATCAGCTCAACAATCAGCCAAGAGATACCTGCTCGATATAAAGAGTACCTGAAGAATATCAGTTTCGAGTGGAGCAAAGACGAGACAATGGGGGCATTTGAGCTCCTTTGGCCTCGGCTGAGTCGCCCTTGGACGGTCAAGGGTATCGATATCATCAAGACCTGCGTCAAAAGCTCGCTGATTGTTCCATTAGCGGGCACACAATACGTAGTCGAGGTCAGCGCGACTCGCCAGTGGAATGACAGGCTCCAAGCTAAGCCCCTCACGACATGGACTATCGAGATGTATTCGGAGCATTGGGAGGAGGCCATGAACCTAAGCGGTAGAGATGGCCGTGACTGGGGCTCGGATTTCAAAAACGTGTGGCATGAGGAGGCGCCCGGTCATAGTCTCCGTCAGAGGCTCGACCAGTTCGTTCGTTGCATCCTTACCGTACAGGATACACTCCGCGGCTTAAGTAATGCAGAGCAAGTACACAGTGGGAAACAACAAGGGCTTCAAGAGAAAATGGAGATCACCAACCACGAGCTGATCGACATGAACTTCGCAAGAACCCCCGAGGCACTCACAAGCCCTAGAAGGGCTTCAGTGGCTGTGTCGACCATGTTCGAACATTTGCATATGGGCGGCGGACACGAAGAAAAGGACAACGATCAGGAAACCGATTCGTCCGAGGACTTGATCGAGCTTTGAGATTCTGAAATCCTCAATCGGCACGTCCGCAGGACGGGTGCTTCATGAAAGCAATGTGAAGGTGCGCCGTTGGAGTTGAAAAGGTTTATTGTCATTTTTTTTTTCATGCGGCTTGCGCTTCTTCGCCCTGGGCCTGCTGGGCCATGATCTTCTGCCTTAGTACTGGGAGCTATTGTTAGCGGCGAGAGCCCGGAGAAGAAATTATGTAGTTTCGACTTACCCTCCTCAATCGTCCGCGCATTTTGCTGTTTCCGTTGCACAATGGTCTCGAGATCTTTCAAGTTATTTGTGAGGTCTGTCACCTTGTTCTCGTAGAATTTCGCGGCCGATTTGAGATCCTGTGAATGCGTGAGCCTCCCGCTACATCAACCCGACGACGGTCTGCCTACCTTTTCCACGAGAAACCCTGTTCCAATATCCACCAATACACGATCGGTATTCGTCAACTGTCCGCTCACGTACAGCGAGTTTGTCAACGGGACCAGCACATTATTCGACCCTGATGCCCTAGTCAGCTTGAACTGCTCCTTCGCTGCGCGCACGGCACGAGTGCCTACCCTCTGCGGCCTGTTGTCGCGACTTTACGACGCGCAAGCAATCTCGGAACTTGTTGGACGCGCCGTGAAGCTGTTGGAAGGAGTTGGTGAGGTGTTCGAGCTCCTCGTCGAGCTGCTTCTTGACTTGGGCGAGCTGCTCCGGATGGAGCGTGTCGAGGTTGACTGTGAGCAGTGTCAGTGAGCTTGAGACGTGGAGAGGCAACGGAGAGGTTCGGGACCTGATTCCCCTTGTTGCTGGGCGGACATTGTGCTGGTTGTAGATGCGAGAGCTGTCTTTTGAAGCTGCGCTGCGACGCCCCGCCATGGTGGTGAGGTCGAGTGTGGACCTTGCCTGGACTTGCCCCACCCACCTTGCCCAACGGCTGCAGGTGTTTATGACTACTTGGTAGGTAGGCAGAAAATATATTTACAAAAGATACACAATTCCTTCATCAACATGCAACAGTACGAATCTCTGGCGCTCGCCGCATCGAATTGTCCCTCCTGCGTGTGAGATTACTTCCGGCAGGGAAATATTTCATCGTAGCCCGGCAAAGGCTTCTGATCCAACTGATAGTTGACCCTACAATACGAAAGGGGTAACAAAGCTCGAATTGATACGTGTCGAAGAGGCGAACAGCTCTCGAGGGCATGGATCGCTTTGATTACTGAGCAAGGTCGTACTGAGCTGGTAGGTACAATCAAAGCAAGCCACTTCGTTTCCGTACAAACAGCATCCTCCCTAGTCTCGCCTAGCGAAACATCAGCGCTGCCTAGTTAGATCCATTTGTTGATCCTCATGGTGACATTTCCAAGAGCGACACTGTCCAGGTTGGCGCCCCTTGCCTCAACGGCATAGTCGTCATTGAGCTCGGAAACGGTGAAGGTCTTGGTCTTGGAACCCCAGGGGCAGTCCCAGTACACCTTGCAGATTTTGGTCTCGCCGTCCCAAAGCTCAAAGCTGCCCTCGGTGCCAGAGGAGGCATCGGACCGGCCACAGGCAGCAAATCCGGCCTGGTTACCAGGCTTGATGGAAGTCTTCTGGACTTGTTCGACCGAAATCTCCCTGTCCTTGTTGTCGTATGCAAAAAACTTGCCCCTGGACAGTGTGAGATTTATTCGATGGACTTGCACAGACTCATCTTACCAATGGAGGTACACGTTTTGAACCGTGATTTGGTTCTGGCTCATCGCCGACTGCGTCTGCAGGAGGATGTAAACCCACTGAGCATAAGCCATCTTGAATGAAGTTCCGGGAATACTTTATAGCTTGGGATTTAGCTGGAGGAGGTGCTCGTGAAGAATGTTGTTGATGGTGTTGGTGATAGGAGTGTAGTAAGACCCGCGAGAGGAACACCTTTATATACCCTTTCGGAACATCAATATCCGCAGCTTCGAGATAGCCCAACGTAGCCAGCGAACGGCAACAGCTGGACCGCCTCGAGTGTCGTTTCACCCCCAGTGGAAAGTTGCGATGCGACGACAGAAGACCTCGGGTGTGCCAGCGTCTTCTTTGGTTTGCTCTTGCAGGCTTGCGTCGGGGAACACGATGCCTCCTCCGCGTGGAGTCTATTCCAGAGAGTTAGATGTATCAGCAATTATGCCTTCCGAAGATCCCTTTGCATTCACCACAGTCTGCCTGCAAGCTGATATCGATGGGAACTGGAAGGTAAGACCAGTCTGTGAGACAAAGATGCGAACTCTTAGTTTTCTTGCGTAAAATTCCACACATTTATGTAATGCAGATCATCTTTTCCTTGACTGGACGTCGCCAGCGGGCAAAAAATGTAACGCGCCGTGGCTTCAAGGTACTTGATGCCGCAGCAGGACTCAGTTTCTCCCCGGCGAGAGAGGTTCGGCGTGATACATCAGCAGCACGGGAGGGAAACGGAAAGAAAGCGTTCCACTGCAGCGCAAATTTATTGACACTATCGTATGTTCTTCAGGCTGACCTCTGTAACACACTGAAGAAGGGCCACCAGGCTCAAAACCATTGGGTCAAGATATCCGACGCATGCTTGTGCTTCCTGCAAGATGCAGTGCATGACATCTGTGAGTCTCGGTGACTTAGCGGTGAAGCCAAAAACATGTAATGTCACTGATTGGAGCCGAAAGATGACAGCGTCATATAAAGAGACTGAAAAAAATTGAGAAGCTAAGGAGAGCGCATGAGGGTCCAAGAGAGCATGGAACTCAACAGAATCACGCAAAGTCTGCGCATAAGGCAGTCTGGATCAGATCCCACTTCAGCAAAGGGCTGATAGGTCAACAAACCTTTCTGTTCGGACCAGACCCTGGATGTATCATTGATGTGGCTGGCCTGCCCCTCGATGAAGTGCCGCGATCACGGATGCTGCCCGCCTCTGTGTCACTATTTTTATGGTGTCTTAACCAATCGTAAGGCTTAATGGGCCTTGTGCTTAACAGGAACCCTCTTCTTGACCCCTAAGCACATGGGTAGTACAGATGTCTCCTCACATGAACCAGGTCCCACCATGGATGCACAGCCTGGAACACATGAGCTACCTGAGCGCTGCCACGACGGGTGCGTCCAGACGTCCGACCTCGGGAAAACAGAAGTTGTAACAAAATCTCTGGATTTCGAAGGCGTGGTGATGCAGTGGTAGAATGTCTAAAGTTGCTTGTTTATGTACTGTACAATATCGCCCTTTCTTACAGCGCCAACGTATCATACATGACCACGGAACGGGAAGCCGTCCACCTCTCCTGCACGCGGATGTCTTGTTTCCGCTCCATACAGTTGTGATACCCTCGACTAGCGCCTTTGTGCTGTCCTTCCTCATATTTGCACTTCACCTTCATCTTGCTCAAGCTTGCGGATCTGCTCCGCAATGTACGCCGGCGCTTCATCCACAGAGACATCCGTCTTCGTTCCATACTTGTGGACGTGGACCTCGCAGATTCCGTCCTTCTGAAACTTCTTACCGAGCACAACTCGAATGGGATATCCAACGGTTTCGGCGTCATTCATCTTCCAGCCAAAGGAAACCTTGCGGTCATCCACAACAACGTCAAGCGCCTTGTCCTGCACTTTGCCCGTGGAGATGGCATCATGGAGTTTCCAGGCTTCGTCCGTCATCTCCATGGTAGGAACAACGTAGACGTGGAATGGCGCAATGGCGACGGGCCATTGGAGCCCCTTTTCAGTGACAAAGTGCTCCACGAGGGCCGCAAATATGCGTGAGATGCCCAATCCGTAGCAGCCCATAGAGAGAGTCACTTTGGGCTGTTTTGGGTCGGCCGCTGCGACTTTAGCACTAAAGGGCTCGGAGTAGCGGTTTCCTAGGTAGAAGGTATGGCCAAGCTCCAGAGCGCGGTGCGTCTGCACTTGACCCCCATCACAGCGTGGACAGGCATCACCTTCTTTGAGACTAACAAGATTCAGAGGCTGGCAATCCTCGTCTTGGCTTATTTTCTCGACGCTGTGGCCTTCACCGGCGTCGAGGAGCTCATCGACTGTTGTCATAACCTTTGCTAGACGGCCGTCAATCAGCTGCTTGACTTGAGGTGGCCCTCCAGCCTCAGTGGATTTGTGCTGGTCTTCCCAAGCCTGATGTGCGGGCTGGCCCGAAAGCGTCGTATCGAGATCCGAGACTGCGGCCTTGATGGCGTGAATATTCGGGTCACCAGCATTTTTTGGTATCCAGACATTGACCAATGTCCTCCTGTCGGTGGTGACACCCGTCCATGCCAAAGCTGGAACAGGAACTGCCTCCCCTCCGATCACTTCGTCGGCAACGGGGAGCCTAGGCGAAGCGACCTCGTCGTTGGAGGCGTAATCGCATTTATCACAGGTGTAGATTGTATCCGAACCAATAGGGCTGGTGAGGTGGTATTCGTGACTGAGCTTGCCACCCATGTCGCCGGAGCTGGCCTCGGCCACGAGAATTGGCAGGTTGAGGTCTTTGAAAAACTGCTGATATGCCTTAGCAACCAAGTTGTAAGTCTCAAAAGCCTTCTCGTAGGACCAGTCAAAGCTGTAAAGATCCTTCATCAGAAATTCTCGCGACCTTAGCAGGCCGTGTCTTGGGCGTATCTCATCGCGGTACTTGCGTGCTGGGCATCTCCGTTAGTCGTGGTCTGGTTTCCAGGAGAAGATGGCTCACTGGTCTGGTATAATCGGAGAGGCATGTGTTTGTACGAGTTGGCTCCAGCTGCCACCAGCGCGGTGATCTCCTCCTCGTGCGTAGGGGCCAGTAAGAAGCGGTGCTTCTTGCGGTCCTCAAGCTGGAAGAGCTACCATTTGTCAGCTTGAGAACATCAAACATAACGAGGCGGATCTTCACACCTCGCCGCTGACTTGAGATAGCCGGCCACTTTGCTCCCAGAGCTGCGCTGAGGAAAGGCTTGACAATGCGAGGCGAGCAGCCCCGATTGCGTGCATGTGCTTGTCCAGTAGCTTCTCAATCTTCTCTTGCACCCTCAACCCCAACGGTAGCATGTGAAATATGCCAGGCTGCGTCTGCGTCTGTTTCAGTATACTTCGGTAATTCAACAATAGCACTTTGTCCTACGTTTCTGAGAAACCCAGCCCGAATGAGTTTGTCGTGTCCTGCTGCATCATGTCAGCCCGTCGAAATTTCACAGTCGCTTCTTGTGACCAACATTCTCCTTTTGTTGCCGTGCGGCCTACTGGGGGCGTCCAGACGGAAGTAGACATTGTCCATCTTGTCGGCTGGGTGCGATGACCCGTGCATGATATCCATCTCACGTTTTGCGACAGGCACAGACGCGATCGAGCCGGTCGGCTGAGCCGCGAGATACCAGCTACTGTCATCTCATTGACGCGTCTCATTATTTACTTTCACCCCTGGGTTGCATAGGAGCGAATATATTTCCGCTGATGTCTGTCGTGGAGAACTTCATGTTCGCAGCAACGAGATCACACGTCTTCGTGGTCCTCGGGAGTTTCTAGATGTGGCGCAGGCCACAGACACCAGCCACACCTGGCCCGCCAGGGACCCCTAGGCTAAACTAAGCTGCCTTGGGCTAGTAATTATGCAATAGGCGCATTAGATGTGGGGCTTATCACATCGCATTCTCAAAAAAAGTTGACGGCGGCCACTGATAATTTTCACTCCATACAGCCAAGCAGCATCAACCGGTCGCCCACTGCCCGAGATCTCACCATGGCTGCGGAAAAGAAGAAGGGGAAGCCCCAGAAGGACTCCCGGGGCAAAAAGCCCTTCACCGAGGCGGCCCTTGCCCAGCTGACCTCGTCAATCGACCAGAAACTCAACGGCAAGGCGGCAGCCGGCAGCGACCATAAGCGAAAGAATCCGCCAAGCAGCAATGAGACGGGAGGCGAGATCCGCAAAAGGCAGCGCAACTCAAGTAACGGACCAGCCAAAGCAAGTCCCAAAGGCAAGAATGGGGCGCGAGGAGGTGCGATGAGCGACGAGAAGAAGGCTTTGCTGGATGAGATCCTGGCGCTGGGTGGCGATGAGGAGGACCTCAAACTCATCGAAGATATCGACTCGTCGGATGACGAGTACGTCAAGGACACGAAGAAGCCCGTGGACAAGAAGCTCAAGGATGAGCTGGCAGCCTTGTCCAAAGAGCTTGGGTTCGCAGAGTATGCGCCCAGTGAAGCAAGTGAGCCTGAAGTGGAGGAGGAGGCTGAGGAGGACGATGATGAAGTGGAGGAGGAGGACAGCCAGGTCTCGGCCGAGGAGGATGCTGCTGACGACGAGGATGTTGTCCAGCCACCACGGAAACCCGAGGACATGGTGAGTTCATGCATCTTCCACCAAGCGCCTCTGACCGCTGACCAGTGACACAGATCCTTCAACCAAGGGCAGACTGGCATATTATCAAGTTGCCCAAACTACCAAAGCCCGTGACAGAGCAAATCGGACCTTTCACTCCCGCCATGGAAGCCCTCAAACGCCATGCCGAGACCCTGCTCGAGAGTGATGCCACTAAGTACCGCAGCAGCAAGCACGCTTCCTCCTCGCACAAATTCTTGTCGACCATCATGTCATCGGGTACCCTGAACGACAAAGTGTCTGCGTTGACTCTGGCGATTCAAGAATCACCACTGCACAACATCAAGGCTTTTGACGCCCTGATGAGTCTCGCCTCCAAAAAGAGCAGAGCGCAGGCCATTGGCGCGATAGGAGCCATCGTCGATCTGTGCGGCCCTGGCTCTTTGCTACCCTCGGAACGACGCTTGAGGACGTTCATGACACAGCCCGGACTCATCGGGACGCTGCAGAAGACTTCGACAAAGTCGTGGAGCCCCGAGAAACCACTGCCCGGACAACTGACCCCCATGCACCTCGTCAGTTGGGCCTTTGAGGACTGGCTGAAGGCCACCTACTTCAAGGTCCTGCAGCTACTCGAGGTGTGGTGCTCCGATGAGATTGAGTACTCCCGCTCTCGGGCGCTGGACTTTGTTTACGGTCTCCTCAAGGACAAGCCCGAACAGGAGTCGAATTTGCTGAGACTCTTGGTCAACAAGCTGGGTGACCGCGACCGCAAAATCGCGTCGCGAGCGTCCTACCTTGTACTGCAAATGCAAATCTCTCACCCTGGCATGAAGCAGATTATCATCCAGATGATCCACCAGGAGATTCTCCTTCATCCCTCACAGGACCATCGCTCCAAGTACTACGCCATCAACACGCTCAACCAGACCATCCTCAGCAACAGAGAATCGCAAATCGCCGAGTCGCTGATGGGCATCTACTTTGAGCTGTTTGTCACTCTTCTGAAGGGTGGCAGCTTGGGCGCTGCCCTGCAGGTCGATTACAACAAACCCGAGAATGGAAAGCCGGCCAAGCCAACAAAACCTGGCGCCAAAGGAAAGGCTGGGGAGCCGACCGAGCAGGACATTGACGCAGCCGACAAGCTCGTGTCGGCCATACTGACTGGTGTCAACCGCGCCGCACCGTTCGTCGGCACCAACGACACCATCATGGAGGCGCACATGGACACATTGTTCAAGATTGCACATTCTGCCAACTTCAACACTGGCATCCAAGCCCTCCTCCTGATTCAGCACCTTTCCACCGCCAGGAGTCTAGGAACCGATCGCTTCTACCGTACACTGTACGAGTCCCTGCTCGACCCTCGCCTGATCACCTCCTCAAAGCAATCGCTGTACCTCAATCTCCTCCTACGCGCGTTGAAGAACGACGTGGACGTGAGACGTGTCAAGGCCTTTGCGAAGCGCATGTTGCAGATGACGCATCTACACCAGCCAGCCTTCGTGTGTGGTCTGCTCTACGTTGTGGCACACCTGCAAGGGACGTTCCCCGATCTCAAGACGCTTATCAACGAACCCGAAGAGTCTATCTTTGACGACGACTCTGAGAACAGGCCCGTGTACGACGGGCGGAAACGAGATCCCGAGTACAGCAATGCTCAGAGGAGCTGTCTCTGGGAATTGGTAAGTTTTGAAAGCCCATGTCCAACGCGGTGATCATTGTCTGACGAACATTTAGATACCTGTACTGGCCCACTACCATCCCTCCGTGTCAGCCTATGCCACATCCGCACTGGAGCAGGACGCCAAGGCGACCAAGCCTGACCTGGACAGCCACTCGCTCATCCGCTTCCTGGACAAGTTTGTCTACAAGCAGCCCAAGGCCACCGACAGTGCGCGCGGTGTGTCGATCATGCAGCCCCTCAAGGCCACCAAGGATCTCGGCGACATCTGGCTCGGTAGCCGCGCTGCCGGTGCGGCGCCCACGTCCGTCAACTCGGCCACCTTCAAGGACAAGAAGTCAGAGGACGTGGCGGCCGAGGACGTCTTCTTCCACAAGTACTTCCAGCAGGCTGGCAAGGAGGGCAAGAAGCCTGCCAAGAAGACTGCCGGTGCTGGTGCCGACGAAGAGGAGGGCGCCGAGGATGAGATTTGGAAGGCCCTTGTGGCTGCCCAGCCTGACATTGAAGGAGACGACGACTCTGAGGGCTTCGACGACCTGGATGACGACGAGATGGCCTCGGATGACGATGACGAGGATGAGGAAGGCGCGTTTGACCTGGACGATGATGACATGGAGGTCGACACCGACAGCGAGGGCGGCGTTGATATTGAAGGCACGGACGACGAGGCAGAAGAGGCTGAAGACTCGGATGGTCTCGTGGCCGTCGAGGAAGATTCAGACAAGGCAGCAAGGGACGAGGCCAAGGAGAAGCGCAAAAACCGTCGCAAGGAGCTCAAGGGCCTGCCGACATTTGCCTCGGTGGACGACTACGCCGAGCTGCTGGGCCAGGAGCCCGACGAAGACTTCACATAGAACATGGGTGCGCAGGATATGTAATGCATAAAAGAACAGCAGCGATTCAAATTCAAAAAAGAAGAGGTGTCGCGTGCGCGACAGCGCGACTATGTGTCAAACCACTCCAGCTCGTCCTGCTCTGTGAAGATGGCGCGGTACGTCTTGCCGCCAGTCTCGTCGTCCTTCTCCTCGGTGTGGATGCTGTGCAGCTTGGGCGGCTCGTCGCCTCCGGCGATGAAGATCCTCACGTGGATGTAAGCAGGGCCACCACCGCTCTCGGCCAGGGCTGGTATGCGGATCTTTCCAAAGAGGTGGATGCCGTAGGCCGTGGTGGCGACGCGGACCGAGGTAAAGTCGGACGTTTGGAAGGCTGTCAGCTCGTTGTCGGAGAGCTTCTGTGCGACGGCAAAGTACTCGGTCTCGTGCTCTGGTCTCAGGTCAGTCCAGTCCATAGGCCATGTTGGCTGTTGGGAGACTTGTGTGCGTACTTTGATAGTCACGGCGCATGCGAGCGAGCTGGCTCTTGAGCTCGGGGAGGAGATGCTCAAAGGCAACGATGGAGTCTTCCTTGGGGGGATGGGCTGGGCCCAGGTCGACGGTTTCAGCGGTGGCCTAGACACTTTGTGAGTCTCTTGTACGAGACATGGTGATACTTGTTTTCCTTACCATTGCGCTTTGTTTCTTAAATTAGACAATCACAAGTGAGGATGAAAGGCAATAGACAACGATGAGAAGCTGTGATCACGTATTTATACTTTCCAGTGACTCCTACAAACGCCTACACCAAGCTTCCCCCGCACGTCAGCTCGTGATGCGACACGCTCGACATCCAGGGAACATGGCTTATTGTGGCACGTCAGGCTGGACCAGGTCCAATGGATGCACGTTGGGTGATGGCTGAAACCTGGTCACCACCATGCGGACGCGCAGCCATCCAGGGCATATGCAGACGGTGTGATGTCAGGGCCAGGGATGGGCGAGGCGATAAGTTGGGGGAGTGCAGGCATACTGTTGCTGTATTGCCTTGCTGGTGCTGCAGCCTGCATACGAACCATGGATCTATACTTTGCAGTGAGAAAGCATGTGTGCCAGTCTTTATGTTTCCACGAAGCATGAAGAAGCCTCACATCGAGGTGAAGGCCAGCGGAATGATCCAAGCGCCGAAATGCCTGTTAAATGCATAAGATACTATGCCGGGATTCATGCATGTATGCGAGGACCCTGGACCTCGGTGATTTCGAGATGAGGAATCAGACTTCCACTAGCATCGCGGTCCCAATTGCATAGACTTCACGCCAGGAACAAGCCCGTCACTCTTTTGGTTGGCTTTTGACGTACTCCCGAATCTGCATAGCCATGTTCGCGCAGCATGCCGGGCGCACAGCGCGTCGCCTGGGCCAGACGACGTGGCGCGCCGTGCAAAGACGAGGCTACGCAACCGAAACGACATGTACTGCTCTCCTTCTTCATGAAATCGACGAGCCTTTCTGACGCAAGTATTAGCATCTAAACCACCTAGCGGCGCAGGTGGTCGCGCAGCCAAGTTTCTCCTAACAGGCGTCGCATTCTCGACCTTGGGCGCAGGCGCAACGTGGCAAGCCATGAGCTCGCGCGGCATGGGGTTCTACTCGGACGAGGACAGCCTGAAAAAGTACACGCCGGAAGAAGCCGACCTCGAAGCCAAGAACGCCGAGCAAGTCATCAACACACACCCTCTCGTCACGTCGTTACGAGCCCGCTCCGATCTCACAGAGTCCAGGCCGCACATGAAGATGCCGGGTCAGTACCGCGCCAAGAGCCTCACGGGAGCCGCGCTGCTGGGTCCAGGCAGGGTCTCTGTGCCGCCGTACGCATGGAACGACGAGCACGGCAAGGAGATGGTCGCTCTGTTCCACGTGGGCGAGGACGTCTGCGGACACCCAGGCATCGTGCACGGTGGGCTGCTCGCGACTATACTGGACGAGGGTCTGGGGCGTTGCTGCTTCAAGAGCCTGCCTCATAACATTGCCGTGACGGCGAATCTCAACGTGAACTATCGCAAACCCACCCCGGCGAGCACGTTCCTGGTCCTCAAGGCGGAGACGTACAAGGTAGAAGGTCGCAAGGCCTGGGTCAGGGGCCGACTGGAGCAGCTGGCTGCGCCAGGCGAGAAGCCCATTGTGTTTGCCGAGGCGGAGGCCCTCTTCATCTCTCCCAAATATGCTGCGGTAAGTCGCAAATAGTCGCTCATGAAAGGCGCCCCACTGACGCTTCTCTCTATGTAGATGATGCCCAGGATTACCTAAGACGGCGACGACAGTTGCACCGACTGATAGAGGAGATGCCCATTCTCTCCATGACTGCTTGATACATTTGGCGATATATTTTGTATAGATCACAGCGATGCCTTCCCAGACAAGGACCTTGCGCGTGGATAGACTGTATTTTGTACCTACCTTACCATAGACCGACGACATTCAGCTTCTTGAGGCTTGGCCTGGATGGATCCCCATGGCAGTAACTGAAGCCAACGTTCAAACGGCGGTGAGACTGACATCATATCACCATGCAGAGCCTGCAGCACCACAAATGGGATCGGCAGATTCAGCTTCAGAATAATTCGACAAGAGCCCATGGCCCATCGGCGCCGACAGCGACGGTCCGACTGACTGCTCTCCCAATGGATGGCGACATGGATGAGAAATTTCGGGGCGCTGATGGCGTCTTGCCGGTCTCTGCCCCGCTGCCCCTCCACCCCTCATCGCAGGCAGTGCGACAGACGGACAGGCAGACTGACAGGCAGAGACAGACTCGATCTGGGTGTTGGTTTCCCCGTCCTCGACCCAGCGCGATTGTTGACTCTCCTCGTTTCTTTCCTCCCTCCTCTGCATACCTCCCATCCTCCAACACACAAGACACAATGGCTACGTGAGTCTGCCTGACGCGCAACGGACGCCAACCACCCAAGGAGTGATACTGTACTGACACGTCCAGCAACATCACCTGGCACCCTTCCCTCAAGCGCACCGAGCGCAACGAGCTCCGCAAGCAGCAGGGCATCACCCTCTGGCTCACCGGTCTATCTGCCTCGGGCAAGTCGACCGTCGCCACCGCTCTCGAGCAGCACCTCCTGCACCTCGGCGTCGCAGCCTACCGTCTCGACGGCGACAATGTGCGCTTCGGCCTGAACAAGGACCTGGGCTTCTCCGAGAAGGACCGCAACGAGAACATCCGTCGCATCTCCGAGGTCGCCAAGCTCTTTGCCGACTCGTCCACCATTGCCATCACCAGCTTCATCTCCCCCTACCGGGCCGACCGTGACCTCGCCAGGGAGCTGCACGCCCAGACCACCGCCGGCGACGAGACCCCCCTGCCCTTTGTCGAGGTCTACGTCGACGTGCCCCTCGAGGTCGCCGAGCAGCGTGACCCCAAGGGCCTCTACAAGAAGGCCCGCGCCGGCGAGATCAAGGACTTTACCGGCATCTCGGCCCCCTATGAGGAGCCTCTCAACCCAGAGATCACCATCAAGACCCACGAGAACTCGGTAGAGGAGTGCGTGGCCCAGATCACCAGCTGGCTGACCGACAAGGGCTACATCAAGACCGCCTAAGCAGCGGCAGGTAGAAGAGGAATCGAACAAAAGAAACCAAAGAAATCAAGACAGGCAGGCAGACAAATATAGACAGACAGATAAAGGGTGGTATGCTATGCCATGCTCTCTGCATTGTACGTTCTCTTCGCAGCCGGCCAATGCGTGGTCTCCCATGAACCGCGCTGTGTACTGTCGCCATCCACAGAACCATCTTAAGGGAGTTCCATCTCGTAGTACACGTAGGCCGAGTACTCGTTCCCGTCGCCACCTAGACCCGCCGCCATCATGTCTGAGCTCATCGCCGCATCGTCCTTGGTGACCCTACCACGCTTGTCCCGGCCAAATGCATTGCCGCCCAGGTAGGAGTATTGCGAGTCGAGCGCCGATTTCACCTTGGGGGCCAGCTTGGTTGTGGTCTGGTGTATTGTTAGCACCTGATCGCCAGGCGAACCGTAAATGAGAATGAAACGTACCTTGATCAGAGCAGACACATAGTCCAACGGCAGACCGTACCGCAACACAGCCTCCACGAACACGCGTAGGGTCAAAACGTGGATCCAGGCCATGACACTCTCGCTCCATCCCGTGCGGGCGATGCGGAGAGCCTCGCCGCAGACCTTGCGCTCCTCGTTCGTCACCTTGTCCAACTCACGCTGCTCCTCCTCCCGGCCGCCCTCCACGTACTTGTACGGGCGTGGCGTCCACTTCTGCTCTCGGCACTTTTGCAGAAACTCGTGGCTGTATTTCTTAAATGTGGCGACGCCAAACAGAACAAACTCGTCGTCTTGCGCAATCTGATTGGCGGATCGGGGCACGACCATGGGGGCGAGCTCCTCATACTGCTTCAGAAAGTCCTTCTTGGCGCTGTTGGGCACCACGATCAGGTGCGTCTCAATGTACTCGGAGTCTTGGACGAGGAGCGAGCTGTCAATGATGGGAGCAAGGGATTTCGTGGACAGGTTGCCGCTGATCATGGTCAGTAACAGCGGCGCCAAAGAGGAATATGGGCACAAACGTTTGTTTCCGTTGCAGAGTCGCGAGGTTGGTCTTGACTGAGTTGTACTGGCTGACCTTTGACTTGACATCATTGTCGACAGTGACGAGCTCCTATGAGAGTATCAGTACGGCAAGCTCTGGTGGCAGCTGGCTAGTCCTGTTTCCTCCCCACCTTTGACAACGTGTCTATGAGCTCGCCCAGGGGCTTGTCTGCGCGGTAGCGGATCTTGTTCCACGAGAAGTTGTTGATGTATTGCTCGGTCGGTTCTGCATCGCTTGTGAGCCTCGCAGCATCCTCGGCGCGCGACGTTGCCGCCGCCGCAGCAAGAGCACTCACTATCGTTGACCATCTTATAGGAGGACAGGCGGTCCTCGTCGCCGCCCAGAATCGTCCTGAGAGAGTCGCCCACCTTGGCGACAACGGCTTCAGCAGTCGACTCGAGCTTGGCCAGGTCGTCTGCCTGCTGCACGAGGGCGTCGAGAGTGCCAATCTTGAAGTCGGGCACTCTGAAAGGCAGGACGGTGCCATTGTCGGACGAGATGTGCCCCTTCAGGGACGAGACTGCATCTTCCTTGTCGTTCGTGTCGAATGCGCCAATGGGCAGCGAAACCACCGCGTACTTGGTGGACATGGCGGTTTGAGAATGGCCTTGGTAAGTGTCCCAGGTGGTTCGGAGGGGGATAGTGTCGGATGACGACGTACGTCCGCTGGAGAGGTGCGGTCTTGGTCGGTCGGAGCAGCGAGCGGTCCACTTGGAGAGAGAGACGCAAATCAACCAGGCTTCTATATCCAAGAGAAAGTTATCAGAACTCGAGGACGGACGAGGCTGACAAGAAAATCATGAAGCTCTGTTCTAATCGCCTAGATGAGCACTCGCGCGGCCTCAGAAGGTGTGACCTCAGCGGCAACCGGAGCTCCATGTCGTCTGGATACTCCAGCCACATTCATTCGTGGCTCACGAAGCTGTGGCGCAATGCCCCTCCACGTACTAGTTAATGCAGTCGCTACCACCCTTGGCGCCATTCTTGCATTTGAAGAATGAAACTCCAGTCAGGCCTCAGCTGCTTCCAGGAAACGGCAAGTACGCTGGACCCGGGTCTAGCAGCTCGGACTGTGACCCATCTAGCTGGGGCAGGCGACTTGATCCCTCTCACGGACTTCTTCGCTCGGCCTGAAGCAGCCAAAAGCCATTCGCACATTGGGCGATCTTGAAAGATCGATATTTGATCCATCAGAATCCCGCCGAACTGGACCCCTGGCTTGGCCTTCGTCGCAAACCAAACAACCAAACACCATTGTCCGCGCCCAACCCATCGACAGCTGTCGCGCACCCACGCAGCCTTCACCTCGGGGCTCGAAAAGTTTGAGGTACCTCGTACCTTGTGCCGCCTAGACAAACACTCATTTCGAGGCAAGGCACGATCCCACTGAGGCTATCTCCACAATGGCAGGCGGCGTGTCACGTAAGTCGAGGATTGCAGCAAGTGCAAAGTGTGCGCGCACACAAGAGTTGTCCAATCTATATTGACGCGATTTCTTCCAGCGTCACCCGGGGACTCTCCTCGTCTGTCACCTGGCGAGCAGCTTGCAGAAGAGTCACGGCTTCACCGGAGCGAGACGCGCGATGATCGACCGACGAGCGACCCGAGGCCAGTCGAGCAGTCTGCCAGTGCTCAGCCAACAATCAACCCAACACCAGCGCCACCGCCCTCGACGAATCCCAGATCCGATACGGCGCCAATGGCTTCACCTCCAGCATCACATGCGAATGCGCCCCAAGCAGGTCATGCTACCACCGAGCCTCCGACCCAGACCACGCATGCTTCGCCGATGACGGCACCCCCAAATTCTCGACCAGCAAGCACCCAATCTTGTCCCGAGAGCGCTGTCACACCAGGCAGATCACCTAGTCAGCCAGCTCAGGCCACGGCGCAATCATTCTCGATGAAACCCGTCGGGCGCGTCAAGGTTGCGGTACCAAAGGCATTGAGCACGAGACCAAACATTGACAGGAACTTCGCCGTTATGCAAATGGGACCTTCGGCACCACGAAGTACCGCCATGGCAGATAATCGCGAGCGCGCGGCGCAGCGGAGCAGTGAGGCCACACAAGCAGCAGCTATGGCCGGGAGCTCTGGCAACCGACCCTCTCATGCTAGGCACATATGGAGACCTTCAAGCCCTAAGCAGCAATCTGCGTCTCCTGCCCCTCAGGCACAGTTCAAGCAATCGCCTTTCCCGCTGACGTTCCCGTCTTCTCAGACAACCAAGGACGAGCAAGCTCGAATGTTGACTTTTTTAAGAAGCCTACATCCGGTGATTGTGGTGGACCAGTTGTGTAAAGCACTGGCGTACTTTGGAGGCATCCCCGGCGCGCCTCCGCCACCCAGCATTGAAAGCTTCCCCCACAGTTTACAAGGGCATGGGTCTGGGGCGTTTCTTGTAGGCTGGCTGTCTGAAATCTTCCCACCAGCTGACTTTACGAAACCCCCCTTCTCCAACTTCCCGAGCAACCCTGCGGCCTTGACCAATGTGTCAGATTTCGCAGGGCCATTTGACAATGGGAGCACCGCTGCTGCGGTTCCAGCCAAGCCCACGGCGGCATCAGCGACCGCAACGGCACCAGCGACTACACAAGAGGCAAGCCCGCCACAGGCCGATATCCCACTGAGGAGGAAACGAGGACGGCCCAAGGGCAGCAAGAGCAAAACGCCGCGCAAAGACAAGGGCATTAAGAAAGGTCCATTGGCTTTGCAGGGAAGGAAAAGCCAACAAGGCGCCACTGCGGACGGTAATATCAATGAGACTCTTTCCCACAATCCAAACGCAGACCTTCGTCTCCTGCAGCAGGCGACGAATGATACGGACAGTCTAGCTTCTACTCAGACGGGACCTCAGCCAGCATCGCAAGCGCCTCCGGAGACGCCAACGGGTACCGGGGCCATCGCTGCGAACCCAGACGCAGACCGCCCGAGCTCAAGTAAAAGGGGCAGGCCCAAGGGGTCCAGGTCAAGGGTCAAACCGGTGCCCACGCCCAATCTGCCACCTGGCATTGGAACACAACCATATAATCCTCAGCAAGCGACATCCACAGCCAATGCGTCGTTAGCCCCCTTTGCTCCTATGATGGCGACTACCTCTGCTCCAGAAGCTGTTATGGATGACTCCCGGACGCAGAATCAGTATAGCTCGGCATATGCGGATCAGCCTGCTCATCAAAAACCCCACAAGTCAATCGCTGAAGCGACCTTGTCACAGCATGCGCAGAATTGGGCGGATCCTCCCGCAGATAGCCCTTGGGTCCCAATGTCGCCTCAGCAAGCTGCTCGGCCTGCGCCTCAGAATAGTACACATGCTTCGGTAACGCAAACCGTACCGCCAGATGCTCGAAAACGAAAGTCTGTTCAAGACGCTGCACCCCAGGCCTTGCCCGAGCTTGAACGGCGGCCCCATGACCAGCAATACCAACAGCCCTCTAGAAGCCAGCGGGTAGACGCCGGCCACAACGACCAGGCCAAAAGACGCCGGGTATCGGGAGGCCCTCGCTCCGCTTCCACTGCCAGCAATATGTCCCAGAACTCAAACCATGGCGCAGCACCAATGTTGAGCCAAACACCATCCGGTAACTACACGTCCGGGCCCAACACGCGCCCTGCAATGGGCCAGAACAGTCAGCAACCGAGGCCGTACCACCAGCCACCTCCTCAATATCAGCAGCCGCCTCCCCCTCAGCAGCAGCAACACCATCATCACCAACAGCGGCAACAACAGCAACAACAACAACAACAACAACAAAAACAACAACAACACAATAATGCCGGAAACAGGGGTCAGCAGCAATACTACCCCTCCAGCCAGCCACAGAGTCAATACAGCCAGTACAAGCAGGCTTCGGCGGGCATTAGCAGCAACAACGGCAACACTGAAACCACTGGCAACCGGGAATTCAGCGAATACCCTGCCTCGCAAACACGGTATCTTTCTATGCAGTACGCCATGAGCGCGAACAACGCTGTGCCAGGATCGCAGGGCGGCAATGGCGGCGGGTACACCGGACAGGGAGTCTTTGATGCTTTTGGCCGGCGTTAAGGGGCGCACGCACACTCTATTTGTAAAGCGAGGATGCCTTTTCTGGGAATGATTGACGGCTGAAAAGGTCGATGGGCTTCGGTGCGTATGGCGTTTTGTCTGTCTATATCAGCCAACAGGTAGGCAGTGCGTTTGTGTGTGAGAGCGATACCACTACAGTCAATGGAGACGGCCATACTTATGCGGATCCGCGCAAATGTACCAACTTGCTTTTCTTTCTCTTCATACTCAACATCACAAAGCAGAGACGTCTCGGCCATGGTTGCCGTAAAGGCGTAACATATTTGTCAAGCCTATCAAGCTCTCGCTATGGAATCGCACGTAGCCGACCTATGCATCCGCCCACGCGGTATCTATCCTGTCCTCATAACCTAACAACAGTCATCCCAGATTGGCGTTGACCTGAAACAAACGGAAATGGCAAAGAAAGTGTGATGAAAATAGTGGTGACGTCGACTGTCACGACCTGCCCGCCGGAAACCATGATAATACCCGTAAACGCCTTGCCAAATGCCCTTTTTTTTCCTCATTTATGCACGCAGACAAAAGTAGATGGATAGTAGTGATCGTCAGGGGTAGTAAGCCCCACTTCAATCGGCCTCGTCGTCGCCGGCAGTCGTAGGTGGTGGTTTCACGGAGTCGTGCAATTTGCTTCCGTAGCACCACTCGTCCATGCTATCGAGCCCCTCCTCACGGATGAGGTCGAGCATGACTTGCTGGTTGCGCCGAATATCTTGTGTCCTGTTGACAACTTTGCGCTGGAGGATGATAGCCTCCGCTGTGGGCAGCCAGATGCTCTGCAACACAGGCAGGTCGTCCAGTATGGTCTGGGCTTGTTCGCGGCTGAGCGAGCCCATTGGCACGCCGGCGGAAAGTGAAGTGTTGAAGATCCAGTTGGAGTCAAACGTCCACCCGTTGTCAATCGACCCTGTGGCACTCCGCGTGCGGTGCAGGCTGCTAAACGAGGAACGATGGTGCTCACGGGTACCTTCGCGGCTTTCGCCACTAGTTGACTTCTTACGACCGAACAAGCCTCGCCGTGTCTTGACGGGTTGCTCAGGGGATGCTGGGTGCTCGGACGAAAGTGCATCTTTGGTCAACGAGCAGAACCAGGTATCGACCGCTGTTCGACGCTTGTTGTATCCTTTGATCTCCCAGAGACGTTCGACCTCGCGTAGTCCGCCAATGCAAAGGATTGCCGAATGGACATCGTCAGATGGCTTCTCTCGCACGTAACCACGCAGTGATCGTTCAACACGGCCGACATAGGTAGGTGGTCGCAGTCGGCGGCAGAAAGAGGATATGACCAGCGGGAACACTTCATGCACCCGCAGAAGAGTCTCGTCGTCGTACATGTCCATGATTTCCTTCTCAATGGGGTTGAATGTGTGCGCGCCCATCTTCAGCCCATGACCGTGCTCCTGCACATACTTGAGGTGCAATCTGCGATACGTCTCGAAAAAGTGGAAGACTGTGAATAGCAAGGGTATTAGGCGTCGCCGCATGCGTTCGTTTTGTGACGAGAATGCGAGGCGCTGTGCATCAGTTTGTCGCAGGAAAATGTCCTTTGTTATCCATTCGCTCATCATGTAGGCTAATTTGGCGGCGACATGTAATCGATGCCACAGGCCGCAAAGGTAGTGGAAGTTGAATTCCGTGTTGTCCTTGACCGGATATAGCCGACGTGCGTATGCTGGGATGGTGTGTAGTAGGTGGTGTCGGACGATGGGGCCCTCGTGGGCTGTTATAAGAGAGTGCCATGATTTGGAAGACAGACGTAGGTTGAGTATATCGGGAAGCGAGAGGTTGGCGATGACCTGTATTTGTAGTTCGTTTGGCAAGCGCACAAATAGTTCATCCAGTCGAGCCCTGCAATCCTGTGAGTGACCGACATGTGAGCCTTGAAACCCATGCACATACCTCTGTCGCCTTGACTCGATCGACTCGCGGAAACCCGAAGCTGATGTTGATATTTGCGCTACTTGTGGTACTGGTGGGACATCGACTGGTAATTGTGTCGGTTTCGACTGGTGAAGAAACGAGAACTTGTGCCTCAGATTAGGAAACACTCGCTTTTCGCGCTTCTCCGGTCTGATAGGATCGACCTCGGCCCTGGACTCGCGCAAAGGCAGGATGAACTTGGATCCTGACGCGAAAGAGTCGGTATCATGCTGCGTCTCATGATGATGATGGTGTTGTTGTTGTTGTTGTTGTTGTTGCTGATGCTGATGCTGTTGCTGCTCAATCTTGTCGTGGAACCGTTTTGAACCAAACTCGGTGGTCTGGATCGATTCCATTGCGTGCCGGTGACCCTCCATGGCGGAGGATTCGTCCAGTAACTGGACGAAAAAAATGAGCGAGTGGCTGGATCACGTTGAATCCGAGCAGCAGCCTTTGGGACCTGCCCAGAGGAAGTGTCCTGTTCACAATGGTTCGCGGCGAAATGGCTTCACGCAGGGAACATGACGTGCGCCTGGAGGGGAAGCCAAGGTCAGAAACGGTCGGTCGGTTGGTCAAGGGGTCGAAGTCGGTCGAATGGCCGACGGATGGAATGGCGTTGGCGGCCGCCGTGAGCAGAGCGATTGACGAGTGGCAACGGTCGCAGCGCGGTGGTGGGTGTCTAAAGAATGTCTTCGCGCGGGAACTGGAATCGAGCGCCCAAATATCGCGAAATAAAGCTGTATCAAATGGCGAAAAAAAGCCTGCCGATACCAGTATGAAAGAGACTACTTGTCGGACGGTCAATCTTCGTCGGGCGGACCGTTGATGGGTGAGAGGCGAGTGGTTGATTGACGAGTGTCGCACGCCAGGCGAGTGCGACCGGTGGAATGGAGGGCGAAGACAGTCGCGTGGATGATCGACTATCTATCGGCGCAGCAGATGCGTTCGGCCGGTCGAGATCGAAGCAGGGCAGATTCGGGTTGCGTAGAATCTCAAATCGAAGCAGGTTCAATCCGAGGTTCAAGTTCTGCATCAGGATTGAAGAGGACTAGGATGTGATGGTTTCTGGCACCCAGCAGCGGGCGATAACAGGCAGGCAAGAGGAACTGGACGCTGACGGACAGGCTGGTTTGGGCTGGTCTAGCCTGGTCTGGTCTGGGAGCCAGCCAGTGGGGATCGCACCTTCCTGGGGATCTGGGACTGGAGGCGCGGGCGGGTGGGCGGCGCTGGTTCGCCAGAAGGAGCGGCCGGCCAAATAGTGGACCGAAGTGAGTCCGAAGGAGAGCCCGCAATGTCACGCCGCCATACCTAACGTGAAGAGATTGCGTCGTATTCTCCGCGTTACCAGTACTACGTCCTGGCGTCGCTCAATCTTGAGGGAGTTATTCTTTTACACTTCGCACTGCCAGCTGCGTGCGTGCGCTTTATGCTCACTCGTCCGCTCTCAGATTGTAATACAAGTCAGAATCGGTACGCTTCAAGGTTTCCTCCCCAGCGGACGACGCCGAAGTAAGGCCAACGATTCGACCCGCTGACGAATGCTGATTGCTGTGTTTGCGGCCGTGGCTGCTGGTTTGCCCGAGCAGACAGATGCAGTGGGGCGGCCCAACCGACAATCTCCGTCGTGAGGGAGAGTCCGACGGCCTCCATTGGCACCCAGTTGGAGTAAGTGGGACTTCAGCCGGGCCGGCCACCCTCGTCGAGATCCTCAATTCTCACTCTCCAGTCCCCACGCGTCCAGTGACTCCGGTCTGTCTGACGTCGTGGTTCTTATCATCATGATGGGAGCAGATGCTGGTCTTCTGCGCGTCGTGCCTCGCTTCCGGTCTGTGTCATCGCAAGACGCTCCCAAATATACACACCAACGCCAGGCACGTTAGCACGTCTCGGAATCGCTGCTATTCTTGTGCCCCTCCATGTCTTGGGCCTCGAATGTCTTGTTCCTGCTCGGCGGCATACCCCGAAAAGGACGCCAGATCTTAGATAACGAATTTGTTTGTCGGTCCCTTGTCGGGCATGCATGTCGGCACGATAGCATCCACCATGTCACGAGACGCGAATGGCCATTTTTCGGTGTCAGTCAAACAGACTCAATTGAACGAGATTGGTGCATGTCAAGAGAAGGAGCCTGTGATTCCATATCTGGCCTCTGGGGGGAATGAGCGAATCGCTGGGAGACTTTTCCATCGCAGCCATGAGTTAATCCTCGAGAATCAGCGTGGGCGGTCCGACAGTAGCAAACAGAGATCGCTCGGATTTTATCTCTATGAGCCTACTTGTACGTAGTCTGATTAGATAGCGACTTGGCGCTGGGCCTTATTCAGATTCTTAGTCACTGGACCTTTTGGCGTCTTGCCGCCCACGTTGTCTTCAGACTCCAGCCTCATCTGGCAAGCGGCGCGAGTGCGAGACGCTAATATTGTCACTTTCTCCAGACTTCCCCTCAGCCCTCCCAAGGCTTGGCCGCTTGGGGGGGCGGACGACCTTTCGAATTAACCACTCGGTCACTGGATTTACTTGACACTAGTTAGTAGTATATTAACTATTGCAGCATCTCAGGCGGTTGGCACACAACTCGCTAATGGCTTGGCGCGTTCAGTCGTCAAAGGCGCTTGTCACTTCGTGCATGTTGGCAGCGACTGGACAGCTCGTGGCTTCCAGGCAGCAGGCTATGGCTTGTGTTTTCCGACCAGGCTAATAAATAGATCGGCCCTTTCCGCGAGACAGCCAGGTCCTGGGACCTGAACCTCCCGTCCCTCAGTAATTGTGTTATTAGTCGTTAGCTCGCGCCAGTAGACGGTTTTGCCCCCTTTGGGACGTCCGCCCTCTCTGTGCTGCGGCATTGCCGTTTGTGACCACTATCCGCCTCGTCTTCACTCTCAGCCCTAGCCATCAGTTCATCCATGCCGCCAAGATCCTCGTCTGATCTAGTCAGAAGCAGGAAGTAGATTCTGCGGATGCCCTTTTCTTCCTTGTTGCCTTTGGTGTATCTTCTTTCGGCGTCGTACAGGTCGGTCTCCCGTCTGTCCACTGCTTTCCGACGCTTCTCCTGGAGCTTGATCCGGTCCTCCTCTGTGCGCTGCCCTTGCGAAGCCACTACTTTGGTCTCCTGTTTAAGAATTGACTCCATGTCGTCTTGATATCGCTTCTCGGCTTTTTGGATGCTCTCCGTTTTCTTGTCCAGCGCCTTCCTCCTGTCAGTCATGAGCTTCTTCTCGCCGTGACCTCGCTGCCATTCACTGAGCGCGACGGACATCTTTCCGACGCCCACCCTCCTCTCCTCCATCTCGGGCAGGTCTTCGATGTCGAGCGGTGATAGCCAAGGCTGGAGGGTCTTGAGCCGTCTCTCCTGGCCAGACAGGGTGTGCAGCTCGTGGATATCCTCGTGAGGTGCGAGGATGGCCGCATCTTTAAGGAGGACATTGTCCTCGTCTAGTATCGGCATCCCCGCAAGGAGCGCAACAGCTTCTAGCTTGGCCACTTGCACCTTTAGTCCATGTCGGTGGAAGATGTCCCGGTTGGCCCTTCGAAGCATCATCTCCGTCCGGCCCTTGCTCAGCGCGTACATGCTTGCGTTGGCCGTCACGTCGATCCCTAGGGCGACGGCTTGGGTTGTGATATCAGGCACAAAGTTGGCCACGCCACACGCGGCGCTAACCATGATCAGCGGGGGGCTGCGCACAGCGACGCGGTTCAGGTCGTCGAGAAAGGTGAGGAAGACGTTGCGTGAGATGCCAAAGTCGTGAAGCACTGGTGGATAGGCGCGGAGGAATGGCGAGCCGAGCGATGAGGACGTTGCCGGCACTGCAACAGGCTTTGCCAGCTCTGCCGTGCGTGGCGGCAGAGGAGGTGCCTTGTCGTCGCCATAGCCAAAGTCGTGGCCCATCATGAACTTGAAGACGATCTACCGCGTCCGCGATGGCGCGTGAGTAGCCACGCGCTTGAGTCGCCACGCGCTTGAGTTGATTTTGTGTGCGACAACTCTATGTTGCTTGTAAGAGAGTTTCTTCTTTCATGAAGATAGGAACGGCCGCTTGAGATCCCTGAAGCTTCGGGTACATGTATGAAATCGAAAGCTATGTTATGTCGTTGGGGTCAAGATGAGCGAGTGACAGGGTGAAGCCCCAATTCGAGGCTTGGCTCTACGCACGCACAGTGTGCGCAGCTACTACAGCCGCCATTGTCCGTAAACAACCGGAGTCTTTTCAACAAATGAGCAAGAATATTAAACAGGACATTCTCTTGCTGGTATCTCATTCCCGAATAATGACGTGCTTACCGTTCTTCGAGCCCGATTCCCGCGCATTTCTCGACAACAGGTAACTCTGGCCTCCAATTGAGCAACATATTGAGATGGCGTTACCTAATTTGGTATCTCCCTGTCAAGGTACGCCCCTTTCTTTGAAGTCATACCTTGTAATAGCGATGGCAAAGTTCATCCTAGCTAGCTCCGGCAGTCAGGTACTCCAAGTAATAATACTACGTAATCGATCATTATAGACCGAGACTAGTACCAACCCCAAGGGTCAAACTCGGTCGGTTCACGGAAGCAGCCGGTGAGACACACTGGGACGGCCCCATCTCGGTCGTTCTGTCGCACTGGCAGATCCGGCCGCAGGGAGAGCGCATCCTCTTTTTAAACTTTTGCTCTGATCGGCATCTGTGCTTGCCGGCTTGCTTGCTCGCGACTACGTATCTTGCCTTTCCGTGCTGGGTCGCCTGGTGTTATATGCCATTAGTCAAATAGGACCGACCGCCATTCGTCGGCGTTTATTATACTGTGTACTAATAGTACTAAATTTATAGTATGCGTCCGATCGCCCATATGCCGTGGTGACGACGCTGAGGACGTAGTGCATGTCCGTTAAGAGTGTCCGGCTACCCTGGAGCCAGAGCATCCAGGTTGATTGACCACATTCACAGGTACACTTGCAACTCGCAGTGACTAAAACATGTTCGAATATTATTTATATTTTGCGGGTTTGACGTCTTCGTTTGGCTTTTGTACAGTTATTGAGGCTGCTGTGTTCACAAATGTGAGTTCAACTACTGTATTGCACAATGTGTTCGCGCCACAGCATCACATCATCTAACGAACCTAATTAGCACTCACCCAATGTATAAATCATGTAATGCGTAAGGAATAATATTCCATGCACAGGAATATCTTCCACCTCGCTGGGCACTTCACGATAGTATCAGGACCAGTACTCCACAACGCCCGTGTAGCCCCTCGTCTGTCTGAAGAAGCGCGGGGCCCCCTCATTCTTCCGGGTCCTCCAGGCTCCCAGCCGCCCCGGACCTTGCCAGCTGCACGCAGGTGCCAGGGCATGCACGCGCCCGGAGGCAGAAACAATACTGTTCTATTCTTATCACCGCGCTCACATCTCCAGTCTCCCACTCACGTCACGTACCACCAGCTCACTCATCAGTCACAAACGGGCGCTGCATCCTCCATTCCCCCAAGCGCATCCTACCGCACGGCACACTCCATCCGATCGTGGATTCTGGTCGAGCTTGCGATACTAGTTAGCCAGGTGCCGTCGACCGAGTTGTGCTAGCGCTGCAAGACACCACCGGCCGCTACCATGTCCACGGTTCCTGACCCTGAACTCACAGGAGACACAGCCACCGAGCTATCAACGTCTCACCTTGCACGGTTCGAGTTCAGCGACGCAGGCACAAAGATCCTCATGGTGGAATGGGCACCTGGTGCCGTGGCGTCTGCGCCATCTGAACCCTCGACACTACCAACTGCACTAGATGATGCGCCGTCACCGGCGACACCAGCAAAGAGCAACGACTGGCACGTCTCCTGGCCTGGAAAATCCACGGTTCTGCCAGCCAACGACGTAGACTCGACGTCTTTTGCCCGCCGCATCTTCTTTCTCCTGCCACCAGACGCGCCAGTGCCGTCCACGGTCACCATCACACCCCCTTCGCCTCTCGAGGCTATCACTCTCAAACCTCTGCCCGCAATCTTCCCACCGTCTTTCCAGGATCAGCGTGGTACCCGCGGCGTGTTGCACACCATATGGGCCAAGAAGCGCCTGCGCGAGCTCGACGCAGAGATGGCGTCGGAACTGTCCTTCAACACGGAGAGCGTGGGCCTGGAAATGGCACGCGCTGAACGGGACTGGATCGTGGATACGTTCCTCACAGAGCAGAAGCAGGGTGACGGACTGGGAAGCGTGCTGAGCGCCGCGGGCATGACGCCCTTGACGCCACGCAGTCCCATCGGCGGCAAGCTGGGCGAGAAGCTGCGAGGTCTGAAGCTGGAGACCAGCCCGGCCGAGCTGGAGCCATCGGGTATGTTCTCTCATCGAGTATCGTGCACGCTATGACGACTAACCGTGTGATGCTAGCCAACATCTTCCTCGCAGAAGGCAGCCAGAGCCAGACGCTCAGCCCACGTGGCGACGATATTGCCATGTCCGGGTTTGGCAGTATACCCCAGCGCTCGCCAGGTGTTGCTCCCATGGGCGGCGCCATCTCTCTGAATGCCGTAATCAAGGGGGATCCCGCGCCTACGGGGCCCAAGACGGAGGATGATGATCTATTCGCCCTGCCCATCAGCCCTCGCAGTCCGGACATGGCAAAGAGCCCATTTAGCACATTGAAATAGTTCACCCAGCGTACAAATACCCCCGTATATACACACACCATGCATAATATATACTACACAACATCATCTTGGCCCACCCTGGCTGTTGCGATTAACGCCAACCGCCCACACGGCCCTCGTCCCACCGTTCCTTTCTCTCGCTCCGCAGGTAGAATCCTACCCGCGCCTCGCGGTACCGACGCACCCAGTCCGCGACCTCCCTCTCCGCCAGCTCCCCATCCTCGCTCTCGAGAAAACTCTCCTCCATGGCCGAGCACACCTGTCCCTGCTCGTTGACCCCTTGGCTCAGCTGCTGGTATAGCCGCGCCGGGGCGAACGGGGCCAGCGCATCATCCATCTCCGCCTCCTTGGCGCGCCACGTCCGTTCCAGCGCATGGGTGCTGAGCAGCTGCGCCTGCGTCGCGGCTCGTTGGTGGGACAGTTGCGTCGATAGTTGCGATACGTGGTTCGCTAGTGTAATGTTGTCGTTGAGCGCTTGTTGTAGCGTTTCGTGGGACGACGACAGGCTAGGATGGATGGTCTGGGGCGCGTTGGTCAGGGCATTGAGTAGTTTCTGGTCGGCTAGTATGGCGGCAATATCTTGTTTCCTACATGGAATCTAGTCAGTATATACAGACCCAAAGGGACAAACTCCCATTTGAATTCGGAACGTACGACTTGTCCTGGAGGATCTGCGGCAACCACCCTTCTCCAGGATCGGGGACCTGCTGCCTCGGCGGCGCATGTGTAGCAGGTGGCTGTCGACCATCTGCTGCTGTGGGGAGAGCTGGCGTATTGACGCCGCTGGCTTCGTGGCTCCCTGGTTTGGGAGGCGGCACGGGCGGCGTCGCGCTGGAGACGGGCGTGTACGACATTGACAGAGCGGGAGTTGGAGCGGGTGGATGCAGGTTCCAAGATGACGCGGGAGTCGCTCGACAAGCTTCACTTACTTTACCCGCGTCAATGTGGGGGCGGGGTCCCGGTCCCGGTCCCAGGAACGCGTATAAGACAGGCACCTAGGGACAGCATTACAAAGACTAGCAGGTGTCTGTTGTGTCAACCTGTGCGAGGCATGTAATTTCGTAGGAAATATTTGCTCATATCGGCAGCTGCATTGTTCTGGTATCTCTTGGGCTTATGATCCCCTGCCATCCACTATCTCCTGCGCCACCTTGGCCGTCGCCTTTACGATCAACTCGTGCTCGTGGGCATGTATCCTCTCCTTCAGCTCATCCAGCCCTTCTCCCTTCCACTCGATCTCCTGGACCAGAATGGGGGCGCCTCGATCCACCTCATCGATCACGTAGTGGGCCATGATGCCTGTGCGTGTTAGACGCCCAGCCTTCAACTCCTCGAACGCTCGCTCAATAGCGTTGGCCCCGTCAAACTCCCCTATGGTCCTCGTCAGCAGCAGAACTAAGGATGGTCTTTTTTCAACCAAAACCTTACCGGGTAGCGCTGGGTGGAGGTTGATGATCCGCACCCCCGCCCTTTCGATCGGCTCGAGGAAGGCAGGCGAGAAAACGTGCATCCAGCCGGCGAGAACAATCAACTCAGGCCTTTCCTTTTCTGCTGAGAGAATCCTTTCGGCCAATGCAGCGTCGTAATTTCGGCGGCCTTCCGCTACCTTCTGCTCGTCTTTTTCTCCTTTCCCCAAGAACCCGTGGCTGATCAGGTTGAAGTACTCCCAAGGAATACCTGGTCGTGAAATTAGCTGCCATCCCGGTCACATATATATGGGAGAGAACCACGCACCCGCCTTGTCCGCACGAACAGTGGCGTGCGCACTTTTCCGGTTCGTAATGAGCGAGATAATGCGGCTGTTGTGAAGCTGCCCGTTTGACACGCCATCGAGGAGAGCCTGGAAATTCGAGCCAAAGCCAGAGGCCATGACCAGAATCCGGCATGGTGACGCTTCCGGTGCGGTCATTTTGGAATGTGTGTGGAAATGATGTTAGTGGGATATAATAATCAAATTCTCGTACGTACCAGACACCAAAATGCTTCTTCACATGCACCATTTTCCGTCTTAGAGTTTTAATGATATCACGTGACACCCATTTGGTGGATCACAAGAGGAGAACAGCGCTTTCGCTCTTCTAGTCTAAATGTAGGTACTTCTCCATGACATTGCGCGTGATCGTCTTCTTTCATATTATACTGCTCGTTCCAGTCGTTATACTACAGCCAGATATCATGATCCTCCCAAGCTCACAGCCCAAATGTCTCTTGTCCACCCCTTCTCCCGTAGCTTCTTGGCCCCAGACTTTGTCGGCGCGCCCGTCCTCTCCCCTGGCGCCATAGCCAGCGCCTTGCTGCTGACGGCAAACGCCTCGAGAAGCTCCCGGACTCGTTTCGCCTCGACAAAGGTGGCTTCCAGGTCGGCGTCGCGTTCCGTGATGATTGTCGCGAGGTCCATGCACTCTAGGAGATAGTCCCTCGTCAGACGCGTGCCTGCAAAGTGCAGGGACTTGACATAGGCCAGAATCGTCTCGGGCAAATACATCTGGCGGATCTCGGCCAGGGCTTCGTTGCCGTCCTGGATGCTAGCAAGCATCCAGTTGTGCAGCAGCGGCTGCATGCTCTCCTTTGTGATCTTGACGGCGTTGATGAGCTCCGGACGCCATTGAGCTGCCTTTGTGTTGACATCGGCACTGCGCATGTTAGTCTTTTCCTTGACGGGGCGGGGGATTTTCGCTCTTGGTACGTACTCTCCGGCAATGGTAGCAAAGGCCCCTGTCGTCTCCAGACTATCCAACGCCTGCACCAGATGACCCAGATCACGGAAATTTTGCGCATCGGTCATGACCTGAAGAGGCGACGCCTGCACGTTACCAGGCAACCCTTCCAGCTGCTCAGCCCAGAAATCGATGCTGTTCGCCATCGACTCGTCTTCCACACCGAAGCGCTCCGCCAGGATGGCGCTGAACGATATGCTCTTCATCAACCGCCTTGCTGCGTCAAGATGCATGTTGCCTAGGTTCGTCAGCTAAAGAATCGTATGGTCAGGCATCGCATATACGTACGCAAAAAGAACACAAATGCTTTCACACCCATGCTAAAAACATCTGGCCACGCCTCGTCGACGAGCAACAGCCACTCCAGGGACCGCACGAGATACTCATCCAGAGAATCGGCGAGCTGCTCTTCGTCGTCACCGAGAAAGTCCGCCTTGATGAACTGTCCAGACTGGGAATCGGGCGTGCTCTCCTCCAAAATCCGGAAAACGGCTGGAGCCCCCTTGGTTGCTGTCGGAGACTCGGCGACCTTTTGGTAGAAGATATTTGCCTGTGTCCTAACGTACTCCATGGTGTCAATGTTGGCCTTGCGAGCTAGTTTCAACAGCGTGATTCGGCGTTCTGTTTCCTCCTCCTCGATGAGATTCTCGCTCAGCACTTCATATCTCCGGGGTATCGTCAAGACACAAGAATACAAGGGTATTAGCTCTTGGAGCTGCTGTCGACGCAGGTACCCGGCGTACCATGCGACAATCGTTTCTTGCGCTTTGATCTCGTCTTCCGTCTTGCGCTGCTCAATGGAAATTGCTGTCACACCCTCAAGCAGCGAAAGAAGCACGTAGACGTGCGCGATAATACGCAAGCCACCGGTCTGCGCGTGCTGAAAGTATTGTGGCTGATCGAGACCGCGGGACGGGGACGCCAGGTGACGACCCTGCTCGGATAGGTATTGATGCAACTCATTGGCAACAATGGAAGCCTGCAACGCCTTGGTCGGCTCCTTCGCCTCGTCGGCTACAGAGGGACGAGCTGCGAGCTGCCTGACGAGACGCTTCTCCACGCCCGCCTCTTCACCGTGCGCCGACACGGCGTTCAGCGAAGGGAAAGTCTGTGTGAGGTGCGCCGCCTCTCCTCCCGCGCATTGGTTCAAAAGAAAAGAGTCCAGCTGCGTGCGCAGGAGGGCGTTGTAGTGAGCGAAGAGGAGATCGTCCCAGGACCTGGCCACCTTTTCAACGCTCTCAATGTCTCCGGAAAGCACGCCGTAGACAGCACGCTCATGATCACTCGTCCCACCCTGCGTTGCTAGCGCATAGCACATGCGCCGCCAAAGCACCAACGAGCTCGCACTCAGATCCGTGGCTGTCTCATTGCCGTCTTGTGCCGGCAGGAGCAAGCCTGACATGGAGACGGAACGCCACACCTCTGTCCTCTCTTGGCACCACTCCTGGATCGTGGCCGCAGTGCTGCCCCGACGTAGATGCTCGAAGCAGCCCAGCCAGATGGCGCGCTCAAAGTACTCGTCTTGGGGCTGTAGCTTGCGTCCCTGCCGCGTGCACGCATCGGGGTCGAGCTGTGTGACCATGGGTTCGCTCGAAGAGGTCAGGTGATTAGAGGTGCCGTTCCCAGGCTGCTGATCTAGTAATTGCGACCAGCCCGTGACGCTCTTCTTCATCTTGATCGCAGAGCGTGTGTGTAGCCAGCCGTGTGCAATGATATCGCCTCGATCCGCATTCCGCTGCAGCTCACGTGTCATCTCGTCAATGTCGGGGCCGGAAGCCGCGCTGGTTTGCAGCCACTGCAGCACGGCCCTTCGCTCGCGGGCAGTCGGGTCGCTCTCGAAGAAGGATTCCAGCGTCGTCGCACGACTGGGTTTGTCTGCCACCCGTTCCAAGCGCGCAACGTGTGACTCGTTCTCGGCATCGGAGTATCGTAGCGGAAGCACTCGTTGCAGTAGATCCCACGTCTGAATCTCCTTTTCTAGTCGTTGTATCTCGGCCTCTGTGTCATGCGAGCTCTCATTGTCCAATTCGTCCGTGTCCATGTCCATGTCCTCGCCCGTCCGCAGCCTCCCAGGTCGAAGCTTCGCCAGACGCTGCGTCGCGTTCTTGTGGAATATGCGCGGCAGCGCAAGCAGGCGCTCACGAGCATCGTATCCGGGTGCGCGTCCCGTCAGGCAGTCATCGAGTGCATTGGCGAATTGCTCGACCTCGGGACCTGCAAATTCCGTTGTTGGTGCCCAGTTGAGGGGCGTTGAAGTATTGTCGAGCTCCATGCTCGGCGAGCGAAATCTCAATTGCCCGAAGCGCTGTCGAGGGTCTCTCTTGAGTATCCTGAGGCCCGATTCCAGCTTCGAAAAGGTGCTTCGGCCGGTGGGCTGACGCTTGCGACGGTCACCAGGTCCAGTATTCTATCCTCGACGGTGCTGTCCGGTCATGGCCGACGAAGTGTGATGATTGATCTTGTGTGAAGCCTCGTATGTATATGAGAGCTCGCGTGTAGAGCTCTTGTCGATGGTAGGAAAAGCGGTTATGCTGTTGCTCAGCGTGAATATCAAGATCAGGCCGGACCACAAAGCTCCAAAAGTTCAACATTGAATTGTTGCTGCAGTCACCGAGACGCGCCGCGGCGCCAAAGTGGGTCCTCTTTTTAACTACATAGGCGACTACAGGGTAGCCCATCATCTTATGCACCAAACCGAGCGCCGATTCCAACCACATATTGACGCCCCACCAGAGCACGAGATTTTCCCTTTCCTTCTTCTTCAACATAATGTCAGGGCATTCATATTAGAGTCTCGGAACAAGGTATCTCTCAATGCTTGTTCAGGTCCCTTGAGGATCTCTTGCGTGCTCAATGATCGCCCAGAGAAAATTGCCTCCTCCGAACTGTTCCCAGCGACTTTCTCTAGACCGGCGAACGCGCTATGGTTGAGGTTACATTTCTATCTGCGCGAGACGGATATTTTCGCGGGTTCCTCATGGCATGGTCCGTGCCAGTTACATATGTATAATTGTATAACTGTTTGTCGACAAACTCCGACTCATTTGCCCTCCCTCATTTGCTGCAATTTGAGTTGCAGCAGTTTGGGCTTGGGACAGCTGACTGTCGACGCATCTTCACCGTATTTAGAGTAGAACGCGTCGCAGCACTCGTAGAGGGCGTTGATCACAGATTGGCATTTGGCTTCGCTGTAATTGTTCTTGGTCAGGCAGTCTGCTCGACTTGTCAGCTAGCAATCGCTTTGTGCATTGTGCGCGCAACTTGTCTTCACCTTGAATGGCGCACTAATTAGAGTGTGTTAGCAACTATGCGCAAGGTGAGAGGCAGCTGAAGCTTTTCTTGAAACTCACGGCACGAGGATGGCAGGGCGGCTGCGTGTTAATGTCATCTTTGGGAGCCTGCACCAGTTAGCCTTTAAGGCTGGGAAACGATCGAGCTGAGGTGACCGACCATGATGCTGCCAATACTCTGAAGGTGTTGAGTTGCTTGCCTTGGCCGACTGGCTTGACATCATGGCTGTTTTTGTTCGCGATCGGTACGTGCGGATTCTGGCAGATTCGCACTTGTTTGTGGGTGCCTGCGTGGTTTTCGCACCACCCATTCACCAGGCCTTCAGTTCCCTGCCAATCAAACGCGCCGCTCCCCACCCTTCAACGTCTCGAAGCCGCGAGTGAAGCGTGAGCCTGTCTCGCTCTTTTCTCTCTCTTTGACATTCACGCCGAACGCGGAAACTCGTTCATCATCCTATTGCTTTTCCTCTTTCAAAAACGTCGACCAAAGCTATTGCGCAGACTACCTGACGCCGCACACGCATTCACGTATCCGAGTACGTCCGATTCCCCGTCTCGAACGGCGCATGACCTAACGCACTTCATGCGTTGCGCTCCTCGAGACTCTTCTTTCTACCCATCTCGCTTCTAACGATCCATGAAATAGACAAGCCAACAACGATCCCACTCACGACATGTCCGATCAGGAGAACGGCACCCCTAGCGGTGGTCACCCAGAGGCTCCCGCCAACACGGAGCACTTGAACATCAAGGTCTCAGACAACAACAACGAGGTCTTCTTCAAAATCAAGCGGTCTACGAAACTTGAGAAGCTCATGAGTGCCTTTTGCGAGCGCCAAGGCAAATCTATTAGCTCTGTCCGGTTCTTGTTCGAGGGCCAGCGTGTGCAACCCACCGACACACCTGAGGCGGTACGTCTTTTGCGTCTAGGGACATTCAGACCAATCACTGACCGTGCGTAGCTTGAGATGGCCGATGGTGACCAGCTCGATGTGCACCAGGAGCAGGTTGGCGGCAACTGATGCAAGCAAAGAAGTACCAGCGATGACGACCACGATACGATAACGCGAGGAGGGACTCACTGTTTTGATTTCTAGGGGTCATTTTTGTTTGATGATTTAGGCGACAGGCCGGGCTGGTATGAAGAAAGTCCGATTGGGCCAAGAAAGGAGTTCAACAAGAGAACGTCAGCACGCTTCCTGGCTTGCCAGGACCTTGCGGTACGACGCTTGATCCATCACACACGGGAGAGCAAGTTGATAAAGTCCCATGGCAAAGCATTGGCATCAAACTGATGCCCATCTCAATATGAATTCCAAACTACTACATTCTTTCACCCATGCGAATCTTTCCCATATTAATCATCCTAGCACCTTTTCGCAGCAAACGCAAGAACCATGATCCAACAAGCCAAATAAAAAATCAAAAACACCCAAGCTGTCATCAAATCATGCGCATGTTCGTCGTCGTCATCGTTTCAACTCCCGGGTACGGCACGACGTGCAGAGCACAACCGTCCCGCCAGGAACCTCCTTGGGGAAGATCTGCCCGTCTTCAAAACTCCCCTCGCACTCGGCACAGCGGAAGCAATGCTCGTGCCACTCGTAACCCAGCGCCTGGATGTACTCCCCGATGACGGCCGTCCGGCACTTCCTACACTTGGGCGCGCGTCTCTCGGTTCGCTTGGTCTGGCACTTGATGCACCAGGCGTAGCCATCCTTTTCAATGTGCGTCATTCCCTGCTCAAAGGGGTCGCCACACTCGGCGCAGAAAAAGTGGCCGTAGTGCCAGTGCTCGCCCAGGGCCACAATGTGCTCGCCAAGGATGGACGTCTTGCAGTGCTTGCACTTGGGGGCAAAGTGCTCGTGCCAGTCCAGGTGGCAGTAGAAGCGAAGCCGGTCGTCTCCATCCTCAGCCATTGTTTGACCGGGCGTCTCCTCGAGAGTCTCGCCGGCAGCCCGACGCTGGATGCGCTCAAGGCGCTCGGCCCGCTGTCGATCAGGCTCAGGACTGATCTCCATTGCCTCAAGGCTGGTGCCGCAGATGTAGCAACTCAGGCACTTTGGGTGGAAACGTTCAGACGTACCAGCCAAGGCTACAAAGCGGCCTTCGATGGAATACCCACACTCGTGACAAAGTGTCTTGTCTCTGGGAGCCCCCGGCGCGCGAGACCAGTGACTGCGAGGTCTCTGTGCTCGGGGCGCTCTGTTGCTACCACCTGGGGCGACCGCAGCAGGCACGTTGCTATCGCCGCCCTTGGGCGAGTCGACGGAGATGCCTGGGACGTGGATTTCGGGCAATGGTCGAGGAGACGCCGTGCCACCGTCATCCGGAGTAACAATGACAGGGATGGGCACGTCCGCATTGCCAGCAGGCCCATCAACAGCGATGGTCGGCACGTTGATCTCTGGTAGAGGACGCGCAGCTGCGTCTTCAGGGCCTTCTAGGCTGATGGACGGCACACTTGCATTTGGCGGCGCCCGTGTCCGCGGCGTGTCGCTCTCCTCCACAGAGATAGTAGGGACACCCACAGGCCGGGCTTGCGATGTCTGGAAGCGGCCTCTGGCTTGCGGTCCGGCTGCCTCAGATTGTGCCTGGGGCTGTCGCTGTCGTTGCTGGCATTCTGCTGGGTGGCTATCAGTTGACTCCTCCGAGGCTCTCCAATTAGCATCAAAGCTTACAATTGGCCGGCCAGGGCTGTCGCTGACGGCAGTGGGCTCCGGCAGCTTGGCACTGCGATCCCTGAGCTTCATACTGGTGGCGTTTCGAATGTCCTGGCTGCGGATCTCGATACCATCCTTTCGCTCCACTGTCTCGTCCACGGTGGGCTCTGGCAGTCCAGCGTTGCTGGTGTACAGGGCATCCCGGGATTTTGTGGGTGGATTGCGATAGATTTCGACGCGATCCAAGGGCTTCCCCGCTGGTGCCGCTTCTTCGCGCAGGGAGTCGAACCGCACTCGGTTCAAGGGGTTGGTAGGCTTGCTGACAAGCTTGTCCGGCGACGCACGACCCGTTCTGACTGACCCGCGAGAGGACGCCGACTCGGGTTCCTCCCAGATCTGATCTCCAGAGAAGGGTCTCTCCACTTCACCGCTCACATTGCGCTTCATGCTGCTGCGCCGCCTGTGAAAGGTGACCGTCCGCGCGCCCACGCTTCCATAGGATTTGGTCTGCGTGCGCACAGAGTCCACAGAGGGTCGACTCATGCGAGAGGCCCCGTCGCTGTCGGAGGAGCTGGCAGAGATGGAGCGAGCGCCACTGTCTCGAGCCAGACCACTTGCCGCAATGTCCTCTCCGTACCGACCTGCGCTCGCCGCGCGGGCGTGCGCGTAGCTGTTCTTTCTAAGATGTGGTCGGTAACGGTAGGGGCCATCTGGCTGCGGGGTCTTGTCGGGGTTCTGGTGCTGCCAGACGAGCTCAGCTGCCTCGTTGAGAGCAGTGTCATACAGACGAGCATCGTCATTAGGCTCGGGTGAGGTAGATTGCTCGGGTGTCTCTCGCAACCGCATATCATCCATGGCGCCACGCAGTGAAAACGCCTCCTCCTTCTCCATCCACCGCTGACCCCGCTCCATGTACGACGATGTCGGGACGACCTCAGACGCCGCCAAAGGTGCTGCTGCTGAGCGCTCCTGGGGATAGTAGTCGCGACCACGCGAAGATGTCGAGAGGCGCGACGAGACGCTGGCAGCACCCACGCTCGGGGCCTGAGATGGAACGCGTCGAGGCTGGGGAGGAAGGCTGGTCTGGCTGTCGGCTTGCGAAATGTTGTCTAGGCTGGGGCGTCCAATGCTGGCTCGGCTTGTGCTGGCTCGGCTTGGTGCTGGACGGGCACCGGAAGGCTGGGCGCGCGCGCCGCCAGGACGTTGCAGGCGGTTGTTGCGAAGTTCGGATAGATAGCTCGCTGCACGTGTGTTGTCATCAGAGCCGAGCTTGGTGCTAGAAGCCAACTGCTTTGTCACGTACCGAATTGATCGTTGTTCATGTAGCTGGACGCCGGCGGCGGCACCTTCTGCGATACCTTGGCGTCGCTGGTCATACCGGCAGGCTTCATGGCGATGGCGAGGAAGATTCCACGGGCGTTACAGCAATGAAGAACGATGGGAAGCCAACAGGGATTAAAGATAGAATGCGCAGTGCGTCGAAGATGCAAGGAGAGTTGTTGATTGCCGAGACCGTGAATTTATGTGAGCTCCAGGGATCTGGGTGTCGTTTAATTGATCCCAGGTGGCGGCCGGTGCACGGAGCAAGGGTCCCCCAGCCGTTCACATCAAAACGGTGGTTGGCGCGGCAACCACCCCAGTGTCCGGCGTCTCGACCGCGCTATTGGGAGATGACGATATAATCTTGTGCTTGTTCACCTTGTGATGTGTGACACAGTTCAAGTTACGCATGGACTGCTGTTTTCGTCGTTCGAGCTTTACATGGGTCTTGGAAGAGTGGTGTAACGCTTTTTTGCCAGCATATGGAAGATTGGGTCCCAGACACATGTCATGTTGGAAGTGGACATGCCCAACATACGCGCCCGACATCTATCTGATGGTCCCATCGAGCTCTTTATCCTGTGTTGTAATAGGCACTGGACACACTGGTTCCATGCACGAGCAGTGTTTCATGCTCTTTGGCATGGCAATATCCGTAGTCCTCGCTGACCGCCAGACCGCTCATTGAAAGCTGCATCGTGACGTCTACGCCATGCATTTTGAATCATCACGCCTTCACCGGACCAACGACGCCATCCACCTTGACTTTTGAGAGACGTCCTTTCTTAGATGTACAAATACTTCAGGATCCAACCGCCTGATCGTACATATTATACATTTCCACAGCTGTCCTGGGGGAGCGGAACTTGACACACGCGGGATACCCGTGTCTTCACCTTGAAAGGCGTTGGCTACCACTGTAGCTCACCCTTGACGCCCTTTTCTGGCTCTTTTGGCTTCTCACGCTCTGCGAACCCCAGATTCTTCATTTCATCTCTAGCCATGAGGTTTCTGCGCGCGTTCAGTCAGTTAATCGCCCACCAGAACATGAGCATCACTCACCTGTCCATGCGACAGTTCAGATACCCCTTTGCCAGCTCACGACACTCATCCTCGTTGACGCCGCGCACCTTTTTCATGCACACAAGATATGCCTGCATGGCCTTCTTGCATTCGCCTGCATTACGCCTGTTAGACATGCTCGGTGATCATGTACATTTGGTGGGGTTTAGCAAACCTTCATGATCCAGCGGAAAGCTCCCTCGTTGTGGACTGAGACGGTCAGCGTCAGGGACTCGCGGTGTCAGTCAAATGGCAAAGTGACTTACGGCGTCGGCTTTGTTGAAGGCAACGCTCCCGGGCTGCCAAATGTGCTCATGTTTGATGATCGGGTATGATCCTCTCCGTCAGGCCAGGTGCACAGCACACCTTGATCTCTGATGAGTATGGCCGGCCCGTTTGTCGTCTAGTACTGCTTACAGGAATCTCTCGCTACCTCGCACAGTCACAGTATGCGACTATCGCAGTACTGGCCTAGCGGGGCATTTCAATGTCGCTGCCACCGGGACCAAACACTCCGATCCGATGCATAATCCTGTTCTAGGGAACACAAACGCTAGCAGACCCTGCTAGTGTGCATAGGCCAGCATAACCTTATGCAAGCACGTGAATTCTGGCGACGTAGTTGCGCTACGCCATCCGTATCTGCCAACCTCGAGAGCAGTTCTTGCTCGAGTGCCTCGGAATTCACGCCGCGACAGATCCACGCAAAAGCCATCTCAGCTGTCTGCATGAACTGTCAAGGCTCGCACGCGACGCGCAGCGCTACCAAGACGCCCTGATAGCGCAAGCAAACCATCCATCACCTCCCATTCAACCTGCATCCGCCTGCGCGCCAAATCGTGTTTGTGTTGACTTCCGGCAAAACTACGTCGCTATGGCAGCCCTCGGCGAGGATCTGCTCAGCACCGTCAACAAGCTGCAGGATCTCGTCTTCAACACCATTGGAAATGATTCTCTAGACCTTCCCCAGATTGTTTGTTCCCCGTTTCCTCCAAACACAAGGCTTGCGTTAGCTGACAGCCCCCCCTTAGGTTGTTGTCGGATCCCAGTCTGCAGGTAAATCCTCCGTTCTCGAGAACATTGTGGGCCGCGACTTTCTGCCCCGTGGCAGCGGCATCTGCACTCGACGACCTCTGATTCTGCAGCTCGTCAATGTAGCCGAAGACGAGGATGCTCCCGATCCCGCAAGCGACCCCTTCAAGTCGCCCCTGGCGGCTCGCCGCTCCGAGTGGGCTGAGTTTCACCACATCCCCAACAGGAGGTTTACAGACTTTTCGGACGTGAAGCGCGAGATTGAGAACGAAACATCACGAGTAGCCGGCAACAACAAGGGCATCAACCGACAACCCATCAACCTCAAGGTCTACTCGCCGCATGTGCTGAACCTGACGCTGGTGGATCTGCCAGGTTTGACCAAGGTTCCCATCGGCGACCAACCAAGCGACATTGAGAAGCAGACCCGAACTCTGATCTCCGAGTACATTGCCAAGCCCAACAGCATCATTCTCGCTGTCTCCCCTGCCAACGTTGACCTTGTCAACTCGGAGGCGCTCAAGCTCGCCCGTCATGTCGACCCTCTCGGCCGTCGCACCATTGGTGTGCTCACCAAAATCGATCTGATGGACCATGGTACAAACGCTCTGGATATTCTTTCGGGCCGAGTCTATCCCTTGAAGCTGGGCTTCATCGGTGTCGTCAACCGCTCGCAGCAGGACATTCAGGGCAACAAGCCCATGGAAGAGGCTATCCAGGCCGAGACTGACTTCTTCAAGCACCATCCTGCCTACCGGAACATCGCGAACCGATGCGGTACGCACTTTCTCGCCAAGACCCTCAACACCACACTCATGTCTCATATCCGCGAGCGCCTCCCTGACATCAAGGCACGCCTGAACACTCTGATGGGCCAGACGCAACAGGAGCTGGCCACCTATGGTGACATGCAGTTCAGCGGCAAGGAGCACCGTGGGTCGCTTATCCTGCAACAGATGACCCGATTCGCGACATCTTTCACATCGTCCATCGATGGTACTTCGTCCAACATTTCCACCAAGGAGCTCAGCGGCGGCGCCCGCATCTACTACATTTTCAATTCCGTCTTTGGCAGCTCGCTCGAGTCCATCGACCCCACGTCTAACCTAACAGCTCTCGATATCAGGACCGCAATCCGCAACTCGACCGGTCCCCGTCCCAGCCTCTTCGTTCCGGAGATGGCTTTCGATCTCCTCGTCAAACCCCAGATCAAGATGCTGGAGATCCCTTCGCAACGCTGCGTGGAGCTAGTGTATGAGGAGTTGATCAAGATCTGCCACACCTGTGGCTCAACAGAACTTTCTCGGTTCCCAAGGCTACAGGGCAAGCTCATCGAGACTGTTTCGGATCTGCTGCGGGAGAGACTCGGGCCTACGTCCAACTACGTTGAATCGCTCATCTCGATCCAGCGCGCATACATCAACACAAACCATCCCAACTTCCTCGGCGCCGCCGCTGCCATGAGCAACGTCGTCGGTGCTCGACAAGAGAAGGAGCGCCAACGGTTGATCCAGGAGGAGCGGGAACGTCGCGAGAAACGCCGTCTGAAGGAGATTGGCACAAACGGCACCGAGCCTGGCGACGAAGAGGAGGAGACCCGCACAGAGAAGGCTGAGATTCCCAGCCGGAAACAGATCACAAACCCCAAAAGGAGTCTGTCGCCTGCTGTGCGACCACATACTAGCATCGGATCCGCCATCAACGGTGTGGCTCGCTCGGCATCCCCGTCACGGCTGAACCCCAACGGCCAGGGCTTGCACAACGCCCGCGACTCCTTCCTGACATACTTCTTTGGCAAGGACGGTCAAGCAATGACGAGTAGCACCTCCTCAGCGCCCGGCCACAGGCATATCAGCCAGTCGTCGGAAGCCGGGCTCCCGAGCATCCGCAGAGAGGAGAATCTGAAGCTGCCGATTCGCTCACCTTATGGCTACGAAGATGATCATGACAACAAGGGCCTAGCATCGCACTATGTAAGAGGAATACTGGACATCAACTAGGGTACCTGTGCTAACCAGAAACAGGGCGGTGAATCTAACGAGCCTGCCTTGACAGACCGTGAGGCCATGGAGACGGAGCTCATCCGTGCGCTCATCTCCTCCTACTTCAACATTGTCCGCGAGTCCATTGCGGACCAGGTACCCAAGGCCGTTATGCACCTCTTGGTCAACCACTGCAAGGATGTTGTGCAGAACCGCCTCGTGACTGAGCTATACAGGGAGAGTCTTTTCGAAGAGCTGCTATACGAAGATGACACGGTGAAGAAAGACCGCGAGAAGTGCGAGAAGCTGCTTGATACGTATAGAGAAGCCGCCAAGATAATTGGCGAGGTTGTATAGGGGCGGATAGACAGACTACGACTGCCTTTTTCCCACGGCTGGGCTGATCCCTCCTCGTCGCGCCGAAGTTGGCGGACGGTGTAGGAAAGGCCAGGGGTCTTGGTCCTGGCGAATATGGATGATACATGTATATTTTTTTTGCACGGGGAGGAGTATCACGAGGCGCGAAGCGGAAAGGGGGAGATGGCAGGGGAGAGAGCTCGAGGAGGGAATCATGCCACCCTCATTTTTTTGCTGCTCTCATTGTTGTAACAAAAAGGAATGGCGCGCTCTTCTTGGCTATCTGTATCAACAATATGTACGGAGGGGCAAGAGGGGGGCACGGATGCCACTCTCATGAGCAGTAGTGCGCGGTGCTACATCTGACAGGGACGCATATATCTGATTTCAACTCTTGTATAAAAATATTCCGCACTCTTTTGTCAAGTTGTATGAATTCAAGTCTACTAGGCTACCATGATGGGGAAACAGCAGAGAACAAAGATGAGGATTGCTAAAAAGTGTTGACCCTTTTGTTTACCCGAATGCTGGGGCCGGATCTTGCTGCTCCCGTGACATGGTGTAGGTAAAATACCATTGTCTTGTAACGTGTATATGCATACGGACACACGATTGTTATTTTCGCCATCTAATCGACCCGACGTGCCCGTTGGAGTCCATAACCGGCAGTTAACGGTAAGGCTCTCCATGCGAATAGCGCTGTTCCCCATGATACGGATACCCGTGGCTGTCGTCGCCTTGCGGAGCAGGAGGGAGTGGATGCCCCGTCAACGGAGTATACTTCACGACGGACTGGACGTCGAACATGGTACGTCCCATAAACTGGGTCGCGCACCTCCACGATCTCGAACTCTTCGATTGGAGGCCCGTATCCCTTTTGGGGATACAGTGGTGTGTATTGTTGTATTGGAGCCTCGGCTATAGGCACAGGAGGTGGCATATGGCTGTCGTACAAGGTGTTTTCTGTGCACCCCTGCTGATGAAAAATCGTTTCGTGCACTGGTGGTCTAGGGTGAAGCAGGTAGCGAGGCTTGGGCTGGTGGTGTAGCGGCATCTGCTGGTGGGACGGGTCAGAATACGCATATGGCGGAGGAGCACGTGGATCCGTGTCGTCTGTCCATGAATAAGCCCGCTGAGGGTGGCATATCTGTTCACGGTGCTCGTGATCGTGGCTTGGGACACGGGCGGTGACGTCCGCCACTGCACCACTGGCTGTCCCGCGCTGAGTGGAACTGCCATGCGCCAAGCCAGCATCATGGCCGTTGCCGTAAGAGTGCGATGGCGATAGAACAACTTCCTGAACTGCACGCGGTGCGGCGTAATACTCTCGCATCCCCCAGCTTAAGTCCGCTGGGACACCCTGAGATCTATCCTACACTCTGTAGGAAGGCAAATCGAGGTCTTGGCCCTCTCTAGCACGGCGTTGCTTCTTGCTGGAGGACGCGCCGTAGACCTCACTAGCTGGTCTCAGCACAGGTGGCCCTTTAAAGTCGACCATTGTGAGGTTTCCTGGAGCAATATGGAAAGCAGTGTCCGGAGGCCCTGATCGAGGCCATTGGCTGAGGTTCGTGGCCTGGCGTGGCTGACCGACCAACGCTTCGCTACCCTCATCTGAAGCTGCGCCCGCAAGCGTGTTGACATCCCCAGAGATTCTTCCTCTCAAATTATACGTCTTTCGAAACGGAGGCTCGTCACCCTCGGGGACAGCCCCAGGGTAGGCATCCTGTAGCAAGGCATCGTCGTTTGCGTTTTTGCCGAACCACGCCGGCAACTCCTGTCTTATACTGTCCAGATCTGGAAGACAGATCATCTGCGTTTGCCAGTCCAGCTTTGGCTGCACTTCTTCGACATGCTTCTTGCGGAAATGTGATAAGAGATTTCCTAGAGAGTAAAATTGGGGTCTGCCCCCGCTCCCCTTCAGATGGCTGCTACTTTTGAATTTCGATATACTTCCCTGTGGTGCCGTAGCACCTACTGGAGCTGATCCTGAACAAGCGGCACACTGGAGACGCCTCAGTTTCCGGAGAGGCACTAGCTTCTTGCACTGCATGAAAAGGCTTTCGAAAGTGGCGAACATTGCTGGCTCGCCAAACCGTGCCTCGAGTTCCTGCGACACACAACGCACAATGGCCGTTGCCCTGATGGCGTTCGGGCCTTTGAGCTTGTCAATGGCGCGGAAAGTCCTTGGGAGTATGTCCAGCATTCGGTCTTCCTGCATTTTGTTCAGTTGCGAAGACAGAGTCGACAGTTTGCCATGTCCCTGTGGCGAACATGACACGGCAAGTTGAGTCACGGGCAGCCTTGCTGAACGCGCTGCGTCGACTCGATCATCTGGGTCTGGCTTGATCTTTACATTAACTTCGGCTTTAGTCACATTGGTCGCGGGACCTCCAGGATTTGGTCGAAAGGGGGGCGGACTGGGCCACTCTGATCTCCAAAACACGACGTTTCCATGGCTTAGAGAAGCGGTATGCTTGGCTGCATAATGCTGGATAACGCCGTCAAGGGTGTATAGCTGGGTGGCGGAACAGCCAATGCACAAGAACAGCTGCTGTTTCTGAATTCGGGGCTTGATCTTGAGATCAAATAGCCACTTCATGTTCTTCAAGGTTAGCTTTTGTGCCTAAGGTCCCTCGACAGGTTCATCGAGCGCCGCCTCGCCGGCGACATCTTTGAAGAATCTATTTTGAGCGTACATGAGTAGTCTCGTAGCGAAGAAGGCGCTGGATTTTGATCTGAGCCTCTTGCAGCGTTTCCATTTATGCCGGATGTAATCATCGGCATATCGTGCAAATCTTGTCCTCACGGGGGCTTGGACCTCATCCCATTCTGTGTCAAGGACATCCTTAGGGTCTCGCCGAGATTTTGCAGTTGAGGCGGATACTGCTGATGGGGGCTGCTTCAGCGTTGCCGGCACCTGTCGCTTCATCACGTCAAGGCCACCATCGGCAGCCCAGCTCTCCCACCTGTCCATGTCTTTCAGCAAAGAGCTTTGTCTCAGCTGCAGCCCCTTGAGCCACTCTTCGACGGCACCCGTGCCCAGCAGCTTGACCCGTTGAAAGTCGGCCTCGATCTGTGTAGCATGGCTCTTCCAGTACATTTTGACAATGGGCGTGCTGGCAGGAACTCTGCCAGCCTTGACCCCCGAGGGCGGCACGACCTTACGGTATGAGGCGACTAAGGCCACTGGAATCCCGGGCAGGAGAAAAGACGGCGTCTTACCGGCTAGAATGATATCAAGTTCCTAGAAACTTTTTAGCTCATAATATGTTCACTTTGATGCAGTAATAGCTGACCTTTACGCAACGTAACTCGAGGCAAGCTCCGCAGGCGCGACTTGAGAATGGGAAAATTGGTGTGGCACCGCTTGTGCCAGGGCCAATATGCCAGGTGGTCTTGGGAACTGCGCTGCGTTCCTCGCAACTACAGAATTGGCATCCTCGGTTGGCTATCAGACGTCACATCTCCAGCTCCGTCTTGGACTTGAGGAGTGAGGGTAGTGTAGGCCAGTACAGGCACCTAGATGCCTTCCAGATGTCATTGGCGGCCAATGGCTGCACGACGCCCAGCTTGTCGCATGGCCGAGCAGCAGCAGCCAGGGCATCCGAAGACTCTATGTTCCCGTTTTCGAAATTTGGAGAGAGTTGGGGTCGATAATCATGACCAGGAGCAAAGGGCTCGATGCCATAAAGGGTGGGGTCCCGGCATGGTGAGCCTCTCTGCTTCCGGGGTTCACAGGCTTAGCACCGATCGAAGGTTCAAAATATCCCTGGAATTTCTTGCTCACGCGAAGAAGCTTGCCAAGGCAATGTGGAGGGAGGTACGTGAAAATACAATGCCACAGCTCCGCTGGGAGCCGATGCGAGCGGTCGTGCCATACTTCGTTGGACGGAGCTGTGCGCTGCCGCTTGGCAAGGTTGTTTCTGGGGTAGGGTTGTGATCCGGGGGACTTGCGCTTCTTGGGGGCAGAATGCGTGCGCTGCAATGGCGCATCATAAGCCATGACAATTGCCGAATCGTAAGACATCTCGGATGAAGGCATATCGACGCGAATCGCGTCGCTGCGAAATGCCATCACCACGGGAGGAGAGGATCGACGCGGAGTTGGAGCATCCACAGTGAGGCGATAATTTCCGTTGCACTCGCAGCGAGACTTGGGCGTTCCCAAACCATCACTCTGGCATGGCGCGAGGTGAGGTAGTATGTCAAGGGAAGAGCGAGTTCTTCACGTGAAGCAGAACTGAGAAGATGGCAGCTTCGAAACGGAAGAGGAAGGTGAGACATCGAACTTGCCCGAGTGAGTACCAGCGGCAGAAAGGGTGGGGCTAAGTTGCACAATCTGGCCAGTGACAGCGCAGCGCGCTTGTCCCACTGATTGCTGTGATTTCGGGAAGGCATCACTAGTTGACCACACACCGACGACAACTCACGAGCTCCCCCAGACATCTAACTCACCTACTCCCTACATGATGGCTTGAGTCGCAACGCAATACAATGTGTGTTGCTCAGCAGCATACTCTCGCTCGACTTTTGCCCCAATGGTAGCAGCTGTGGTCCGCATACCCCCAGCCTCAGGCGCCTTTTCACCCCCTCTCTGTCCAAGGACGAGCTAAGACAATGTCTGGACGCCCTCTAGAGGGAAGGCCACTCGCTGCTAAACTGATTTTATTGAACATGAAACACACTCTCTGAGCCTCAGCTGGCCTTTGACGAAATGAAATGTATTAGTCAGTGTTGTGAGCTGAGTACAACAAGAGCTATGAAGAAAAGAAAAACCATGCCAATAGGTCAAGCAGAGCAATAACGCTTGTCTCTAGATAAAAATTGCTTACAATTATTCAGGTGTCCCACCCGAACGCTCTTCTATCACTCCTTCTTCTCCTTTTTGTTCTTCTTGCCCTTGGGCATACGCACCAGCCAATACAACGCCAGCGACGCTGCAATATTGAACATAATGTACACCATACCGATGCCAAAGTCCCGCCACCGGTTTTCGTAGCTCGACGAGATCTGCGCGAGGAATTCGTTGGTCGAGCCCAGCGGGCAAAAGTCGCACGACGAAGTGCCGTTGGGGTTGAGCAGGTTGCCGCCCAAAGTGGGGACGTATCCGCCCTCATACAGGTACTCGTAGCACGACAAGCCGTTGGGCGGGAAGATCTCGACAATCTCGTTGGTGTTGCACGTCACGCTTGTGTTGGCGAGTCCGGTGGACATGATGGCCGAGATGAGGTACGTGAATGGGGACAGACGGTACATGAAGATCCAAAAGCCAGGGAGGGTCTGCTCGTTGGCGAGCACGCCGCAGAAGAGCAAACACATCATGAACAGCATGTTGGCCAAGTTGCCGCCCGCCTCGGCGGTATCGGTGATGGCGATGCAGGCGTGGGCAAAGGTGCAAGTGAAGATGAGGAATTGCCAGAACAGTAGCCACATGAGGGCGCCGCGCTCCGTCTCCGCGCCCGTGGGCTGGGCATTCTTGTTGAAACCGACGGGATAATAGACGCAGACGAACATGAAAACGGACATGAGCGAATTCCAGGGGATCTCCACGATGATCTGCGAGAGCATAAAGATCTTCCAACTATACGCCTTGGAGGGCCTCTCGCGGACCTCATAAAGGGAGCGCTGGGTGACGAAGTGAGGCATCTGCTGCTGGACAAGCTGGCCAAAGATGGTGAGGACGTTGAAAAAGGCGAACATTTGGTTCTGCAGGCCTTGGATGCTCAGGGGCGCGTCAAGGAACACGAGACCGATGAAGAGGGCGACCGCCGTGCACAGCGTGAACTTTGAGTAAATGTACGACGGCGTGCGCCAGTACTGCTGGAAGACACGTTTTGTGACGATGAGGAGTTGATCCCACAGGGGTGCAGCGAACTCACGGTACTGCTCCTTGCTGTGTGCGCCGTCGCTGACCTTTTCGTTGGGCGCGGCCTGGTTCTTGAGATGCTGGAGCTCGTCTTGGGTGGCGGCATATTCGGGACTGTTACGCCAGGCTTGGTGCCAATCAATATCCGTCTGGGAGCCAGGGGCGGCACCAACGGCCTCGAGCATCCATTCGGCTGGGTTGGCGCCCTTGGGGCACTTGGGAGCACCCTGCCTTTCAAAGTACTCGGTCATGGTGGACGACTGCTCGCCAATGTCGCCGAAATAGACTGTTCTGCCGCCCTTGGCAAGAAACAACAAGCGATCAAAGCGCTGGAACAACATGGCGGACGGCTGATGAATGGTACACAGAATTGACTGGCCAGCCTTGGAGAGCTTCTCGAGAAGATCTAGGATAGCCCACGATGTCTGCGAGTCAAGGCCGGAAGTAGGTTCGTCGACAAAGAGCAATAGGGGTGGCTTGGCGGCTAACTCGACGCCGATGGTCAGACGCTTGCGCTGTTCAACGTTGAGACCCTCGCCGAGGACGCCCACGACGGCGTCAGCATAGTCCTGCATGTCAAGTAACTTGATGACCTCGTCGACGTAGGCAATCTTCTCGGTCTTGGGCGTCGAGGCTGGCTGGCGTAACACGGCGCTGAATTCAAGAGCCTCGCGAACGGTGCTTGTCTCGAGGTGGAGATCTTGCTGCTGAACATAGCCTGTTTTGCGCTGAAAGGAACTGTCGCGCAGCTTGCCGTCCACGAGCATCTCGCCCGTGATCACGCCCATGGAGACACGATCAGCGAGACAGTCGAGCAAAGTCGTTTTGCCGGCGCCGGAAACACCCATGAGGGCTGTTAATGTACCAGGCTTGACCCATCCATCCACATGGTCGAGGATACGCCGGGGTTCGCCCTTGATCTTGATATCGTAGCACACATCATTCCAGTGGAAAACGCTCGTGGATCCCTGGATGTTGCCGGCGTCGACATTAACAGGTGCAGTCTTATCGACGACGGGGATGGGACCAGACGAAGCAGACTCAGCGTCGCCTTTGCCTTGCGCGGTATTCTTGGGCAGGTGGTTGCGGCGGAATACAAGGACCTCGCCCTTGGACTTCTTGGCCGAGATGAGCTCTGAGGCGACAAAGTAAAGGATGTGCATAGCGACGCAGAAGGCGATGAGGATACCGACGTTGCGCCACTTGTGGCTGGCGAAGTAGTTGTATTGGGTCTCGATGTAGGCGGCGCCCGAGACGAGGGCCTCTCCCGGGCGGGAACCGACAGTTGTGCAAGCACGGTTGTTGAGGTCGACATCTGGATACAGGGCGGGCGGGGGCACGAGAGTGTCACAGGTGAAGTCGCGGCCATGGAATTCGTTGATCATCAGGGCCTCGAACCCGTACGCAACTGGATCAAGGTAGTTGATCCACCGGCACCACCCGAGCATGTAGTCGACAGGGATGACGAATCCAGTGAAAACGACGAGGGCGAGGATGAGGATGGCGGCGGGTACCATGGCCTGGGATAGGGTGCGTGACAAGGAAGCACTGCGGGAAGAAGAGACATGTCAGCATCACGATGCGACACGGGGAGGGGGAACCATGAACGAGTAGGATGGCTTGTCTTACATTGATCGGAAGACCCCCGACATAGTCAGCGTCATGAGGAACGACACGAGGAGGAAGAAGAAGAAGGCGCCCGGCTCACGCCTGAGGTGCGTCATGAAGTAGATGGTGAGGTTGTATAAGACGGCGTTGGCGATCTTGTACGGCATGTCGACCAGCACGGACGAAAAGGCCTCGGCGGACGAGTGGTAGAAGCCATAGCGCGTGTGCTTCTCGACAATGGGCCGCTGCGAGTACTGGGTGAGGATCTCGAGGGCACTCGAGAAGGCGTTGGCGAGGATGGCGACGAACAAGACGGCGGCGCGGTTGTAGAAGGACGAGGTGGTGGCGGGCAGGTTGTAGAAGAGGGAGGAAATGATGAGGGCCAAGGACGAGTTGGCGACCAGAGAGAAGATGGTCAGGCCCGGGTCCCCCGTCAGACGCTTGAAGCCTCGCCACATACACAGCTTGATTTGCTGCGTGTACGACAGGGTGAAGGGCGACTTGAGGCGCTGGTTCTTGGCCTGGTTGGCCTGCTTTACCGCCCTGAACTCGCGGGCCGCCTCGCTGTCGATGGCATACTCGGCCTTGTACTCCTCGAGCTCGACCTGGAGCGCCTTGTACTCGGCGCTGTTCTTCCAGTAGGTCGCAAACTCATCCGGGGTCCGGGGCACGCGATCCTGCCAGCCCGGACGGACGACACGCTCCGAGGGTGCGGTCATGGACGTCAGGAAGTCGGGTGTCGTCTGGCGGGCAGGGCACTCGAAGCCCAGATTCTCAAAGTAGGCCTGGGCCTTGCCAATAGGACCGAAGAAGATCTGACGCCCTTCGTAGAGGACGGCAACCTTGTCAAATAGCTCATAGGCGCTTTGAGGAGCTTGATAGATGGACACGGCGCAGGTCTGCCCGAACAGCTCGGACTGAAGGCGCAGCGTTTTGCAAAACTCAATAGCGTTGGCCGAGTCGAGGCCACGCGTGGAGTTATCCCAGCATTGCAAGGGGGCGCTGGAGAGCGTGGCCTCGGCGATGGTCACTCGCTTCCTCTCGCCGCCCGAGACACCGCGGATGTACTCGTTGCCGACACGCGTGTTGACGGTGTGGCTGATACCGTACATGGCCATGACCACGTCACGTATGTGGCCGCAGTACTCGTTGTGGGTGATGCCCTCGGGGACGTTGCGAGGGCACCTTGCGCGGGAGGCAAAGGTGAGCGTGTCACCGACGCTCAGCATGGGAAAGTGCACGTCAACCTCGGCCGTGTAGATGGCTTCGCCGCGATGGTGCGAGTGCATCTCTTCGGGGGAGATGGCCTGGTAGTTGAGGTAGGACGAGCTGTCCTGGTAGATGCCATTGGTCTCGCCGGCAATGGACTTGAGAAACGTGGAGCAGCCCGAGCCCGGGGGCCCGAGGACGACGAGCATCTCACCGTTCCGCACCACGCCGTCAAAGTCGCGAAGAATGTCGATGCGACGCTGGCCGCCCTTCTTGTCGAAGAGGCCGCGCGCCATTTGGGGCAGCGAGAGCCAGACGTTGCCCACGTCTTTTTGATAGTCTGTCTCGGCGCCGTAGCCGAAGACGTTGAGGTTCTGGAAGCAGAATCCACTGCGGCGGAGGCGCGTGCCGTCCTCAATGGCCCTTTTGGCGACGGCCTTGGCCCAGGAGCGGGCGTTGAAGTGCTCACTGGCTGGGTTGAGGACTGAGTCCGGGTTGTCGTTGGCAAAGAGGCTGCGGACGTCGTGGTGTAAGTCGCCGGCGGACTGCTGGGACATGCGGCTGGCGATACGCCGGACGGCCGAGTGCCGTCTCTCCATCTCGGAGGCATCGTCGTCGTCGTTTCCCTGGTCGTCATCGATGCTGCTGCTGGAGAACCCTCGGTCTGCAGGACTTGGGCCAGATTTGGAGTGTTGAGATGCCCCGGGGGGGCTTCCTGCGATTGTCGGACCGCTGGTGGTCGAGGATGAACCGGTTCGAGGCAGCTCCATGCTATCCTCTTTGCCGCCGTTCATGAGGCCTGGGATGAGGTAGAGACTCTCTGAGGGAGTAACAGGTCAGTTCACGCTGGTCGAGAGACAAGACTGGGTGTTTTACCTCGTAGATGGGATCAAGATGACGATGACAGCCTCTATTGACTATTGCTACTAGGTTGTCTAGAGGAATGGCACACTTCTCGGAGGGGTCCAAGAGATTTAAGATACAAAATCACAACGGGCCCTTGCAAGGACCCGAGAGACGCAATCCGCAAAGTTCCGAATCTCCCTCTCGAAACAAGCTCTGTTGGGACACCCGAGCGGGCCCCCCACGGTATGCGTACAAAGTATCAGCGGGTTTCTAATCAACTGGGGACAACTATGAGCTACGTACCTTACCATGGACCCTATGCAACATGCAATTGCAGCGCCCCCGCGTCGTGGGCCGGAATACTGGGACCCTCCGGTCCGTGGATGCCGCCGGCGTCACACCACCATCCGCCAACCCGACACGGGCTCTTGGACCTGAGTCGGACAATACTGCTTCCCCGACATGCACTGGCGCTTTCTCGCTTTAGGACGAAATTGTCGTTGGGCGGTCCCATGATTTGGCGAGATGGGTGTCTCCGTGGTAGCCAAACCCAATAGCGCGCCAGATAGTCTTGTCAGCACGAAGACGTATGCCATCATCATCTGGCTTTGCAACCTTCTTTTCTGCTCTCTTTCTATTTTCACGTCGGATGTGTGTCGTCACGTACTCCGTACCGTCGATCGGGGACTCTGCTTCGCCTTCGCATGGCGGAGCAGCGGGTGTTCTCATTGTTCCGAGAGGGTCCTCGCTTGCACCTCCTGACTGAGGCTAGGATTCGCGGAATCCTCTCGTAAAGGTGTATGGGAAAGTGATTGGGCTCTTTATTCCCTCGTGGCGATCCTTAATCGTTCCCAAGGCAACGCCCAAGCTTTGTTCGGCGGGCTGAGATAATAAGCCCGAGACGTAGTCGACCGACGACATCACATCTCCACAGTCCAGCCGTCGGTCGATCCCGCGCCTTCGGGGGGACGTTTACGCCCTCTGCATCTTGGAGAAGGCTTCCTATTCGATGCAGTGTGAAGCTGAAAATGTGCGGTCGAGTCTGCATAATTATACTGTTTCACCTATTGCTGCTTGCATGTCTACTAACGATACCCCTCGTGGCCTCCTTATTCTCGCCCTGGACAGCAACAATCATTCAGCTTTCTCATCCTGTTCCAGTACAAAGGCCCAGTGACGACCTTCTACTCAGATAGCACGATAATGCCATCATCCTCTGTCGGCTCCCTAGGCCGGCGCAAAGCGACAGCCTCCTCTTCGTCCAAGGTCCTCGCGTGCGCATACTGCCAGCATCGCAAGAGAAGTGTGACCGCAGTTTTCCATGCAGCATATGCGTAAAGGTACCCCCTTCCTTCCATTTCCTGCTTCCATTCCGACGCTTTTTCTGGCAGTCAAGTGATTAAGAAAGAGGCAGACAAACACAACCTGCGTGTCCAGCACACCAGCACCACCACGTCGTCGTCGTCAACCGACCAAGGAGCTCCTGGAGCGCATGAGCCGCTGCGAAGAGCTTCTGAGGCCACTAGTGTCTTGAGCAGCGTGTCTTTGGCATGCCCCTCACCCCGAGTCCATGAGCGCGAGGGCACGCTTACGCTCAGAGGGTGATGCGTCCGTGAGCTCCCAAGAGAGCAACGGCAGTTATATTATGGAAGAGGCGACATTAGCGACCAAAACTTCGTTAGAAGAAACGGTTATGACGAAGATACAAGATTTTATTTATGCGGTTTGCGATGGTCATGTACTATTAGCATCAGATACCCAGCCTTCATGTTCTTCTTCTACTCAGTCATTCTCAGCAAGCCAAGGACAAGACGCGCGATGCCAGCCGTGAATTCAAATGTGTCAGACGGACATGAGACGGTGGCATGGCCTCTACTTCGAGCAGCCAGGCCCACCAATCTCCAATTACACCCAAAAGACGGTCGGTCACCTCGAATCATGCGTGTCTACGTGAATGGCATCGATCGTTGTCCGTCCGGTGCGGGGTTGGTGGGGTTGCGGGGCCGCCACGGCACATTAGTCCGGATGTGGGTCAGACAGTCAGACCAACGGAATTTCGGACTCCCGAATGTCCGTATCAATCTCCCAAGACCTCCAAGCGCCCACCTCGTCAGCGAGCAGCTACCAGAGAGGGTCTGCTGCCCTTTTTTTGTGCTCGGGGTCCTCGAACAACTCCCTCAAACCGTAACCAGCCTGAAGAGTAAGAGTATTGGGGGATCCCCAGTCCCCCTGGCCCTTGACGGGCTCTTCGGACTTTTGCTCGTGGATGCCGCACCCAACCCCAGACACAAGCGGACATTCGGCAGCTTCCGGGCTCTTTACATAAGAGGCACCCATGGCCATTTCTCTGGGAACGCGTTCGCTTCGTGTACGTATTCCTGCAAGTATTATAACACAGCAGTCAAGATTGCTCAACTACGTGGTGGTATCAGAGAAGAGGGGGGCTGATATTACACCAATGGCTGCTATAAATGCTATTGCTTGGAACAAAAATGCCGTGGGAGATGATCCAAATGTCATGTTCATTATGGTACATGTCGTCGATTCCTCTCTCCAGCCAGACTCCATCAAGCCTAGCCACTGTCCTTGATATTACTGTTCAACATGCTGTCTGGTGAATCGTCAGTTCCACTGTTGAAGAGCTGCAGCGGCTGGTCGGAGAAGTTGGGCATCTGCGCATAATTATTGTCGAGGGCATTCTGCCACAAGTTAGTCGACGTTGCCCCATCACAGTGACACACCTTTGTCGAAGCACTCACCCAGTCAAAGTTTCCAGACAGGTCAGGCATCGTGCCCGAATTCGACCCCATTCCAAACATCGAGAATGGAGACCCGGGGTTGTTTCCAGGACCACCGCCAAACGCATCGCTACCGCCGTACCCGGGCATCGCGCCAGGGGAGAGCCCGAAATCCATGGCCATAAACGTGCTTTGCTCCTGCGCCGAAAAGCCATTGTTGTTGGTATTCACAAAGTTGGGCATCGCATCAAGGGGCGTCATGAAGCTCTGCGCTAGCGTGTTGGGCGATGGTATATCGAGGAGCTCGGCGTCCATCAGGTCCATGGGCGCATCGGTGCCAGAAGCTGGCGACTTGATCTTCTGGAGCATAATGTCGAGGACCTTGCTGGCTTTGAAGGCTTCCATGCTCGTGTCCGCCAGGGTCTTCCAGATGCTGCCTGCTGTCTCCAGCGACGTGATCATCCGCGCCCTCTGCTCAGGTGTCCACAGAAAATTGCCCTCGTGCTCCTCCTTCTGGTCTGCTGACTGGCGCCGCATGTTGTCGTGGTGCAGGTCCATGATAAGGATGGTGGACGGAAGAGCAAAGTCCTTGGTCGCCGTGGACTTGACGAACCAGCCCACGGATCGCAGCCGGCCATCGGCCTGCGATTCTCGATGCAATGTCGCCAAACGATCCATCGCCTGCAGCGCTGCCTCCACCGCGCTTCTTCGAGAGTGCGCGTATCTCGGATTTTGCCTGGCCCGAGCAAGGTAGTTTCTGTGCAGCTGGCACTCTATCTTCAAGTACAGAACATCAATGTTGAATCGCGCAATCAGCAGCGCCACGGGCTCATGCGATCCCTCCAGCGGAGTGAATTTGAGGTGAGGTGGCAGCTCCTGCTTGATTTGCCGCAGCTTCGCGTCAAACCGGATGATCTCATCGTAGGAAACGTGCTTGTCGACGGCACCTGTTGCTTGGAGGATCCTCCCGAGCTCTAGACACAGCTGTGACTTGGCGATCATGTATGAGACTGGTGTTGGCTCGGTCACTGGTCGCGAGGGCGGAAGCTCCTTACTCCCGGCGTGGAACTCGTCGTCGAACAAGTTGTTGGGCAGCTGCGTATCGCAGTCCTGGTCATGGATCATGCTTGGCAGCGAGACCTGATGAGAGAAGACAATGTCGGCCATTCTCACCAATGCCCATGATCTACGCCGCATTTCCTGAAGAGCTCGTCAGCGGATTACTCACACATATACAGCGGATGAACACTTACCGCCTGGAAAGGGCGGATGTTGGGGAACCACTTGGCATCCCTATGATACCCCATTCGAAACGCAGCTCGCGTCATGATGCCAACAATCATCCAGAGACCAAGGTCTGCATCCCACCTTGATGAGTACTCGCCAAACACGTACAGCATCAGCGCCTCGACCGTATATTCCACTGGCTTTGTGTAATCAGCCAGGATCAGCGCTTGCACTGTCTTGAGCCGGAAGTCGCAGGCCATCTCCAGCGTTTTCCCTTTCCATTCCGGCGGCTCATCGCCTACTTTATGGTAACTCAACATCGCCAGCGTCAGAACCGAGTACAGCAGCGCCAGCCACATGATGGGCGTTTTCGAGGGGTCTTGCCAATGTGTTCGCAGTTGCTGCTGGAACGTAGGGCCGTGAATGATGTTCACCGCGTTGTCCATCGAGTTGAAGTATCGACTGCAGAGCGTGAGAACATTTGACTTGGGTGGCAGCTCCGCCCGCAACTCCGTCTCCGTGGTGGGCGTGGCTCCGAGCAACAGCGTCGGCCCTTCTTGCGCTGTCCGTGGTTTCGATGATCGGACCCGTTCGTAGCTCGACTCGAGCTCCTTTTTGTGAGATGCAAAGTAATTCTTTACTTCGGCAATGTCCGCAAGCATAATGTGCCATGACTCGCTGCCAAAGTACATGGACTTGCCCTGGACCTCATCCACTTTGAGAACTCCCAGAGACGAGACCAGCCCGTCTTCATCGTCACTTCCTTCAGCTTCCGCCATGGCAGACTCTCGGCCCTTTTTGCTTTTGACTTGAGAGACCGAGCTCCCCGTCTGTGACTGTGATGTCGACTTGGCCCTCCCAGCGGCTTCAGCGCTCGCCGCGTCCACGGTACCTCCATTGTGCATTAGAGAAAGAACCAATCCTTCGAGTCGGTCGATCCGGTTTTGCATATCATCAGGACTTTGGTCTCCGGAGGATACGCCCTTTTTCTTGCGGTTCGCGGACGTAGCGTATGAACATGAATGAGGCGCGGCGCCCTCGCGCTTGACGCAGTTGCTGCAGGGGGATAGTCTGTCGCATTTGAGCTTGCGTGTCCGGCAGGGATAGCAACTCACAGGCACTCGATTCCGCTTGCGAACCACGCGGTACTGCTCCTCGGGCGAGCGAGCGCCTGTGGAGGAATTGGTAGAAGGTGGTGTCGGGGTCATGGTGGCGTCTGATGTGTGTGATCCAGCCACTAAATCTCTATAAATCTCTATTCTCCGGTTTGCAGCGCCCAGGCGAAGCCTCTTAGAGAGTCCGTCGATATCGTGCGACGTCCTTGACGTATTTGCCCTGTGGACCCAACCACACCTCAACCCCCGAGGAGGATCTGCCTAGCAGTTAAACCTCTCAATAGCGTGGCGGTCGCAAAGCTTCCGAAGATAGCGGGAACGAAAACGAGTCGCGTCTCGGTTGACAGAGTACAGGCAATCAGGCGCAGCTCCTGTGTTCGACGAAGGCGGAATTGGCGGCAACGGGCCTGCGCGTGTGCGTGCGCGGAGGTGAGCGAACTCCGTACTGAGTTGCGATGTCAGGAACAGGGCAGCAACTAGCAACCAGCTTTTCGAGCCCAATGGCGGGGAAGATCTGCTAGATAGGCGCCCGGGATTATACGTGTAGAAGCAAAATCCCGACGTCAATGTCGTCGGGGTGTCAGCTTGGTTATATAAGCGACCGTGGAGTCAAACTGAGGCAGTAACCACCCTCAGAAGTGGCAGGGTAGGTGGGGCGACGCCATAAACCCCGAACATCCAATTCCTCATTTATCAGCATGAGCGCCCTGGAAGAAGGCTCAATTTGTCCCCAAGCGCTACGGAAACCCGGGCATGGCTATGAAAGTTCAGGTACTGCCTCTGAAGGCTGAAAGTCTTCAAGAACATTGATAGTCAATCTGGGAAGAGCTGGGGAGAAGCTCGGACATAAGCCGCTGATAGCACCAGTCAACCGTGCAATCCTTGTTGCCAGTCCCATCACAGGCGACAACCGAAAGACGCGGCCACCACAACGCAATCGTAGGCTAGCAATCCTATGACTCACACGGGCAGATCGTCATGCCTTTGGATCCGCTATATGGGACGCCAATCTTTGGTTATCAGCGGGTGGCTGTTCGCCCAAATTACATATAGTTCCTCGAACAACCTGTTACCTGTGGCTAAGAAGTATGGAAAGAAGCATGATATGACCTAACCTATAGGTATACCTCCATCAAGAAAATGTTAGTTCCCATTAGAGTCATTGCATGGATTCACTAGTCTGACGTACATAGCCTGCATTCTTAGTGCGATTAACTCTTCACTGAATTACTTGACACAATAAAAGCCGCTTTGTCAGGTACTGGTAGAACTCAGCACGGACCTCAGCCCCAAAAGTATCATTGATGGCTGATCGTTGTGCCCTTGGACATCTACTTTCTAACTTTTCGGACCCTAACGCAAAATATCCCATTGCGTCGAGCAGTGAAATGCCCGCATCACTGTGCTTACATCGACTGCTCGTCAAGCTCACATTTATTAGCTGAGCTACATGTCCAAGCTGACCGATTCTCTCTGAATATCCAATTAAGCCGCCGAGGCCTCAACACTGTAGGGCTTGAAGAAATCGGGGTCATTACCCAGTTCTTCCTTGATCTGGACAACATTAGCAAAAGACACAAACCCATTTGTCAAAGAACCACTCACAATGTCCAACCCTCCCACCAATTCGCCATCAATCCAGAGCTGAGGGTATGTCGGCCAGTCGGCGAACTCTTTGAGCCCTTGCCGCACCTCATCGTCAGCCAGAATGTTGAAGAAGCCGTACTTGACAGAATTCTCCCGAAGCATGGCTACGAGCTGCCGCGAGAAGCCGCACTGTGGGCCACTGGGCGTCCCCTTCATGAAAAGCATCACTGGCGCCGCCTTGACAAGATCTGCCAGACGCTTGTTCAGTTCCTCCTTTGCCTTCTCTGGGTCCACCGGTGCGCTGGGCTCCTCGATCTTGGGCGCGGTCACCTGCTCGGGCCCGTTCGCCACGCTGCTAGTTGCTGCACCCGCGGCGTCTGTTCCGTTGGCGTGTGTCTCGATCGCCGTTCGCACCTTGACTGCGCTGCTCCCGCTGACGGTCTCGAGTACCTGCCCATTCCGTATCAACACCAAAAAGGGGACTGCCGTGACGTCGTATGTCTCGCTAATGTCGCTCAGCTCCTCCGCGTTGATGGACACCCATTTCGTCGAGGGGGGGTCGTTCGCAGGGTACTCGGCGGCCAAAGTCTCGAGGACGGTCTTCATCTGCGCGCAGGGGGCAGCCCATGGCGCATGGAAGGAGACGATGAGCAAAGTGGTTGCGGGGAGCGAGGCCAGCAGCTGTTCCCACTGGGCATCGCTCTCGATTTCGGTGATTTTCGACATGGCTGCGGGGATGATTGTCGCTGTCTACGGCTTGCACTGCCGGAGTTGCGCCAGTTTGTAATCCAGCTAGAGGTGCTCGTTGGAAAAGGTGGTGTCGGGGTTGGTCATGAATTTGGCGGGGCAAAATGTTCCCAAAATCGGCACGCGCCACGGTTCGTAGGAAAGCGCACAGGAGGGGTCCTGCCGCATGTCGGATTGGTCTTGCGTCATTTGGACAGCCGAGCTCGCTCTCGCATGGCAAACACCCCGCTATAACGATACATATGCATATAGCGGGTTTACCGGTCAGCTCAGCGGTAGCCCCGCAATTTCTGCCTGATGTCTGGAGAGCAGATTGGTCAACAGGATCACCCAGTCGTACGGACTCGCAGGGCACTGTATGTAGTACGTCAAAGGCAATTGGAAGACGGACCGCCGTACCTCGTTTCGACAGCTCAGCCTCCTTCTCCACGCCTCCAGCTTCGAACATTCTGACGAGCTCTCTACCGTCCTCAACAAACCTTCTGTCCGCATTTTTATTCCGCGACTGAGCTACCGAGAGCTCGGAAAGGACGTTGACCCCGAACCCCGCTCCAGTACCTGTTGCCTGGTAAGCTGCGCCGGTCATCCAAAGCAGCAACGCCACCGCGAAGCCTCAACCAGCTGCCCGACACAGCCCTGAGGATATCCAGACCACGTCGCAGTATTGATTCGTCGCGCGCGGGCCTGTGGTCAAAGCACATCCGCCATGTCGTCCCTCAATACGTCCATCAACGGACCCTCCATCAAGAGCAGCTACGCTGGCGTCGTCAATGGCCCAGCGTTGTCCTCTAGCTCGCCTACATACGCCCAATGGGCACTCTTCACCGTCCAAGCACCTCTTGCGAATGCTTTCCAAGACAACGGAAACAAGGAGAGCGTGCTCAAAGTTCAGGACACTGGCGGTAGGCTCCAGCGACAATAGATTCATGGTGGCCCTAAAACTAACGATCACAGATGGTGAGCTCAGCGAATTGAACGAGGACTTCAGCGAGGGCCGCATGCAGTATGCGTTTGTGAAGGTCAAGGACTCCAACTCTGGTCTTCCCAAATACATCCTCATCGCCTGGTGCGGTGGAGGTGTTCCCGAGCGCACCAAAGGCTACTTCACCAGCCACACGGCTGCTGTCTCCAAGATCCTCCACGGATACCACGTACAGATCACTGCTCGCTCGGACGGTGACCTCGAGCCCGAGTCAATTATGCGGAAAGTGGCGGATGCATCGGGGGCCAAGTACTCAGCCGGCTCCACCAGTGGAGGAGCTTCTGCGCCCGAGCCGCCCCCCGTCAAGACCAAGCCCGTCTTCACCCCGACGACGTCAAGTGCTGCTCGCAACCCTCTCGTGACGGCCCGTTCAAGACGCGACAACAACGTTGACGACGATGGTTGGGGCGCCGATGCGCCACCAGTCACCCGCAGCCAGGTCGAGAAGGTCGAGTCTGCCTACAAGCCCACAAAGGTGAACATGGCTGAGCTCACCAGCAACAAGGACGAGTCGACTCGCTCCAATCCCTCTGCGCGCCAGGATGCGGGTGATGTTGTCAGGGGCGCATATCAGCCTGTTGGCAAAATCGACATTGCCGCTATTCGGGCACAGGCTAAGGAGCAGCCAGACGACAGACCCGCGCCTGTCAAGGGATCGTACGAGCCTGTCGGGAAAGTTGACATTGCTGCTATTAGGGCTAAGGCGCAGCCAAGGCCTCAGGAACCCCAACGTGAAGAGACGCAAGAACAGGATGAGCCTGAGCAGCCGCGCCCAGTTGCCGATCGCGCGTCGGCCTTCTCCCAGCCTGCGACGTCAGAGCGATTGACCTCGCTCCCGAAGCCCAAGGTCGCAAACAAATTTGGAGGAGCATCAAGCTTCACTGGCACAAAGCCCCCTGCGCCTGGTGGCCTAGGATTCGGCGGCCCCGCAGCTCCCGCCCCTCCCCCGGTTGGCGCTGCAAGCCGCACGTTTGCCGATCAGGGCGGCAAGACGCCAGCCCAACTCTGGGCCGAGAAGAAGGCCAAGGAGCGTGGGAGCGACGTTGGCAGCGTGGCGGCGTCGTCGAACCCAGCAGCGGTCGCATCGCAAAACAGCGGAGGCAATGAGTGGAAGAGCGGATACAGCGGTAAGAGCTGGGCTCCCGTCCAGACTTCTGGAAGCTTTGGTCGCCCCGAGGCCGGGGCCATCAGCGCCGATAACACGGGGGAGCCCGAGGCTAGGGAGATTGAGGAGCAACCCACTGCATCCTCTGGCGGCGTTTCCGCCCTCAAGGATCGATTTAAGGATGCGGCGCCCATGGGTGTCGGTGCGGCGCCTTCAATCCCTCGTCGCGAGACAGAGCCTGAACCGGAGCCGGAGAGCGAGCCAACCCCCCCTCCTGTGCCGGACACCTCGAGACCTTCTGGAGGGTTCGCCCTACCTGGGCTGCCAGCACGTCCGTCTCACGCTGAAGAGGAAGAAAGAGAGGCCGATGACGCCGACTACCGCGAGGAGCCGCGCGATGCCTCACCCCCGCGTGTGGCGATTCCCGTCAGCCGGGGTCCTCAGACATTGGATGAGCCCGAAGACGCACGATCACCTCCTCCTGTCGCCCCCAGCCAGATTGAAGTCCCCAAGGAGAAGGATCTGTCCGATGAGAGGGAACAGGAAGAGCAGTCGCGCGGTGCGGCCGAGGCAGTTGCGCAGCAGAACTTTGAGCGTGATGAGATTGACACCGCGCAGGCCGACCAGGGCGGTCACCGGGCCGTTGTTCAATACGACTACGAGAAAGCTGAGGACAACGAGATTGAGCTGATCGAGGGTGAATATGTCACGGATATCGACATGATCGATGAGGGTTGGTGGATGGGCACCAACGCAAAAGGGCAGCGTGGTCTGTTCCCCTGCAACTACGTCGATCTGGTCAAGGAAGGGGATGCCCCCCCACCTCCCGCTCCGGCGCCTGTCGCTCGTGAGCCCTCGCCTCCGCGGCCGGCTGCGGCAGCGAACCCGGTGCCACCACCACCTGCCCCTGCTGCTGCCGCCCGGCCCAGTGCTGGGCCTACCGCCACGGCGATTTACGACTACGAGGCAGGAGAAGACAATGGTAGGTGGTTACCTGGCTTAGCTTGGCTTGACTTGGATCGATGCAGTGCTGACACCCATGACAGAAATCAGCTTCCCTGAAGACGCGAAGATCACCAACATTGAGTTCCCCGACGAGGACTGGTGGGCTGGTGAGTACAAAGGCAAGAAGGGGCTGTTCCCCGCGAATTATGTGGAGCTCGACAAGTAAGGCTGCCGTGCTTGGGTGAGAAAGGAGGAGGCGGTCAATGAGGACTGATTGATTGCCCGTGTCAATGATAGCAATGGCAATGAGGTTAGGATAGGCTAATTTGACTGATTGAGCCATGCACGATCCCGTGGGGGCTGAAACAACGTTTTCTCGCTCGACGCTATCTAGGCAGTTCGTACGGAGTATGGATACAGCCAGAGCAAAACAACTTGTTATTGAAGACGCAGTGACGGCCCTTCATTATTATATCGTGGCCCCGACGACGTACATGTGCGTACATAGTACGTTCACTACTTGGTAGAGGCCCACCTCACGAAGCACTGGCAGCCGCTGGCCCGCTGCCGGCGGATCGTGCCCGTCATCGTGACGACGGAAGTGGCAGAGTGGGGATGGTGACATGGCCCCAGCCACCCGAAACGCGTGCGCCAACGGTTGACGCTCTGCTCTGCCCAGGGACGCTGGTCATCGCCAAGGGCCAAGGCGCATCTGCGGAAGAAGCAAGTAAGGTAGGTAGGTGCCTTGGGGAACTGGACGAGGATTAACTTTCGGAAGCGCGATCGTCCCCGACCATCCATCATTAAGGTAGCGCGAAGCGAATTGGTAACAAAAAAAACAAGCTTTCATACTTTCGCTGGCGTTGAGGCACGAGGGAAAAAACCTGCCACGACAGTGTTTTACTACGTAGTTCCTGTGAAACAACCTCCCTCTGCTCGAATCATGCATTGGCCCATTGAGGCGCCGTTGCCAGGGCCACCGTCTACGGGAGAGACAACGACCAGGGCTATCCGGTGACAAGTTTGGGGATTGGGTCATTGGGAGGATAAAGATGCGACTTTTCCATCGTTGATCCTGATTATGCTGCAGCATTCTCTGGGCTAGCGCTGGAATGCCAAGGCCCTCAGGGCGCTATGCTCCTGGGCAGTCGCCGCCGGTGGCCCGTGGAGATAGGCACGCACCTGCGGGCTTTTTGTGTCCGGCTCTTAAGCAACGCCTCGTAAGACCCGCCGCTGCTGCTTGCGTTGTAGAGACGTGCGTACTGGATGGATCACTGATCGGAGAGGACCTGGACGGGGCTGTACTGAACTGGACGCTGGTGGTGTGTGGTCGGTCGATTGGAGTTCAAAATGTATGCGGCTGCCACGCTGGATACGAGAAAGGCTAACGGCCAGCAGCGCTCACCATTGGGCGCAGCATGTGGCTATGTCGTCGACTGGAGTGGTGATGGTCCTGGCCTGATCATCGCACCACAGACGCCCAGTCCGGCTTCCGTGCTGCAGCATGCAGGCCAGGCCATTGACAACTGCAGAAATACGTCCAGTCCTTCTTTGAAAGTCTACCGGACTGTGATAGCCATTGTAATGCCGTCATCTCCGGGCCATGCATTCGTCCACACCCACCTGGGTTGTCATTACTTGTAGCTCTAGCTCTTCTGCGTGGTACCTCATCACAGTATCTCGGTGTGTAGGTACCTTGCCTGAGGTACCTGCCTTCCCGCTATCAGAATGCCTGGCTCGGATTGATTTGCTGTGTTGCAGCCTGAGAAGGTGATGAGAACGGCCAACCAGCACTTGACTGGACGTTCCCGCAAACCTTTCTTTCTTCCCATCCGTCTCGTCAGATCTTGGCTCTTACACACAACTTTTCCCCTCAAGGAACCCACAGCCATTGCATTGCGACGTTGCTGCTCGATCTCGTTGCCGTTCTTTGTTCGCATTTTCTCGCATCGCTCCATGCGTCCGTGCATCGTCTTACAGCTCGATCGGTGCTTGCCATAATAAACGACCAGGTCCCTGGCCTGCCAGCGTTCTATTCCTTAGTACGGATACCAAGAGAAGCCCCGGCTCGACGACCCTGGCCGACTGGATCTTGGATTTGCACCCTTAGCTCATTTAGCAGCTCATCTCCACGCATTAGTATTACGAACCCAGGTTGCCTGCTGGGACCTACTCCAGTCTTCTCTCACGATACAAAGACCGCCCAGCCCAAACGTGTGGGCTCGGCGCAAAACGCAGACCCATCGCCAGGCGAACAGCGCAGACAGCTGCGGCATCCCTGTCCGGCCCCATGCTCCATCGAGTCGATCCAATTCAATAAAACCAACAGCTAGCCCAAGCCGCCCGTCACAATGGACAGTCAACAGCAAGCTTCGTTTCAGCACTCCACGCAGCTCGACGACCAGCAGCCGTCGCAGTCACAGCAGCAGCATCACTCGCAGCAATATTCTCAACACGACCTGCCGCCGCCTCCACCCCCGACCCATCAGCAATATCAGCAGGCCCAGTCCTATCCTTATCAGCAGCGTCGCTCGTCGCAAGTCTACCAACAGCAGCACTATCAGCAGGCATCGATATCGTCATCCAGCGCACCATCTGCCTCGTCGCAACCATCCCATCAACAACAACCGGAGCTTCAACGCCCGCCCCCATCAGCTCATTCACAGTCAAAATCGCGAAAATTTAGCTTTCATTCCGACAAGGATAAGGATAAGAGTCACAAGCGAGGAAACAGTAAGACTGAAAACAACGAGACTCACACTGAGAAGGAGGCAAGGCGGTTGCACAGCAAAGCCGATCCAACTCTAGCCATGAGCGAAGCCGAGCCCTGTACGTACCGCTTTTGACTGCCCAAGCGACTCATTTACTTACTAAAACATTCCAATAGCCATGGAGGCTGCCCAGACACACTCGTCACTCGCGCCGTTGCGATCTATGCAGCATAAGGACGCATATGGCAACATGATAGGTACTTTGACCTCCACTCGCTTCAAGGACACTACTAATGCCGTCGTAGAGGAGCCCGATCACTCGAACCCAACCAGGCATCGCTGGGAAAGGCCCCTCGAAACCATCCGCAGCTTCAACGATGCCGTTGAAGGCGGCTACAAGCGCAGGTCCATGATGCGAACGGGTAAGTCCCCATGTCTCACTTGACCAGACAACCGACTGACAAGAAACAGACACGGAACTCTCCAGCAATTGGAGTCGCAGAAACAGCCATCACCCGGGAGGTGAGACATTCCCGCCCCCACCACGAGTTTCTGTGGATGCTTACAATCTCCCAGCCGCGCAGCCGCGAAGCCGCCCTGATAGTTTCTACGGCAGCCGCCCTGTATCATTCCGGCCAGAGAGCACACAATTCAGCCTGCACCAAGCGCCAGCACAGCGTGCTGGCAGCATGTATGGCATGGACAGGTTCCAGCAGGAGGGTCACCATAGCTACGGAGGCCACCCCGGCCGCCAGCGTGCCCCGCGGATGCATAGTGAGCCTCAGTACGCGCACCATGGCGGGCCTGGACGTGTACCAAGCGGTTACCACCTGTCTCATCAAGACCGATCGTACGAGACCGTCACCTCGGCGGCCGAGGGCAGCAGGCATTCGGACCAAGTTGGCTATCAGACCGACCCGACTAGTAGCGACAACAGCTCGATCGAACGCCGGTCCCCTGCCCGGCGCCCAGAGCCTTATAACGACTACGGGATCGGTTTCAACCAACCTCAGCAGCCACAATACAACCTGGCCCTGAACCAAAACCATGGAAACCCGCAGCAGCCGCCGCGACCCCCACCTCACGGCGTACAGAGCCAGCCTGCCGTACCGCGTAAGAGCGTGCCGACGGTTCTGCAGCGTCAGCCCACCCAGCAATCGACAAAGACCGCGGGCGGCGACAAGCGCAAGAGTTGGTTCACGCGGAAGTTTAGCAGCAAAAAGGAGTGAAATGCCGAGGACCATTGGTTTGATGAGACATGTTTGTCCCGGTAATGCACACGGATCTTGCTTTTTATGGAATACCCCCATACCCTTATGCGTCCGCTGCGGTGAGCACGAGTAGGTTGTCGGCTTGGAACGAACCAATTGTGCGCGGGCGATTCCGGCGAGATGGGAGGGACTTGTCGGGGCACAGCGACTGAATGCACGCGAGCGATAATCACGGAATTGGAGGGAAAGATTACGGTCAGAGACGCTACCACGAGACTTGCGGAGGGGTGGAACGACGTTTGACAGAGACACGCACACGGAGTCTTGTACGAGGCGTTGGGGGTTTTAGCCGTCAGTGACTTGTGATAATAGAAGGATATTCACGTCGGCGAGCGCCGGCCTGTCTGTCAAGGATACTACCAAGGTATAGGCTGCTGCCTGTATCTTGTGGACGCAGGAACTGTAATGAAGCCTCTATGCGGCTAGCCACACACACACATACACACATACACACATACATACGACTTTGGATCGCCGAGCGATTCTTTTTTCCTACTGTCGAGGAGCTCTCTATAAAGGTACGACGAAAGAATAAATCACTGCATGCATGACGAGCGTGCTTTGAACAAACGGTATTGCATTGTTGACTAGCGCACACGTGAGAATTGGTGTTCACTTGTCCTTTTTCGTTTCCATTCTATCCGATTGATCCTCGTTCATAGCGACGATAATGTACCATATCAGGACCACGTTGGCCAGAACCGCAGCCAATCCTCCCGCGTACGACGCGTTGCCTGACCAGTCAGTCCAGCCATCCCAGGCTCCGTGATATTTCAAGTCGACTTACCGTTGAACACGGTATTGACAGTAGCAAAGTAGGACCCAATGGGCAGAACAACCATGGCCAGCGTGAAGCCGAGTAGTTTGTAGATCACGTCCCTGTTGTCCACAGTATCAGCACGTTGTTGGGTCTCCGACAGGTTTGGGGGTCAGATATACTTGGGAACTGCCGGCGCAATGTCGGACTTTTCCTCTGGGCCATTGTCATCCTTTTCGAGCACGGTCCGCTCCGAGTTGGCGATGCGGCGGGTGGCCATTGTGTGTGTGTTGGTATATGTGGGTGTGTGGGTGTGTAGGTGGTAGATGTCCAGGTGGTCATAGAGCAGTGCAGGATGTATCCGCAGATCAAGCAGTACCTGACTTATGAACAATCTCAACTGCAGCCGTACGTTGGAGATCCGAAAGCCTGATAATTACGCTTGTATGATCTTGCGCTGAGGAGATGCGGTTGATGATGGCTCGAGGCCTGAGGGCGTGTCTGGCTGTGACGTGCAATAGCGGCAACCACTTTAGGAGCCACGTGACTTCGTGTCCTCACCTTGCAACGTCGGTTTGTAATACGTTCGTGGTACTTATGATTGCAGAAAATGCAAGCGATTCTGGATTTTTCATTCGATAAATTTTAAAGGAAATTTCCTTTTCAATTGTCTATTCTGGGCATCACTAGGCGAGGCTGGGCTTTGTTGATGCCCGCCTTTGTCTATCGCTCTTGCTGCTTCCCTTCCATGGCATTAAGAGGCAGGCGGGGGCCGGCGCGCGGAACGCGTCTTGCCACAGGCGCCAGTGAGATCGACCAACTGACTGCATTGACTTTTTGGCGCTTCCCACTCGCGCATGCGAACTACTCCCTACCAATCCACGACGATCCAACCAACACTCGAACCTGAGCAGACTCTCACTCCAGGCTTGGTTGCGCAGATGAGCTGACATTCTCTTCACCGTGCTTTTTTCGCTCGTCATTGCGTGCTTTTCGGATTCGATCATCCATTGTTGCGTTTTGATCTGCATTTTCTTCTCTGTCCTCGACCTTCCGCCCTGACGACATAACCCACCCACAATCTCGTGCTCGAGGCTACTGCCTGTTGGAACACGATGGGATCCCTCCCCAAGTTGACATTTGTCAAATCGAACCCTATACAAATCGACGACGAGGACGAGCTGGCTGTGGCTGACACCATTCCCTGCTCACCGGGCGCTGTCCTCCGCTGCGATGACCATACAACACAGCCAACGCAGGTTCTCCAGCGACCAACTCTCGAGCCCTCTTCTCCTTCGAGCATAGTTGAAGTGCCGGCCTCTTCGCCCTTTCAGCAGCCGCCGAAACGACCAAGCAGCTTTTTCTCGCGGATGGCACCGGCTGGCACGAGGTTCCAAGCACCGACCCAGAACACCAACACGACCAACAAGCGTCCGGCAGACCCCATAGACTTGATTTCCGAGGACGAGTATGAAGATGACGATCTGCCCCCTCTATCGGACATTCAACCTACCAATTTCAAGGCACATATTTCGTCCTTTGCATACGACTCCGGCGACGATAGGCGACCGGCCACGGGCAAGGCGCTTGCCATGAAAAACAAGCTGCGTAAAATATTTGACGTCTATGGGGATCGGTACGCCGTCGGGACTGTGAAAGAGTCGCTGACGGCCTGCGATGGTGATGTAGAGGGGGCGATAGAGTGGCTCGCCAAGTACGGACGGAATCACTCTACCAATGCACAGGCGAGTAAGCCTGGGAGGAGACTGGTTAACAAGGCTGCTTTGAACGCCGGGCGACCGACGCCGTCGTCCTCAAGAGGAACGACGCCGCAGCAACAACAGCAGCCCCCGCCCAAGAAGAGGAGACTAATGCAGGGCCGCAGGAATCCAACGCCCTCGCCGCGGAAGCCTTCCCCGCAGAGGCTCACGCCGGGTGAACACCCTTCTAGTGACGATCCCTTGGTTGTCGACCTCGTTGATAATGACGAAGGGGACGCTTTCCAGGGCGAGAGATCGCCCACGCCCGATGAGAGTATCACCACTAGGATTCTCAACTATATCAACACAAGCGCACAGAACGAGATCGCGGCGATTACGGGAATCAAGGAGGTTGATCTTGCACCTGTGATTGAGAAACGACCTTTCGACAATGTTCGTCAAGCCAAGAAGGTCCAAGCACCTCAGAAGCCCAACGCGAGGAAGAAGTCTCGGATCCCTATTGGCGAGACGATTGTTGAGAAAATCGAGGCTTTCCTGCAGGCTGCGGAAGCCATTGACAAGGTCGTGGCGGCTTGTGAGGTCAAGGCTGCCACAGTCAAGGAGGCTGTCGATGCATGGGACATTAACAGTTTCGGCTATGACAAGCGTAGCACGCGCAGCACACCGGAACTACCGCCGACGCCATCCAGTCTGTCAAGCCTGGTCCGTCCGCCGATTCCCAAGCAACCGGAGTACATGGATGGACACTGTTCGATGAAGCCTTTCCAGCTGTTTGGGTTGAACTGGATGGCTCTGTTGCATAAGCTGAACACAGGTTGTATCCTCGCTGATGAGATGGGCTTGGGCAAAACCTGTCAGGTCATCTCGTTCATCAGCCATCTGGTGGAAGATTGGGAGGACAAGCCGCAAGGCGCGGCGAGTGTGTGCCCCTGGCCCAACCTGGTTGTCGTCCCTCCGAGTACTTACAACAACTGGCTGGCCGAGTTCGAGAAATTCGCCCCCGACCTGTCCGTCATTGGCTATCGTGGCTCGCAAGCAGAGCGTGCTGAGATTGCAGAAGATGTCCGAGACTCACCTGAGGACTACCACGTTGTGCTCGCGACCTATTCGCAGATCAACAACGAGATGGACATTGAGTCGCTCAATAGAATTGGGATGCATGCAGCCATCTACGACGAGGGCCACAAAATGAAGAATCCGGAGACGAAAATCTACAAGGACCTCTTGCGGGTGCAGGCGGATTGGAAGATGTTGCTCACAGGTATGTTTACCGACCAGGTTGCACTGATTCATGCTAATTAATCTCTCCAGGCACGCCTGTCCAGAACAACCTGTTGGAGATGACTTCGCTCCTCAATTTTATCAATCCTCAGATCTTCAAGGGTTGCATGGAGCATATTAAGTACATCTTCAGCCAAAAGGTCACGATACGCGACATCACCAATGGTGCCTTTTTGTACAGCGAGCGCGTCAAGCGTGCGCGCACCATCCTGGAACCCTTCATCTTACAACGGCGCAAAGATCAGGTTCTCTCCGACATGCCTGCCAAAGTCAACACGGTCACGCTTTGTGACATGACCGAATCCCAAAAGTCCGTTTACGACGGCTACGAAGCAATCTTCCGCCAGGAGCCGTCACAACGTAAGATCAAGGGCGGTCGAGGCAACGACATGAACAACTGCTGGATGCAGCTGCGCAAAGCAGCAATCCACCCCCTGCTGTTCCGCAAGCACTTCACAGACGCCAAAGTGGAAAAGATGGGACGGGTATTGTTCGATACTGTCGATCAGTCCGAACTACGGCAGCCAAACCTTGGCCATCTGATCCAAGAACTCAAGAATCAGTCTGACTTTGAACTACACCTGTGGTGCCGAGACTACCCTCGGCTGATCAAGAAGTATGACTACCCACCAGAGGTCGAGTTGGACAGTGGTAAGACCCGCAAGCTGCTTGAGCTTATCGACCAGTACCAGCAGAATGGCGATCGAGTGCTCGTCTTTAGCAAATTCTCGCGAGTGATCCAGATGCTTTGCGAGACGCTGGCAATGAAGGGCATCGATCATCGCGTGCTGGATGGGTCTACCAATGTCGGCGAGCGGCAAGCGATGATTGATGAGTACAACTCGAATCCAGAGATCCCCGTCTTCCTCCTCACTACTGGTGCCGGCGGTACCGGCATCAACCTGACGTCGGCCAATAAGGTGGTCATCTTTGACCAATCCGACAACCCCCAGGACGACATCCAAGCCGAGAACAGAGCGCACCGTCTTGGACAGAAAAGAGACGTGGAGATCATCCGGCTCATTGCGCGTGGGACTATAGAGGAGCTCATCCACAAAGCCTGCCAGAAGAAGATCGAGCTGGCGAACAAGGTGACAGGCGCCGTGGAGGACCAGACGGACGCCGAAGCGGCCAAGAACATGGAGCAAGAGGTACGCCGGATGATGGAGCTGACACCACCATAGAGCGGTGGCCGAGCGTCATGAGGCGCGACACGATATACAGTTGAGTTTGTTTAGACGTTTCACAGCCAGAGAAAAAGAGACAGGCACATTGAGCGGTCATCTTAGAGTGTTGGCGTTTTTGTTGAAGTAGCATGGCTTGTATTACGGATTGGCTCTTGGCTTCAATTTGATTTGAAGAGTGGGCGATTATCAGAACTGGCAGGGCACGAGACCCATCATGATCAGCAGGAGGACGGATTGACGACGACTCTGGATCATTATACAATACAATACACATAGATGAGAGTCTAGAGGTAGCTTTAGTGTTGGCAGTCATTGTCACAATGCATTGTTAGAATTGCCGCCCAGACCTCCGCAGCAGACGCACCATAAACCTCTGCCTGGCCTTGTTCACGTTGACTCCGCCACTCGCTGACTATCGATTCTTATTCTCCCTTTTCTTGTTTCCAACTCGTGCTCCAGTCGTCCGTCCGTCCCTCGGCCAATATTTCTGACTCGTGTCTCCGACTCCCTCCTCAAAGTGCCCTAGCCGTTGAACAGGACTCGCACGCCAGGCGCTCTAATTAGATCGACGAACGGAGAACCGAAGCGAGCGATGGGGCTCGGGAAATTGCCCTCCCTCCAACTCCAACAAGAGCTGTTGGTTGATCTGGCGCGCGAGGGGACAGAGAGCCTGACACTTGGGAACCGGGACGAACCTACCGCATGTGGGCCCGCTACGTGCCAATCTTAGGGGTCTCACAGACTTTAGGGGTTTTTCTGGGCGAAATTTATCCACATGAGGCCTCGCCTAGCTGCAGCCAGCGAGCCGGCCACCTGTTTATTTTTATTTTTTTCTCTTCCAATGGAGGTAGTGCACCATGTCTTCAGGGTCTGGCTGGATCCCCTGCGACCAGATGCGCCAGCTACTCACGGCGAAAAAAAGGACGCCGTCGCTTGTGGCGGATCTGTGTTTTCTGACTGGTGAAGAGCTGAGATGCTGGTCACTTGCAGCTCAGCGTGCATACGGTACAGATCATGGGTACTCATTCAACATGGGGCAGATCAATGTCGTGCGGCGTGTGTATGTGAGTGAGATGCATGTCTCGCTCTCCAGCATTAAATTTTTGCTATCTTCAGTTCGCCGTGCATACCATGCAGGCAGGCACGCAAGCACGCAAGGCTATGTAATGTGTCAAATCAATGTAATTGGTATCACCAATGAGGCTTCCTTTTCCCTCTTGCCAAAAACGCCATTCTTCGCTCCCCAGTGGTTCCCTTCTCGTTCAGGTGACAGTCTTGACCTTGACACTCTTCATGTCCGCCCGGTTCTTGGTGACGCGCACGCACCCTGTGCTTATGATTGTGTCTTGTCTCCACTTGCGATCCTGGGGTTTCCCGTCGCGATATCGTGGTAATCTCGAAGCCGATGTGCGAATGTTATTGAGGACAAGCTCCATGAGGGGGCTGTGTTGCGGAGCTTGTCGCTGCGGTGGTGTTGCTGGCTCATCTTGTTCTTGGTCTTGGGACTGCTCCGATTCTAGAGACGCCATCTTCTCCACATCGTCCTCCATAATCTGGTCATCCTCGGCGGGAGGCGCCAGGGCACGCTGGTAGGCGTCCGGGCTGATCCCCCACGGGATGCCGTCCGCTGGCGCAGCATCTCTACTCATGGGGGTCTCAAAGTCTCTTCTGCTCCTCTTCCCCTTTGCTTGGCCGTCTTCGCATCTTTGAAGGCGCGCGCTTCGGCGCAGGCGCATCTTCCTCTCCAAGCTTGCGGGGGGCGACAGGGGTTGCCGACTCGATGTGGTGGGCAGCGACAGCGAGAAGAATGGCAGCTGCGAGTGTGAGTCGCGAGTCGAGCCAGTAATGGCCTGTAGTGCGCGCGAGGCAGCGAGAAGCGAATTTGTCGCGGAGCGCGGGACGGCTGAAGCGTCGTTGTGCATGGTGGCTGGGATTGTTGTTGTGGTTGTTGTTGGGCGCGCGCAGAATGGAGAAGACAGCGCAGGCTGGAATGGTGGCGAGAGAAGCATAATCACAGTTGTTTCTTCTTTTCCTTTCAAATTCTCTGCTGTCTTCTGTCGAACAAGTCGCGTGGCAGGAGATGGTTGTTTATAGTCGGAGCTGGGTGCGGGTGGTTGGTGTCGCTCGCAGACGAAAGAGTGGTTGCGACGAGAGTCCTTTGCGGCGCAACGACCACGATGTGGCAGCGTTTTTGGTTTTCGAGTTAAAATCGAGTTCAATGGATTCGCAAGTAGCCAAGGTGTCGTGGAGGCAGCGTGCGATGCCGTAAAAGATATGGTGTGGTGTTTGCGACGTGGTTGAAGCAGGTTTGCGATATTTGTTGCTTGCTGGTTTGCAAGGGCTAGGAAGACAGGCTGGGGGAGGAGGGCGACGCAGCGCATTAAAGGCGGGCGGTTGCTGTGCGGCGGGCCAGTCTTTTGCCTGCTGGGCAGCCGGGTGCAGTTAGTTGAGAGTTGAGACACAAGGTGCGGGTGGGTCCCGTGGCTGCCCATTTACACCCCTGTCAGGTACCCGCACGCACCACCAAAACACACGCGTTGCTACAGGTACCTACCCTACCTCGTGGGCCCTGAACCCTTCCTTCCCTTCTGCTTTCAGTCACTGCGTCGGGTCACTCACAACCATCTCAGTCCGTCTTCGTACGTACGTCACCAACCAGCTGGCTGTCTGCCCCCCATCTGGAGATGAGTGTTCGCGATGAGACCGGCTGTCTTGGACGGGAACACCCACCAGACCCGCGCTTGATGCCGCCCTTTTGTTCTGTTTGCGGGCGGTGCGCTTGTTTCGAGTCTCGACGACAGCCATCCATCATCTCGGTCTGTCTAGGCTGGTCTTTTCAGGGAGGACAAGCGTGCAGCATAAACGGTCGGATGGATGCACACACGGACACAGACTCTGTGACCCCCTCGCAGTAGGTAGCTATTTTCGTGGCTCCATCGTCTCACGGACCTTCGAGGCTTCGACTCTCTCGACGCTGCTCGAGTACAGCCTTAGTCCCACCCATCCATCCCATCCATCGCAGGTGCCTCGAGACAAAAGGCTCCCTTGCCAGAGGTCGCACTCACGCTCACCTAACAGCCAAGAGCCGACTACACAGCCAGCGTGACCTTCCCTTTGCTCGTGGCTTGGGTCGACAAATATGACTCGTTTAGACCGCTTGCTGCGCTGGCTAAGTATATTCGTCGTCTACCTCGACCGACTCTTACTACCCCTCTCAAGCGCAGCAGGTGCACCCAAGCACGCATGCATGCCGGGTGTCAACCCGAAAATCTGCTCTGCCTGATCACCGCCCAATTGACGAAACAGAGGCCCAAAATGTCAGGAAGGATGTGTTCATCGCCTGTATGCACGTCATCGCATAACGTTCTCCGTGTTGCAGACTCATTTCATCTCGATTAATAGAGCAACCACCTTCATCCCTCGTGATCTGACGTCGTCGGGAGACGCGTCGCGACGCGTCTCTTGCGCGACTTCAATAGACTTGGCGGAGCTTGTCGACCAATGGATGCCTGATAAAATATGGGACTCTCACTACAGAAGGGATCTTCCTTCGCAAATGTTTCAAGTCATTCCACGATCGAAATGTGCTGTGCACATCGACAATCTTATCGTTCTGATCCATTGCTGGCGATTGATGAGGGTGTACTCCGTACGTATGGACTGGCTGATGTCATATTATTTTGCAAAGAGAAGAGACCGGCACATTAATTCAGTTTGCCGATCATCCTCAGTCGTCATCGAGGTGCCGATGGCTCTCCCAAGGAAATGATGCTCTTGTTCACGAGCATCCTATCTAGACGGACATGAAGATCTACACAGCTCCAGATCTCTACCGGCTGCCCTTTGCAAGGCGAGACAGTGAGATCCCTTGCCTTGAAGCAGGTCAGCGCCGCCACTATTTGCGCTAACGTCTCTCGAATCTCCATTCATACTGGGGAGAGAGCCACATCTATGACAGCCTGATCCGAGAGATTGACGCATGCTGACACCACGCTATCGACGGCTACAGTGTGGCTGATCAAATGGTGTCCGCCCTTCTTTATCTGTCTGATTCCCGTTCCCCATCCCGCACGTGTTTGTTCAAGGGGAGCCGACCCACCCTGCATGCATGGAGTCCTCCCGTCGGCATCAGGTTGACGTTTGGCACTTTAGACCCTGGTCAAGACCAAGCATTTTGATGATGCAGCAATAAGTTGCGATAAGAATGGTCAGCCGAAAGGATAGGACATTGGCACAATGATAATCTGCGTGGCCACAAAAACATGATGTAGTCAGACACAACTCTCGGGCCAAGCGCAGTGATCGATCCGTAGCTTCATCATTACGTCCCGGCTATATACCAACGGGTTGGTTCCCCATCCGCATCCACCCGGCCAGACATCTAGAATCCGTACGAGAAGAACAAAAGCCAATCTCGGCTACACAGTGTGCCAGTCTCCCAACGCCAGTCTGTCGCACAAGATGAGGGGGCCGGAGAATACGGAGCGTCCACCCTCCACTATTGCCTTCCAGTGTCCGCCCCCCTGCTCGCGCTGCTGCTTCGACACAATAGTAAAGAACAAACAATCCAAAGTAACAAAATGTAGAAATGCAGGGCAACCGCATGCCCACAAAACAACGGCGACAAAGTCTCGACGCAGGACGAAACTCCGAAAGAGAGCCATCGTGTCCACCGCAACCACCGAGTGTTCATCCAATTGTGCCCTCTTATATGCATACCTGCTCTGATGCGTCCCTTTTCCATGTCCAGAAGTCGATTGGTGCACCGAGTGTATCCTTTCGTCCGCACTTCATGTAGTCTTTTCCCAGTACTCGCCTCTTGCTGTCGGCTGTGTGTTTCACATTACCACACAGTCCTTGTCACTGTTTTCCTTTGTAATCTTTCCCGATCGAGGCGGCGCCACGTCCATGGGCTTTCCCTCGCCGCTGACGGCCGCCTGGATGATAGCGAGTCGCTGCTTGGCACGCTCGTCGCCGGCGTCCGCAGCCTTGACATACCATACATTCGCCTCGAGGATGTCACGACGACAGCCAATGCCCATTTCGGTGAAATAACCAAGGGCATATTGAGCCTTCACATAGCCTGTGCGATGTTAGCCTGCGTGTCCCACGCCGAGGTGCTGCCACCGAAATCTGGACTCACCGAGCTCTGCAGATCGACGCGCCCATTCAAAGGCTTCTTCCTCGTCCTTCTCCAGAACGTCAGAGCCCACCATGTACCATGCGCACAGCCCCATCATCGCCGCGGCATGCCCCTGTTCCGCAGCGCCCGTGTAGAAATGGACGCTGAGGGCGGGGTCCTTGGGAACGCCCAGGCGCGCGTGCTCGTACGCTTCGCCCATGCGAAAGTTGGCTTCGGGATGTCCCAGGGCGGCAGCTTGTGTGAATAGGGTCGCGGCGTAGTGCTCGTCGGGGAACACGTCGTCACCGTACCCTGTTTCGTACAGGCAGCCGAGTTGGTATGGCGCCGAGTTGTACTGCGTGTCAGCAGCTTCGGTGGCAAGTTTCATCCACTTGATGCCCTCGCGATAGCGTTTCTCGCCGAGATCGCCGGACAAGCAAGCCTTACCCAAGCGCGTCATGGCGCCTGGGTGTCGCTTCGAAGCCGCCGAGCGCAGGAATTGAACTGCCTTGGCGGGGTCCTTTCGGCAACCCCAGCCGAACTCGTAGCAGAGTGCTGTTCGGTACGCTGATTCGGCGTGTCCGTGTTTGGCTGCAAGGACGAACAGTGGGAAGGCCGAGTTGTAATCCTCTTTGCCTTTGCTGAAGAGACCAGATGCAAATCCATCCGCCAGGTAGTATTGCGCGAAGGGATATCCGCCGTTAGCGAGACGCTGCAGGATCTGGCGCGCCTCTCGCACCAGCTCATAAGGCGACGTCGCCTCGGCTTCGATGATGGGGCTGTCATGGTCGCGCAAAGGCTGTGGAGTGGCCTTTCGCCCCTTGGGATCGGAAATGTCCAAGCCCTGCTCTTGCGCCGTGGAGATCAGGAACACCGCAAAGGAGTATTGAATGGAGAAATCCGTGGTCTTTTTCACATTGGCGCGGTACATTTCTAGCGTCTTCTGCGTACTCAGGAGGGAGGCATTGTTGCCGATGACGGATCGGAGGTTTGAGTTGTCAAGCCCGGGCGTCGCAGGCGCTTGCTGGGGGTATGGTACACTGAGGAGTTCAGCGTACGTCGAGTGGCGTACGTCGGGAGACCTGCGCGAGTTGGCCGAGGGAGCGCGCAGGTCACCGGGCAACAGTCCAGGCGAGCGCCCCCGTGGCGCCAGGTCTGAATATGCCGAGTACGAGGAGTGCGGTCGCGGCAATGAGCTTCTCCGGAAGTACTGTGAATTAGGTGTAAGGTGACGCCTGATATGAGCAGCGCCGTCGGTCAAGTCGGGGGTCGATGCGGTACGGCCATCTTCCTGCGGGACGCTGTTCACCCGGTTCGGCTGAGGGTACTGCTGGTGGTGGTACTGGAACTGGGGGACGGAATGTATCCTCGGGATGTTTCCTTCCATCACAGAGCTCCCAGGTGAATCCTCATTGGGCTGGCAGTCCGTCGTCTCGACCGCACCAGTGATCGAGCTTGCGCTCGTCGCTGTCGACGACTCGGTAGACGCTTGCTGCTGCGTACTCGTCGTATCGTCCGACTCGCGGCTGGTCCTGAACATGTCTTGCTGCCGAACTCGCTCGGTAGGGCTCATTGTAGCGCCCATGGACTCCTTGCGGCGCTCAGGGATTGTCGCCGAGGACGAAGGTGAAAGTGGCTGACTTGACGGATCCGCATGGCGCGGCGACGAGGCAGCATGTGATGCGTTGTTGGGCTCGAGTGGTGCTCTGTCGCTAGCGAGCTGAGCAACGTGCGGGACGTGCCGGGAGCGGTCGACCAGATTATATTTGGAGGATTGCGTGTACTCAACGTTGGCATTCGAGGGTTGAGCCCAGTTTCCGTTCTGAAAATTAACACGGACCGGTGACACTGGGGCGTCTCGAATGCGAGCCCCACCGTCCATGGCGGCTGAGGGGACTGGAAGAGGTTTGCGATTGACGCGCTGGGCGTGCTCTTGTTCGGGTGAAGTGGACGTTGGAGGAGGCGTGGTAACTGCAGCCATGGCGCATTCGATCACCACGAGAGGCGGGCCCTCTCAAGTCTCCTTTGCTTCTGGGGTTAAAGATTGTAACGAATGTTGCGTAATGGTGCTAAACGAGTGATGTTGACCAAGGGTCGTGTTCGTATGGCGTCGGACAACCGATGCCGCAATGGTACGGTGCTATGCTTGCTCCGATCTATTACTGCGAGACCGAGCTGCGGATCCAGATCACACACAACGAGGGAAGCTCGAAGCCAGATGGCGACAAAGGCGACGGTGACGGGAGCCGTGAGGACGGCTGCTGGCGTGGAAAGAGGGAAGTTTCGACCAACCTGGCAGGCTGCTGACAGGCAGTGGGTGACTAGACTAGAGGTCGGCGTGCCGCGTGCCTGGCGTGGGCTGGGGGCCTTGCGGGTATAGTAAGGCCAGGAAGGTGAAATGGAGAATGGTGGACTGGAGGGTCGTGTCCATAACTGAGATAGGCGTCACGGCGGTCGGGAGGGCGTGGGCCTGGCCTGGGCTGAGCGTTGGGACGTGGGCCTGTATACGGTGTGCCGAGCAGTGATGGATGGATGCCCTGGAGCCAGAGGTGGGTAGGGTGCTAGATTACGGAGTACGTAGCCAGATTCAGGTTCAAATTGTGCCGACTGTAATAATAGGGTAAGGCAAAATAAAAGTACCTAGCCAGCCCTTGATAATGCTGCGCTCCGAATGCGTGCGCGGCTTGTAGCAGAGGAGGGAAGTAATGTGAGTGATGGTGGTAGACAACTGCAGTCGGTCCCCAGGCTGGGCCCAGCTGAGCCTGTCTGATGCAGATGTCAAGCAAAGGGGGGGAGAAGGGGGCCACACAGCGAGAGTTTACCCGCAATGCAGCGTCAGAACGTGCGATCCTTGTCATGAGCAAGGCTAATACGTAGGTTCAAGGAGAACGTTGCAGGGCAAAGCACGTCCGTCCCACATCCGAGAATGGCTTCGAAGGGTGAATGGCGAGTGTTATTAGTAGGGCGTGTGGGAGATGAGGGTGACTGAAAAGTGACGGCAGCCTGAGTCTACACTAATTGCCGTCCCGTTCTGCATGTAGTACCTTAATTTTACCTTACGCAGAGCGCACTCAAGCGAAGAGGGAAAGGACTGGAGTGAAAGACGGCGGAGCGCTCTGTGCAGGGGTCGATGGTGATCTTCAGAACCCCCTTTTGACGTAAGATGCAATTCCCGCTCAAATGGATCCGAGATCCCACCCAGCTGAGAATCTCTCCTGTAATTACAGTGTTGTGCCGTCAAGAATTCCTGATGAGACGACAAAGGGATCACCGATGCGACGTATTCCAACATCGCTTGTGCTTCCGTTGCCATTGACATAACCACTATAGTCTGGCAAGGAGGGCATGCGGACACAATTCGAGCTTCATGGTGATGCGCAATTGCGCAGTCCTCGTCTGCCAATAGACGTTGCCCTTTCCGAGAGCTGAAACTCCGTGCTCTAAATTCCTTACAGTACCGCTGGGGGCTGATCAACGGCTACGGAAGTACGTACAATAGACATAACTCAGTAGGAAACAGACGACAACCTGTATTGCATTGTGGGCTGATCATGAAGCGTTGGCTGAGTCGTGACAGTGTTCCTCTTATTTCCCCCCCCCAGCTGCACCCTCTCCGTCTTCAACCTGGGACATGGAGACTGGACTGTCTTTCTTCCACAGCCAATTCTAGAAGCTGGCGTCCGACCTAGCGCTGGAATGCGCCTCATCATGATCTACTAAATTAACGCGTCGCCTGATCCAGGCACGCATGACTCGAAATTTTCCTGCGCTTGGATGACTTGCGCGGTTGCGACTTGCGACATAGTCATTCGTAGTGCAGCGCTGCGCTGACCAGCGCGTGGATGAGGAAGAAGTCGATCACAGCCTGCCGCGTCTCCTTGCACAACACGCATGGTTACTTACGGTTCCGAGGCCCAAATCCCAACACATACCTGACATGCTGGCGCCCAAGATCTTCTTGGCCAAGCGCGCCAAGGCTGCGCAATTGCATGATGATATCGTGTCGGCGCTTGCGCTAGTATGAGCACTCGAGCTTTACACAAGCCGGCGCTGTGCGTGGTTTTTTGTCCACTCCAGCAGCATCAGTGGACTATTGTTTCCTTGCACACTATGACTTACGAGCCATTTAGCGGTGGAAGAGTCCGACAGATCACTATGTCGTAGGATAGCTATCCGGATGCGCGGAACACGAGATCATAAACGATATCGTGAAATGCTGTTCAGCGCCAAGCTCCGAATTGCGAATTCACCAAAGTCCGGTCCGCCGAGGTCCCCAGCGTATTTCCCAATTCCGGACTAGACCCCACCTAGCTCCTCGGCGACAGCCAACAGTCCCTTTGACTGAATTTGATCGCTCATGTGTTCTTGCTGTTGAAGTTGTTGTTCAGGTCAAGTGAGCGGCATCTTAGCTGGTATCTTGAGATAGGAAGAGCTCCTGTCTACCGTCCTAGGAGTCGAAGACTTCAGTTGGCTTCGCGCACTTGTGAGAATGGACAATGTCCAGTCTCCTGAAGTGCAGTTCGAGTTCAGTTGCCAAGTATCCGTACTAGTGATGTTGTGGAGTATGTCCCTCCGCAGGAGTCCTGCTGCAGTCTGCGGGTGATGCGTCCGCCGGTGGACAAGGGCGAAACCAATTTGGGAATTTTCCCACCCCAATTCGGCGCTAACCCAGCTGCGCGTGAACGAAAAACCTCGTATCACAATGTCTGGGCATGTCGGCTGCTGCATTGCTCAACAATGCTCGGTCGCTCTCTTCCTCTTCACCGCTCAGGATCGCATATTATTGCCCTGCGACTGGCAGGCAGCCAAGTGCCTAACATGTAGACGTCATACATCAAGCGCAACGTGGGAGCGTTCGGCCCTAATCTATAGTAGGGAGAACGCGCGATCTCTGGGCACACCGCAGATTGACGCTCATGACTTTGCATACGACCAGTTTTCGTACTAGTCGATGCTTGAGTTGACACGAGTAATTATCTGCGTTGCTATTGTGCCTAAAGCGATGACAGATGAAGAACTATGTCCTCAAGAGGGCCTTGGCCTCTAATCAGATGCCGGGTATCGTGGCCACACTTGCTGTCGGTGGTTGCCGTGATCCGGACCCGGGACAACCCATCCAGATCGAGACTCGAGCGTTTGGGATACTATCCGATTGCTTAATAAGTTGTACGTACATATTTGCGATATGATATGTAGTGGCCATTATGCAAATCCTTAACCAGGAAAACATCCCCATGCTTGTCGTCGTTAACTGGGACCCCTGTGATCATCAGAACTCGTATTTGCATCAATACCAAGAAAATTGGAGGGCAATTGCAACCCATACCGCCCGTCGGAAGGGCAAAGTCCTTGACATGACGTAAAGCTACCCGAGTTCGTCTCATCTGTTCTTTGACAGAGCTGGATACACCGATCTGTTGGTTAGCTCGTGTGCTGTCAAGGTTATTGCCCATCCAAACACTCCTGAGCTCGGTCGCCTGGAGCTTACCTTACAGGTAGTCTATTGTGTTTCTTGGAAGTGACTGGTATTGTGTCGTACTTGTGGGCGCTGGCTTCACCTTCGCGTTGTTGAATTGTCATTTCCGACCGTGTCTGCGTCTTTTCATGGAACCATCGTGCTGTTGCGCCCTACACAAGCCAGCAACATGATACCCCTACAAACCAGGTGGAATCACCATGTGCGGTCAAAGAAACCTGCTCCATCCCTCACGCATATCATTCAATACTCGCACACTGTGAGTCGTGACTGTCGGGATGGAACACTACTAGAAGCACCATGCCGGCGTACGTAGGGTAGGTACCTGCCATCAGCACAGTTATGAGTGGTTCAGGCTGGCCTATCGATTTCGGTCCGGACGAGCTGGCAGCATCTAAAGTATAACATATTAGACTTAGAATAGGTGATGGGTCCTTCACCACGAAATGCATAATAATCATGTTTAGACTTTCTTAAGAGGAATAGACTAGAGACCCCAATTGTGGCCGTCATCGAAATGTCTTACCCTCTGACGGCGACGGAATGTTCAAGTCTCCTGCGCCCCCCAAGATACAACGTGGCCCTGCGGTCGGCCGGGTTACCGTAGTCGCTAGAACGTTGCACTAGGAGTTGAGTTTCCTAATTAATGTCCAGCCTTGCCATCCACTAGGCTAGAAGAGCTAAAAATCAAGCATCCGACGTCGCCTAGAACAATTTAGTTGTATGATAGTCAATGTCAGCTAAGCCTCACACTGTCGTCGTCCAGACAACAGGGCGCCTACCCAGATCAAAGGCCCACCGCCCATTGGCGATCGCACTTCTACCGTGTACCGGTAAAGTAGAGGTGGAGGTACCCACTTGCCCGATCACCCAATGAGAGCCATTCAGCTCACCAGTGCTGGGCGTGGAAGGTGGAGCAAGTCGCCAGGAACCACGGGCCAGCCGTATGTAGGAACCTGAACAATACATGATGCCATGAGGGTGAGCTCGACTTGCTGGGAAACGCGGAAATACCAGCATCCAGGCGCCAGACGCCGAGTGCCTTCCCTCCTTTTCCCAATTCTGTACCCGCATTTGGGCTGCCTCGAGAGTCCCCCCCCTCCAGCAGCCGTCCCCGACTGGAGTTTGGTCGTCTCGACCTTTTGAGTGAGAGTCCAGTCCAGTCCCTGGCTTTTTTCACTTTCCAAGCACCTTCGTGCATCAGAATACCGTCTCTCGCTATTCCACGAGGGCAGTCATTCTTTCTCTGGTTACCTCCCGTTTCTCTGCGTCTCATTCGCTCCCTGGCGCAGCCGTACCGACCTCCTGTCTCGCCAAAGCGCGCGACAAACGCACTGCTTGTCTCGCATCCAGCCGGCTCAGCTTCATCGCGACGGCGCAACGCCCCACGAGAACGTTCCCGCCTGCGTCTGCGCCCTCTGCATTTCGACTCACCACGCGCTTTGTCCCTTCTACCACTCGCTATCTCTCTCGCTACTGCCTCGAGGACAACAAAGCGTAGTCCGCCTCCATTCTCACCCACCCTGCATTTGCCACGCGCTAGTGTGGAGAAGCAAAAGAGAAGCGATATTACCTCTGTGATCGCACAGCAAGAAGTCAGGGTCGTCAAGGGACAGAATATTATCCTCGACAAGTAACGGAGAGGGAAAAGGGATCTGATTATTCTCTGAGCCGTCGCCTGACCGGGACTCGCTGCCTCTACAGGGATCTTCCCATTAGCTACGACGTCCCGAAACACAAACAAAGCGTGAGTTTCCTCCTTCGACATTAGTGCAATTCAATCTGGGTTTCTTCTCATCTTGCGCCCCTTGCGAATGACTGCAGAGCCTCGCCCTCTGTCGACCATTGCAACGGCGTCCCTCTGAGAACGAGCCTTCTCCCTTTGTCATTTCCTTTGCCTAGTCGCTCGATCTGAATCACCGGGTCGCTGCCCTCAGACGGCAGCGCCTCGACCATCTGACTGACGACTGCATTCCGCTCAAGGGTGACGTCTGCCCATTGCCCTCCTCAGGCGAAAGCCCTTGTCATGCTTTTCTCAACTCACTCCCGATACTGATACCTCATTTTTAGGGCCATGTCTCTCCCCGAGAGGCCTGGTGCAAGCGCTCCTCCAGAGCACCGCACTGCGTACCGCAATTCACCGTCTCGCCGCAATCGACCTGCCGACTTAGAGACGGCCAACTATCAGCCTGTAGGCCGGCCCGGCCAACATGAACGTGGGAAATCCGCATCTTCTTACGCCGAGACCATCGCGTACCCTAATACGAATACAGAGAGTATGCCTCTGTCTCCCACGAGCCCACCGGGGCGTTCCCCTCAGCCGCAGAGTCGTGAGCAGGGCTTTGGCCGCAAAAGAAGCCTGATCCGTCCCGAAAGGAAGCGAGTCGACAAGGATCACGCCAATTACCACTACCATAAGCACGCTACCAACATGACTGTCCTTCCTTCATCGACCGGCAACGACCCAATGGAGCAGATTGAGGCATTCACCGATCGTTCCAATTCGCATACGAACACTGCGATGTCCGACAACTCCCCACCACGCCGCTCACGGCGACGGGACGATCTCGAAAAGAACGACATTCACGCGTCCACGCAACCGACAAACCCCAAGTCTGGCAGAATCGCCAAAGACTCAAAGCGCGATTCGAGGCGCAAGAGCCGGACTAAGATGCCCAAGGAGCAGCTTAAGCCCCTGAGCTTTTGGAACGTGTACTGCGCCATTGTCACCTTCTGGTGTCCCGACATGGTCCTCAAATGCTTTGGCAAGACAACGCGGAACCAGCGAAGGGCATGGAGAGAAAAGATGGGGCTGATCAGCATCATTCTTTTCATCATGGCCATTGTTGGCTTTATCACGTTTGGGTTCACTGCCGTTGTCTGCGGCTCTCCGCCCGAGCGCCTCCGCATCAATGATGTGGGACTGGGGTACATGATCTTTCACGGAAGGGCCTACGACCTGGTCAGGTCGCATCATCCTCCCGCCGAGGGTATGCCCCTGCGCCTTGACGGCTTTGGTCCCAATGTGTTATACGATCTGGACACCGATTATGGAGGTACTGATGGCAGCTTCTTCTTTCAGAACGTCAATGGTGCCTGCAAGGACCTCATCACCCTAGCCCCCGACTCAGACGTCCCAACTAATGAAAAAGACGAGCTCGCGTGGTACTTTCCCTGCAAGGCCTTCGCTCAAGATGGTTCTACTCAGCCTAATACCACGTTTGAATACTACCCTGGATACGCTTGTCACACGACAAGCAAGGCCCGTGACGCCTTCTACCTCGACATCAAGGGCCAAGCTGATGTCTACTTCACTTGGGGAGACATTCGCAACAACTCACGCAACCTGATGGTCTACAGTGGTCAGGTGCTGGATCTCGACCTGTTGAACTGGTTCAACGAATCGCAAGTCGCTGTGCCTGACCGGTTCAAGGAACTGCGAGACAGGACCTCTGATGTCAACGCCATGGTCCGCGGCCGCGACGTGACCCGAATGTTCCAGGGCTCTGGTGACAAGAAGCTTGCACAGTGCTTTGAAGAGATCATCAAGGTTGGCTCCGTCGACACGGAGACTGTTGGCTGCATCGCTTCCAAGGTCGTCCTGTACTGTGCCCTAACCCTTATTCTGGGCTTGGTCGGTGCTCGATTCTTCCTCGCGATTATCTTCCAGTGGTTCATTTCCCGCAAGTACGCTGCCAACAAGACGTCGCAAAGCTCAGACCGTCGCAAGCGCAACAGGCAAATTGAAGACTGGTCGGACGACATCTACCGTGCCCCTATTCGACTCCCCGGCGACGTTGGTAGCACCGTTGTCGGCTCTGACCGCATGAACAAGCGCTCCTCGTTTCTGCCCACGCAGTCACGGTTCTCCACGGTATATGGCGACTCGGGCAGCATGGGCCGACGCATGCCCACAACCATGGGTAGTCAAGCTGCTTCGAGCAACCTGCACCCGAACTCGATTTACAAGCAGGGGAATGACAGCCGCGCTAGTTTCCTCCAGTCCGACCCCTACGCGTCGAGCAACGGTCCAAGTGAAGGTCCTGGTCCTGCTGGCTTCATCCACCCTGCCGTCGTGCCTCAGCCTCCAGCTGATTGGCAACCGTTTGGCTTCCCTCTTGCTCACACGATGAACTTGGTCACTGCCTACTCTGAAGGTGAGGAAGGCATGCGAACTACGCTTGACTCCATCGCTATGACCGACTACCCCAACAGCCACAAGGTCATCGTTGTTATTTGCGACGGCATGATCAAGGGTAAAGGAGAGTTGAAGTCCACACCTGAAGTTTGTCTCGGCATGCTCAAGGACCACACGATTCCTCCCGAAATGGTCGAACCCTTCTCGTACGTGGCTGTGGCCAGCGGCGCCAAGCGACACAACATGGCCAAGATCTACTGCGGTTACTACGACTACGGGCACCAATCTGCCATCCCTCTTGATAAGCAGCAGCGCGTTCCCATGATGGTTGTGGTCAAGACTGGCACGCCTGATGAAGAGAGTGCTTCCAAGCCCGGGAATCGTGGAAAGCGCGACAGTCAGATCATTCTCATGTCATTCCTCCAGAAGGTCATGTTCGACGAGCGCATGACAGAACTCGAGTATGAGATGTTCAACGGCCTTTGGAAGATCACTGGTATATCCCCCGACTTCTATGAGATAATGCTCATGGTCGACGCCGATACCAAGGTCTTCCCCGACAGTCTGACGCACATGGTGTCTGCCATGGTAAAGGACCCCGAGATCATGGGTCTCTGTGGCGAGACCAAGATTGCCAACAAGCGCGACAGTTGGGTCACTGCCATTCAGGTCTTTGAGTACTTTGTGTCGCATCACTTGGCCAAGTCCTTCGAGTCCGTTTTCGGTGGTGTGACTTGTCTCCCTGGTTGTTTCTGCATGTACCGTATCAAGGCACCCAAGGGTGGCCAAAACTACTGGGTTCCCATCCTCGCCAACCCTGACGTCGTGGAACATTACTCGGAGAATGTGGTCGAAACATTGCACGAGAAGAACTTGTACCTGCTTGGCGAAGATCGTTATCTGACGACTCTCATGCTTCGGACATTCCCCAAGCGCAAGCAAGTCTTTGTTCCCCAGGCAGTGTGCAAGACTACCGTGCCTGACCAGTTCATGGTTCTGCTGTCGCAACGTCGCCGCTGGATCAATTCCACGATTCACAACTTGATGGAGCTCGTCCTCGTTCGCGACTTGTGCGGTACCTTCTGCTTCTCCATGCAGTTTGTCATCTTTATCGAGCTCGTGGGCACACTGGTTCTGCCTGCTGCAATTGCTTTTACCTTTTACGTTGGTACGTATCCGCTGTACAATACCACGTTGATGCAGACCACTGACCTTTTTTTGTTTAGTTATCATCTCGGTTGTCAACTCACCGCCCCAGATCATCCCACTGGTCTTGCTTGCTCTCATTCTGGGTCTGCCTGGTTTGCTGGTCGTCATCACCGCCCACTCACCTTCTTACATCGCCTGGATGTTCATTTACCTCTTGTCCCTGCCCGTCTGGAACTTTGTCCTACCCACCTACGCCTTCTGGAAATTCGATGACTTCTCCTGGGGCGACACACGCAAGACGGATGGTGGGAAGACCAAAAAGGCTGGTCTTGAATATGAGGGTGAATTCGATTCGTCCAAGATCACCATGAAGCGATGGGCCGAATTCGAGCGCGAGAGACGCACTAAGAGTGCTTACTGGGGCTCAAGGGAGAACATTACGGGTGGAAACCATGGCAGCTGGGCGCCCCAACCACCCGTCCACCATTATGACGACCACTACTACTCGTCGGACGCATAAAGCCGTTCCTGGATTGCGATATCTTCTCGAGACACAGCGTATACATACATGACAAGGTGTTTAATTGGTTTTCTTCTTCTTCTTCTTCTTCTTCTCACTACTTTGCTACGCTGCTTGTTCTGCGCTTTCTCCGGTGTGTGTCGTGTTCATCCGGCCTGGGTACATACTCCCAGACCACGTGCCGGCGTGGACGTCAGTAGGGAGAGAAGTAATTGCTGCGGAATGGGGGTCGGAAGCTTGTATGCGAAAAAGGGAGGGCCTGCCAAGCGACGAGGCATTGCTACATTCCTGTTCGTACATAGCTTATTTTGCTGTATCCGTTGATGAACAAACCTTAGCCAACACGTCACCCACGAAAATGCTAAAAATGCTACTACGCACCAAAGCCCGTGGCATCAAAAACGTGACGTGAGTAGTGATGTCTGACTCCAAATATTATGGACAAAGCAAGCCACAAAGTACCTCGTGACGCAGTATGAATTAAACAACATGAAGTCCCGACCCAAGCGCAGGAAGACAATTTCAACTTGCCGCTGATATGGAAACGACTCGCGCCCTCTGTAGACATGAGTGAAGCATTAGGTATGTAACATTGTGCACATCAAAAGACGCCCAGAAACGCAACGCATGCTAACGCACTATATGACAAGAAGAAACAGAAATCAGTACAACGCCAAACTGATCATGATCTCATTAGCAGTCCATTCGTTGCCCTTCCCGCCCTGTTGGGAGGCACCGTCATCTTCTACTACTTGAGGTCTCGATATCCTCGCCCAGGTCCCATGGCTTGCGGGGGTCAAAGAGAGTAGTGAGACGCTGGTCACCCCATCGCGCACCCACAGTCACCCATACGTGCTTGAGCAGTTCGGATGAGCTGGTTCGCTCACGGTGGCCCGTCCAACGTTGGCGGGTGGCTCTATCCATGGAGCTGTTGCCCATGCCACCGTTGTTCACCCACTCCTTGACAACATTCTTGATGAACTCGACTTTGCGACGAAAATCGTTTGACGTGGGGATGTTGATCTCGTCGGCTCCAATGACCGGTCGCTGGCGCGTAGTGGAACGTGCCGAGGACCTTGAGTGGAAGTTGAGCATCGTTTGTAGAGGGTAAGAGAGCATGCCTCTGTTATCCAGTTCACTAGCTTCCATTTCGCCGTCAGCGGCTAGTCTGTTGGCTGTTCCCTCGGGGAGATGCCAGAAGTGGCACCAGGTGCCAGTGGCATCGATCGCAATCTTGGTGTGATCCGGGAAGTTGAACTGCATGTGCCCATCGCCATAGACCCAACAGCCAACGTCGCCAAACCTCTGATAGAAGGTGACCACGTCTGCGCCGGGCCCAGCCTCACCAGGTGGCATGGCGCTCTCTGCGCCCTCACCTGCATCCTCCCTTCCGTTGGCCATCATGTAGTTGGCGAACTTCTTCCACAGAATGATCCTCTCGCGCTTTCGGTGCTGAAAGAGGTCCGTGCCGGGGTTCATCTTGCCGACTGTGCCGTCTGCATTTATCGTCACTCTGAAAGCCTGCGATGAAACCTCGACCTCGGATAGCCCTGCTTCACCCTTGTTCTCAAAGAATTTGATGGGCTCCGACATGGGGACCGGCTGGTATCGGTCTGCGTACTCCCGGTCGTGCCGGCGATGAAGGTGCCTTTCACCATTCTTCACAGTGATGCCCGCTGGGGGGAGCATCACTGTCTTGGTGCCCTCAGTTGCAGGAATGTCTCGCAAGATGCAACCTACAGCACCGTCGTTCAAAATGTAGCCGAGACCGAATTTGTTCGTGTAATCAACCCACTTCACAACGATATGCGGCAAAGGCACCGACTTTTGCTTGGAATTGACAAATGCCATGGATCGAGCGTTGAGAGCCCTCTCCATCTCCGTTTGCAGTCTCCTCAAACGATCCAGAATGGCATCGGGTTCGGATCCACGAAGAGGCGCTTGGCGCTCGGTAGGGCTGAAAAGGGAGCCCATTTGCATGGAGTTGGACTTTTGCCGGCGGTGAGAAGTGGACGAAGCCATGGAAGACATGGAAGACGCAAGTGACCCTTTCTCAGAGACCTTTGAAGTAGGGTCCATTGGCATCTGTCGTGGCTCTCTCGTTCTCTCTCGCACAGTCCTGGCACCCGTCCTAGGCTCAAGTGCACTCTCTGCTTTCGAATTTGTCACTGCCACGCTTGCCAGAGGTGCCTCCCGAACAACCTCTCTCCGCACACGCTGTCGGACAGTCTGAGTGCCTGATTCTGCATCGGCGCTGTCCACTGCAGCTCTTGTCTTCGGAGCTGCAGCTGCAGTCGCTGCCGGGCGACTGGGAATAGCTCGACTTGGCAGTGGACGACCCTGCGCCCTTTGCTGAGCTGCAAAGCTCTGAGGCGGCTGCCTGAGCAGACCAGTGGGGGCCTTTTGGGAAGAGCTCTCGCCCGGGTCGCGCTGAGCGCGGGCGTGACTGCGAATGGAGCCTGCTAATTTGAGCTTCAAAGTAGAGTCCTGCTGCTGCTCCTCAAGCCATTCGTCAAAAGGTCTGTAGACAATCTCGTCTGCCAACGGAATCATCGGAGTTAAACCAGCCTTTTCCTCGGCAGCCATTTCTTTCCAGACTTGTGCATAAAGCGTGCCCGCTTCGCCGAGGGGTCCAACGTAACATTCTCGGCACATTGTGACAAAGTTCTCGTCACTGGCCCTCTGCGCAGAAGAAGAGGTGAGCCGAGTCATGTAGAACTCCTGCTTGTCCGGTGGTAGTTCGCGCAGGCGAGGTGTCATTTCCGCTTCTGAGGGCATGTACCCGGATGTGAAGAAAGGGTGCTCGATGAATTCGTCAGGCGACAATCGGTATTTGGGATCTTGAAGCATGGTAGCAACAAGGTCCTTGATTTCGTCGCTTGTGAAGCACTGCCCGCTGTTGTTGCTGGGCCACTCATAGTCCAACTCCCTCGCCCTTCGGTAAATCTCGTCAGTAGTCGTCGATTGAAATGGTGGTTTCGACGTCAACATGGCGAAGCTGATGTCCGTTAGCACACTCCCTCTACATGCGCGTCCGCGAACACATACACAATGACGCCCAAGCTCCATAAATCGACACTATGATCATGACCTGTCCTGCCCTTCTCCAAAATCTCCGGGGCGATGTAGTTAGGGGTGCCGCAGAGCGTCGTCCGGCGAATGGTCTGCATGTCCTTGCCGGTAACCAGAAGTGCTGCGAGACCAAAGTCACCAATCTTTGCGTTCATCCCTGCGTCGAGAAAGATGTTGCCCATTTTCAAGTCGCGATGGATGACTCCCTTGGCATGCATGTACTTGATGGCACCGGCAATCTGGACCGAGTAGAATCGGACCTCTGCCTCTGTGAGACCCTTTCGTCGCTTCACCATGTCCATCAACGAGCCATTAGGACACAGCTCGAGGGTCAGAAACGTGCATTCGTTGAAGGAGAAGGCTCGAAAGAATTGCACAATGTTCTTGTGCTTCATCTTGGAGTGGATCTGCAGTTCTGTTTGGAACTTGGGTGGCATTAGCGTAGTCGCTGAAATCAAGTACTTGCGCCTACCTTAGACTCCATCTTTGAGGGCATCTGCTTCTTCACCATCTTCAGGGCGAATCGTTGCCGGGTGGGCTGTAATTGGCCTTCGTAGCAGATGGCGAACCCGCCCTTGCCCAGCATCTTTCCCACGGTGTAGGTCGCTCCATTGGGTCTGTCAGAGCTTGGAGGCTCTGGAACCTCAGCAGGAGGCGGTGGCGGGTGGTCCTTGTTCTTCGCCTTGACAGGCGCGGCCCTAGGTTTCAGCTCGGTAGCTTTGGGCGGTAGTCGTTGGGCATTTGCGTCCATTGGCGAGAGGGCATCGACCTCGAGGGCACGCTTCGTTGCTAGCTTATAGGACATGTCGAGCTGGGGACGGTACGGCAGCGCAATGAGCACAACGAAACGACTTGCAGGAAGCTAGTCGAGCGTTGATTCAGGTCGCAGGTTGGCATGCGCATAGATAAGTTGCGCGCGCTCGCTGTTGGGGTACTCAGATGTTCATGAATAGTACTATGTTACGATGAGGATCATGTGTAGTCGAAGAACAATCACGGCTTCCAGAGACTAGATGTGGTGGGGATGGACAAGCGGCGCGGTATGATTGCCCAATCGTGGGCGTCGATGCGCTTTGTTGTGTGTACTCTCCCCTAATTTCATTCCCGCTCCGTTGCGCCTGGCAACCGACGCGGGGACCCACCTTCCCCACCTGCCGTCCATGATGTCGCTAGGCTGTCGCTGGGCCACAATGGAAGACAGCTGTGGCTCAGCAGAGCGCCATCTGTGGCGTCAGCTTTTTGTTGGTCATGGTCGGTCACGGTCTTTTGCAGAGTGGACCCCTGACAATCCCGTAACTTGTCAACGTTCAGGAACAGATCGGCATTCGGTGCTGACGGCATTGCGAGGCTGACTCCCGAGAAGGACCGCACCCAGCACGTTAGAGCATGTACTATTTTCCTCCCAGAACCGGTCATTGAGGACCCGAACGCATTGTCTTGCCCTTGATAGTTAACCAACGCGGTTGTACGGACGCCTATCGATCGCGAACATGGTGCCGTTGCCACTGTTCAAGCTCGCCTCGCTTTTCGTGCGACATGTTTCCAAGTATGGCGCCGTGCGTCCACCTCGAAAAATCACAAACACAAGAGGACATCACTGACAAGCAAAGTAGAACCGAATTAAGGCGCAGGCCCATGACCACCCCAAGTTCCGCGCCTTTGCCGCTCGCTATGGGCAGTCCATCCACCAGCTGAACATGAAACTATCGGTGGCCCTCCTCCGAGATCCAGAGGCCGAGCGAAGAGCCAAAGAAAAAGCCGAGGCGCCGACGGTGAAGACGGAAGAGCAGCAGAAGAAGGACGATGCGGCCAGGGAGAAGGAGGCAATGAAGCCGCCACATGGCTCGACAAGAAAGCCAAGATTCTCCTTCCAAAACGTATGGAAGCGGAAGTTCCGCTCACTCCCAGAAGCAAAGGCAGTGGATCTATTCGCAGATGTCATCGGAGATACCTTTATACTGGGGGTGGCAGGCGGCCTGATCATCTACGAATATTGGAAAGCATTGAAGAAACCCGACATCAACAAGGAGCGCATCCAAGAGCTCAATGAGAAGCTCGAAGAGTTGAAGCAGAGGGAGGACGAGCTCGAGGCGGCAGAAGGCAGGCATCGCGAACGCTTCGAATCGCTAGAGCAGTCGTTGAAGGCGCTGCGAGCGGCCCACGACGCCAAGGCCAAGGAACCCCCAATACCGCCATTATAGGCATGGCCGTCAGTGCGCGTGAAGAACGTGCAACAAGCCTCGATGCCCAGCTCTCCATGTCACGGCCTCTTGAATTATATCGTCTGGCGTACATATGTGCTAGGATAGATGAACTCAGATAGGCATTTTTGGTCAATCCAATTTGACGGTCAGGTAGCTTCCACATTGTCTCAACAACTTGCGAGCGGAAAAGACTCATTGGGCCCCGGGATGCGGCCTACATCAATGGGTACTTGGGCGGGATTTACCGACTTGTCCACGAGGGTGCCCGAGCCCGACCAGCAGCGGCGCGTAACGATCTACTTGGTGAGGCTGAGGATGGGCTACCCACCTGATGAAGAGATATGCCAGCGTGTATTAGTGACTGTGGTGTGTTGCTGCTAGTGGCAGGCTCTAGGCACCAATCTTATCACGTTCCACCACTACGGACACTCGAGCTTTGCTGTGACGTTGTCACATCCGTGTACGTGGACCGACTGCACCAACATGCAGGTCTGATCCGCGTGGTGAGCTGCAAGCTGTGGATCTGCCATAACCAACAGAGCCATCGAGCACCAAGGCCCCGGTTGGCAGTGCGATGATCATGGGGAACTCCGAACCTTTGGGACAAACGCACTACTGTGCGTACCTACGTGCTGCATGCAAAGCTTGAACGCGGCGCTTGACTGGAGGCTTGGGCCGCGTGGCAGGCTGGCATTTATGACGACCGTACGGAGAAGTAACGAGAGGCATGCAATGGCTTCGTTTAGGCGCCGAGGTATCACAGCCAAGCCCCATACTTTCTTCGGCGGTCGGCGTCAACTCGAAATCTGAGCAATCAAGACGTGGCGGCTTCTATGCATGAATGTCAACCCATCAGGTGCCCTTGCTGGATTCACGCTAGGGTCGTCTCATGGACGCAAATTCTGGAGATACTTACTCGAGCTACGTGAAATCTCGCCATGTTAGAACACCTTGGCGAAGCTTTGGTCGACCATTGAGAAAGCATTCGCGAGGGCGCATGCAAACGGAGTACACATCGAAGGTTCGCAAACGCTGCCAATGGCTGGAGACGTGCGCTCCTCGATCGAGCCAAGATATCACATCACCACTGCTGGACCTGGGTCGACGATCGATGGGCTGAGAGTGCCTCTTTAAGTCGCCGACGCAGATGGTCAATAGCGCCAGCCAAATTTAGAACAGGTCGTCCCGAGGTGTCTGCGATGCACAGTTGCACACCGCTTGTGCCGCCGGCGGGTGCAGCTGTGCGACCGGGAGATGGAGACCGGGGTGTGTGCGAGCGCGACCCCTCCCTCTTGCACACGAAGCGCAGCTTCAAACGCACTCTGCTTCACCTCTGTCGCCAAAGGCATCTCAATCCCCAGAGAATGCTTGACAAGTCGCTCAAAGACGGAGAATGGGGAGAGCCTCCAACAGATCGTCTCATCATTCATCAATAGCCTGGAGGCAACGAATGCTTACATAGAAGCTATCGACGAATCGTCGTGGAGCTGAGGAAAATAGCAGCCCAATATTCATACATAAGCACAGCTGCGGGAACTTGTCTTGCTCGCCAAGACAACCGAATTAATGCACTATCAGCTGCACTATCAACACATTCCCATTGGTGAAAAGGGCAGAGCCTGGGAAGTCTTCAATTAGAGTTGTTCGCCAAGAGAGCGACCCGACCGTGTACTCGTGGAGGGAGGGGGATGTGTGGAGGCGGAGGCACGCTATCAGAAGATACCTGAGTGGGCCAGCTGGTACTGGTGACAAAGACATGTACTTCTTGATGGGCCCTTCCATATTCGGCCGGTCACCGGGCCGGGGCCCACCAAAATCCAGCAGGCGGCTCTAACTGTGATTCGCCAAAAGGTGCATCTTCTAACCGCCGACTTGTCGCCAATCACTTCATCACGCCTGTTTAGGCCATCTGTGCGTCCACGACATGTACGCTCGCATCTTGCTGTGCGCACCACCATGCAAGTGACCTTGCCATTCTCCTCACTCGATCGAGAGCGCCATCTCCCATGAGCTCAGTCGCTAGTCTAGTCTAGGCTTTCTTGGCCTGGCCAAGCAGCGAATATGCGCCATGGGCGCTTCCGCTCCGCACCCACCACCACGGACAGCATCACATTAAACTACCTCTGACACTGCTGCGGTCTGGGGTGTACATTTCCTTCCTCTTTCTCCGTTTTCGCTGCCTCATATCTCGAACAGAAACTTTTCTGAACCACGTGAAACTCAACGCTCCAACACTTTCAACACACCCACGAGTGGTCACTGCCATCACTGATCAGATCACACAAATCCGCCCGCTCACCATCGACAGCGTTGCGCCAACGACCTGGTCGCGATACCACGACCAGCACCAGCAATTCCGCCTCAACACCTCTTTTCAACCCGACAGATGAGCGCGTAGATGTATTTGCCTCATTCTACATCAAATTCAACGTTTTTACAACCATTGCCACACGCCCGACGTCAACTGGCCGGCTTCAGTCGGATCCGTACGCCACTTGTTACACATCGTCGAGCACCCTGTGTCTCAGCCCAGGCGGGCGGGCAATAGCCCCGAGGCAAAATTTATAGGAGGGAGGCATTGCTTTCAACTTAATTGCTTCGCATCCGGCATACACATACTGCTTATTGATCATTGTCTTTTTTTTTTTTCCCTTTCGCTTCTTCTTTTCCAACTCGCGGGTCTGGCTACCTGCGCTACTTCGACACGACAGCTCTTTGACAGAGCGTCGGCTTGTACAATTTCCTCTTTTTTTTTTTCTTCCTGGCGCTTTGGTTTGGATACTTGAGGGGGACACACGGATCAAATATAGAATCGCATTCACTCACGGAAGGCTTCACAAGACAACACTATTTGGGGGAAGCGCAATAATGGGCAAACTTATCAAGAACCACTGGGCTCGGCTCATCATCCTCACGGCCGCAGCATGTAAGTCAAGAAGCCCGCCTACCCGCGCACAATCCAAGGCTAATCAATCATCGCAGACCAAGTCGTTGCCGCCATTGAAGGTTTCTTCTGGCCCAAGATATTCTGGGACTTTCTCACAAAGACCCTTGACGGCGCCGTCAAGCCGATACCCGTCCTGCAAATTCTCAACCTGGTCTTCGGTCTCGCCATGCTCGCTCTCGAATGGCCTCTCAGCTTTATCGCCGGCTCCGCTATCCATCGCTCCCTCGAAGTCCGCCTCGCTATCCTGCCTCTCGTGGCCCTGGTGGCGGTACTCATGTACCAGACGACGAACCCTGCCATCTACTACATGGTCGGCATGGTTGTCTACTTTGTCGCATACAGCGAAGGCGAGGTAAGCTCTACTCTGCCCAATGGCTCTCATCAATGGCGTAAGGCTGACTCTGAGCCACTAGATCATCTGCGCCAAACCATGGACACTTCCCCAGCGTGGGCGTGGAGGGCCTGGTGCCAAGGCTTGAGGTCAGTCTCGTTGATGCTGAAAGGAGTGTGGGCGTTTAATACTATGCATTCCACTGCCATTCTCCTATCCGTTTGGGAAAGGGTACTTCGGGAAGGACCAGTGACCCGAGTTGAGTTGGCGCGTCATCGTGATGGTATTCACGTACCCTACGGCAGTGCATTGGTGCTTACTGCAACTATAAAACAGCAACAGATAGATGAATTCAGTCATCCAAAAACAATAGAAAACAATATTCAATCTTACATTGTGCTTTATGGATACGTAGACTGGTGAATTGATGACGTGGTAATTCTTTGGTCGAGTCATTGAAACCGCGTGCCAATGAGTTGCAAGAGGCGACAAACCTCAAAACAATATCCGCAACCAGCTGCGTGTCCAGTGATCATTTTTAGCCACTGTTACAAATTCAGGACCTTGCCAAGTTGTCTTGCCCTTGCGCAGTATGTCAATTACGTAGATTCCTCGGACACAAGGCTCCCCAGCCGTCGTCCGTATGCATCACTACTCACTCCCTCAGGTCTGACGTCACAAGCAGCCACACTCAACAGAAAGAGTATAGTGAAAGGGGCACAATTGTCAATTCACCGCTCGTTACGAGCAGCTACCATGCCAAATATGGCCCTTTCAGGCGGAACGGGGTATCCTGGTATCACTCTCAAGATCACCATCTCGCTCCCCCCGTGTTCTTTTCCAACCCCCCCGCATAAAAACAGGTGGATGAATGGATGTCATTTCAATGCTTTCATAAGACCCAAACCCAAACAACGCCTTTGTCATTCATACACTGTGCCTGAATGTCATGCTGCCGCAACAAACACCAACCACTCCCGCTCAACCAGCACGCTTACTTGGTGCGCATGGAGTTCATCGAGTCGTTGGTAGAACCTTGTCGGCTGGCCATCTGTAACGGAGGTTAGCCACCAGGACCAGAAGAGCAGTGGGGAGAGAGCCCCCGTGAGGGCTGGAAGAAGAGTACGCACCTCGACGGTCTGCAGGGTGCCCTCCTTGAGGATCTTCTTGATGACCTCCTCCTCGTTCTCAGTGTCAAACTCGGAAGCGAGGGTAGACTTGGGCGCGGCGTCGAGCTGACCCTGGGTGCCCTGCCTGTTGTTCCGTGTGTCAGCAAACCGAAGCCTGGGCGGAAGAGCGCGCGCGGAAGGGCTGGTAACATACTTGTGGGTGAGGAAGACCTTGAAGGAGGAGACAAAGTGCGCCAGAGGGATGCTGGAGTCGCTTTGCCAGCTCTTGAACGCCTCGACGTCGTCGACAAAGACGATGAAGTCGTCGTTGCTGCCCTTGAAGTGGACCTTGTTCTGGGTAGCCTCGCCGCGAGCCATTGTGTTGGTTTAGTTGGTTGAGTTGGTGTGTGATGTGGGAAGGTTGTATGTGTGTGATCGCGTGATGTCCGTGTCGCGAGAGTGATGAGAGTGAATCAAGTAGTAGTAGAAAATTAATACGAGGAGAAGCTGAACAGAAGGGACAATAGCTTTAATAGAGAGGGAGGGGTTGGAGGGGGAGGGGGTTTGGAGCTCTGGAAGCTGCTGGCATCTGTCCTACGTCATCCTCGCCAACTCTGTTCAGGCACGCCGACCGATGAGCAAAGCTGCATCATGATCTCCACAATGCCTCTTGGGTCACCCGACTTTGATGCTGTGGAATGATTCTCCTCGCTGGTCGCAGTTCAGAAACCAGGGGTCAGAACTCGGCCTTGTAACTGCCTGATTGGACTTTTGTTCACTCTGTTCCTGCATGGGCGCCTTTCGCCGGGTCGGGCCATGATGGATGATGTATGCGCCACTCAACTTGGACTTCAAGTTGAGCCCTGTATCACGGCAAGATATTTATCAGTCAACCTTGGAAAATAGGCAAAAAGCACCAAGCGAGCAAAGTGTTTGCGTCAATGTAAGTATGCCCGTGCTCACGCAATGCCCATTCCAGAAGGCAGCTCAAGTACACCTGAAGTAGCTCCACTGTGACGTACATGCTAGCGTGTGAGCTTAATGACTTAGTAGCTACCGGTACTTGTTCCACTACATTTGCACGTCAAAGTCACCTCAGCAGATCAGCCTCACGAGCATCAAGAGTCATCGCAAGTGTTGTTCATTACTCATTGTCCCAAAGGGATAACATACAATAGAACTGACTTGCCGCTGTCGCCAACAACGTTGATACAAAATACTCCTATTCCACACTGTGCCAGGGCCACTGCATCTGGGCACACGACCAAGAAGGCCTTCAGCGGAGTAGATACCGCAACAGACCAGCCCTTTCTGTCTTCGGAGACGCCAGCTTATCCCTTCGACTTTGGTTCGCGAGGTTCCCAGCGTCTGGCTTCGCAGGCCCTGGCTCTCGATTCTCCTCCCCCCGTGCGGCCGTCTGGGCTGTCGTCCTGTCTTGTGAAACAGTGCGCGCACTGTTTATGGATGATTTGCGCAGAACCTCGCCTGGGCTCTCAGCTCGTTCATCATTGCAGCCTTGCAACCGCAGACCCTCAGCCACGACTTGCCGCTCGGGCTTGTGCACAGTCACTTCAGAGAGCTTTGTTGGCACCGCAAGAAATGTTGCAGCCTCCCGCATCCTTGGGCGTTTGACGACGAGATCATCGCCCTCGTTTTTGGGCCGTCTCAGAGGCTGATTCGCCGTCTTCCGGATCCCAGGCTCATGAGGCTCCTCGCGTATCTGGCCTGTGTCTGTTCCCATTGGCTGGGCTGACTTCATACTCATGCTCAAGGATCGTTTGCTGAATGAGACTGTGATGCCGGTCATGCTGAGCTTCCTCATCATCGACGAAGCTCGCATCAGGTGATCATTTCGAGCCCTGCCAGTAATTCCCGGAAACGGAAGCGTGTCGCGTGTCCACACGTCCTCGAGGATCGACTCCAGACGGATTCTCTTAGCTGCTGGTGGCGCCAGAATTGTCTGCCGGAAATTGGTGGCCAGAAGCGACTGAGAACGGTTGATAGCCACGTTCGAGGTCGGAATACTCCTGCCATTTCCAGCGGCGCAGGTATTTCTGAGAATCACCGGAGTCGTTGTCCTTCTGGCACCGACGGTACAGGCTCGGTTGATGGAATCTCGCGGTGGGGTTTTATTGTCTTTCCCCAACACTGTACCGAAGCTCTTGATATCCATCTCCAAGGATGTCGAAGCGCCCTGCTGTCGCGCGGGCTGGGCCTCCGGTTTGATGCGAGTGAGACGGCTGCGCCAACTCTCTTCCTCTGCCTGGGAGCAGGCAGTCATGATTATTTCATAAAGATGAGAACCGCATTCGAAGATCAATTTCCATGAAAAAGGGGTGGTCTGACACTGCAGGCCTGGCCTAGGAGTTAAAAAAACACATACCTGTTTCGGAAAAGCAGAACATACCATGATCGTTTGTCGTTGTCTCGACTCGGGCGTCATCCAGATTTACGCAGAGCATGATTGTGTAGATCTGATCTACCTTGCCGGCCCAAGCGAGACACAGCATGTCTTTATACAATAGCGAAATGACGTACTGACCTTTGATTCCGTCGGCCGCTGACCAGATCACATGCAGAGCACCGCACATTTGGATTCTGCCAAAGCCACGGACTTGGTTCTTGGTCATGGCATCGATTCTCTGAAGTCTTGTCAGCGTACGCTTGGTATGACGGCAGAATCACGCACTCTACCGGGAAATACCAGCCGATCCTGCAAAAGCCAAGTTTTCTCGAGAACAGCCCGGACATTGGGATCATTGGTGTTGCGATTCAAAGCTAAAGTCGCCTCTTGTAGTCGGAACAGCGCCGTGTCGACTTCCATGTGCGAGTTTGGGCAGTCAGCCGCCGTGGTGGACCTGGCGAGCTGGTCGAACAGCAGTGGATATTTCGTCACACGCTGGACAGGCTGAAGGCCATCGATATCAGCATTGCCAGAGATCAAGTCGAATCGACATACCTTCATCAGCAAGTCGTCTAGCGTTGAAGCCCTTTTCAGCGAAGCGGACGGTGGCTTGGACGGTTCGAGAGTTGAAGCAAGGGCTTCAATGCCGCGCTGGTAAAAGGCCTTGCCTGGCGTGTTGGGTTGCGTCGCAAGATGGATTTCCGCTGCAACAAGACCATGTTTCGCCCCGTACTCTTCATATACGAAGAAACGACCGAGCTTGTGGCTGGTCAGCGGTGCTCACTTTCGGTCAACACACCTCTGAACAACGCACCCGTCTGATGAAGATATCCGCAACTTCAGCCGCGGTCTGAGACCCAGCCAGTAGCCCATGAGATCTGTGGATGAGGGCGTACCTGCCTCCATGCTCTGGGACAGTATCTAGGCTTCGCCAACGCTTGTGCCCAGTGACATTGTGAACGCTGCGGGTGCTGCCACCTGGCAATGAAGCGGATTGGTCGGCATTGTAGTGAGAATATTCGGAAAACGGAATTCTTCGATGGAGTTCTCCGAGGATTTCCTCGTGCAGCTCAAGTATCTCATTCAGGTTTCGGCTGAAAGATGTCCGAAGACCTCTGGCATGGCTCGGCAGAGGGGCTAACATGGTCACGAAAACCTGGAAGCATTAGCAACTGCCACAAGGCGCAACCGAATATCTCACATTGATCAAGAAGCGGAGATCCCCAACGTAACTCTCCTCAGTCGCGATAAGTTCTTCCAGTATAAGGCGTCTGTGCACCGCGCGATCTGCGGCTGCCTTGTCTTCCTGGACTGATCGCTCCAACAGTGTGCTGTCTTCAGACGTTCGAGTCATATAAAGAGATGCTCTGCTGCTCCGGTCTGCCTGTGGCCACATAGGTGTTCCTTTTCTGGACCCAAAACGGCCTGCGCTCCTTGCACTGACGAGGCTGACACTAGCACTTCGCATATTCGCAACGAAGCCAAAGGAAGATCCAGTTGAAGACGCGAAATGCCGAGAGCTGCGGGAAAACGGTGTCTTTCGCATGTCTGGGGCGTCGAAAAGCTGCCCCTCTGCGCCAGTTCTCCCGGAAACCGAAGGACGACACTCTGCCCGCCTGTGCAAGGACCGCACCCATCTGGAAAATGGTCCTCGCGGGAGCTTCTGACTGTTCTCTGACGGGCCTTGGCCACCAGAAAGATTGCTGGGAAGCTCTTCCGAATGCTCTTTAGAGGCGGACCCATGTGTTTGACACTGGCCTAACGTACCCTCAAATGGCCTGAAGCCTTCTTCCATGGTCTGGTCAAGGCTGGATGACAGGTTGTAACGATCTCTTGGACGGGTTGGTGGTCGCATTCCGCCAAAAGAGTCTGTTTCGTTCGCAGAGGGTGTCCCGGCATCGTGAAGATCATCGTGTACGCCACGACCGCTGTTGACGAGGGCATCTCCTTTGCCAGCTTCCATAGTGAGAAGTGAAGAGAATCAAATGATGACAATGATCTCAACAGGCGTGTATCATCTGCTCCAAGAAACCAAAGAGCCAAAAAGTGTCGCGCAGAACGGATTAGTACAACATGACTGGTGGACGGTACTTAAAGATGGCAGATGCAGAACTCGACCAGCAATAGCGACAAGCAACAAGGCTTCGTTTGAAGATGATGGCATGTCTGAGCTGATGATGACATGCCCAATTCGGTGATTTTGGCAAGAGCGAGGACGTGGCACGCTCGCCGTCATCAAAGACGGATGACACTTTGGGGAAAGAACCCAGCAGACTCTCTGGCAGATAAGCTTTGCGCGTCTAGCATGGAAGAGCACCGTTCCAGTTCCATGCAGTGAAGCGTTGTTCGTTTAGGAGGCCCGATTTCTCTCAATGAATAGCCGTAGCCGGCATGACAAGTCTTTGGAGATCTCAAGTAGCTTGTTGGAAGGCGTTCGATGAAGGACAACCCACAGGATAGATAGACTATCTCAGATATACGAGCACTGACTCAAAACCCTCGCGATCTACACTCTGAGCTCAGGCGTCTAATTGCCACTGGTAGTTCGTCGAGATAGGCGTCGGAACACGCGGGCCAGCGCCAACCTGGATGGCCAAACCGCAGCTTGGATTAGCGCTCACCTCAAACACGCACACTCAAGGCCCTAGGCAGGTTTGGAATCGAGTTCAAATCGCAAGTGCTGCGATTATTCAACTTCGCCATGGGAACTGGAAGCGGTGTATTCGCTATGACCACAGTCCCACCGCAAAACAATGTGTGCCATTTCGGATCTACTGGTGGGCAGTGTCGGGACAATTGGTGAGACAGAATGCGAGACGAGGTATGCGAACTTTCAAGGTACAACTAAGAAACCGCTTGATGTCAGGCCCGCTTCGTCGCTCACACTGGTGAACGAATGTAGGAGTTCGGCCTAAAGACATCAGCAGTCTTGGAAGATACACAGCAGCATCCATTGCAGCAGAAGTGCCGATACATTACGCCTGTATAGACAGTAAACTGTCAGGACTAACACTGGCACGGTCAAGCAGCCAAGTGCTCTTCTTATTCTGACAGATATTTTCATGCTAACCGCATTTGGGCAAGTTTCAGGTCCCAGACGTGGGGCGGAGGCGGAAAAAAAGATGCTCGACTGGCGAAGATGTGAACACGTTGAGCTTTTGCTGGACGCACTTTCGCCATGTCCAAGCGAGGACCGGTGACTACAAGATCGATACCATCCTGACATTTTGCCTCTTGATCCTCTTCCAGCGTGGGGAATCTTAAATCTAGACTCTCTGTTGCTGATAAATCTGCCCACACTGCATCCTTCCAGCATGTTGCCATGCTGAGACTGAACTTCTCAATCCCCTTCGTTTCTTGAACTCTTCCACTTTTCTTACATTTACGTCGAGGCTCCATTGTTAGGCTTTTTAAGTTACCTCGCGCTGGTTGTTCGTTAGTAAGCTAGCGATATTTCCGACCGGCCGATCTGCCCCAAACCCAGGGTGCGCGCTTCGTCTCGGCCTATCGCAGCGCAGCGCATCATTGCGCATCTCTTTGCCTTTCGCAACCACCTCCAACTCTCCCAACTCACCACTATCACCACCACATCGCCCAACATGGAGGCCGCCTTTGCTCGTCCCACCAAGCAGGTGCTTGCCAATTTCTCCGTGAGCGAGAACACCGGCCTCACGGACGCTCAGGTCGAGTCCTTGAGAAGCAAGCATGGCAGCAATGGTTCGCTACACCCTGCCCCTCCTTACTACCTCTTGCTGACCTGTGTACCACAGCCATCGCGGAAGAACCCCCGACCCCGATCTGGGAGCTGATCCTCGAGCAATTCAAAGACCAGCTCGTCATCATCCTCCTCGGTTCGGCCGTCGTTTCCTTCGTACTCGCTCTCTTCGAGGAGGAGGGTGGCTGGAGTGCTTTTGTCGACCCAGCAGTGGTACGTAAGCCTGGTGGACGTCCGTTCGGCTCGGCGCCCCACTATAGACTCGAGGGACGCGCAAGACGACTAACGCTGATTGCAGATCCTCACGATCCTCATCCTGAACGCCGTTGTCGGAGTCTCGCAGGAAAGCAGCGCCGAGAAGGCCATTGCCGCCCTGCAGGAGTACTCGGCCAACGAGGCCAACGTCCTCCGCAATGGTCACATCTCCCGCCTCAGGGCTGACTTGCTTGTGCCCGGTGACATTGTCTCGATCGCTGTTGGAGACCGCATCCCGGCCGACTGCCGTATCGTCGCGATCGAAAGCAACAGCTTCGCTGTGGACCAGGCTATCCTGACTGGAGAGAGCGAGAGCGTTCGCAAGGATGCTCTGACCATCGTTGAGGATGAGAAGGCTGTCCTGCAGGACCAGACCAACATGCTCTTTTCCGGTACCACTGTCGTCAAGGGGAAGGCCAAGGCCGTCGTTGTCTTGACCGGACCCAACACGGCCATTGGCGACATCCACGAGAGCATCACGGCCCAGATTTCCGAGCCCACGCCTCTCAAGCAGAAGCTCAACGATTTTGGCGACAAGCTGGCCAAGGTTATCACTGTGATTTGCATCCTCGTCTGGCTCATCAATGTCCCCAACTTCAATGACCCCAGCCACGGCTCATGGGCCAAGGGCGCCATCTACTATCTCAAGATCGCCGTCTCGCTGGGTGTGGCTGCCATCCCCGAGGGTCTCGCTGTCGTCATCACCACTTGCCTGGCTCTGGGTACGCGCAAGATGGCCGCTAAGAACGCTGTTGTGCGCAGCCTTCCGTCTGTCGAGACCCTGGGAAGCTGCAGCGTCATCTGCTCTGACAAGACTGGCACTCTCACTACAAACCAAATGAGCGTCAACAAGATGGTCTACCTCGACGACAGTGGCTCCGACCTTGTTGAGCTTGACGTCGAGGGCACCACTTTCGCTCCCAAGGGTGACATCAAGCTAAACGGCAAGGTTGTCGACAATCTGACCAAGAGCTCTGACACGGTCCGACGTATGGCTGAGGTCGCAGCTCTCTGCAACGATGCTCGTCTCGCCTACGACTCGCGCAGTGGCGTCTTCTCCAACGTCGGCGAGGCCACGGAAGGTGCCCTGAGGACTCTCGCGGAGAAGATTGGCCCTTGTGCCCCTGCCAATACTCACCCCGAGGACTGCGTTCACTACGCCAGCGCAAACCATGAAAAAGCCCTCTCTCGTCTGGCTACCTTTGAGTTCTCTCGCGACCGCAAGAGCATGTCTGTGCTTGCCGCCAACGGCAAAGCGAAGAAGCTCCTTGTGAAGGGTGCCCCCGAGTCCATCATCGATCGCTGCTCGCACGCTCTGCTGGGTGCTGGCGGCAAGCAGGTGGCCCTCAACAAGAAGCTCTCCGACCTTCTCCTCAAGGAGGTTGTTGAGTACGGCAACCGTGGACTTCGTGTCATCGCCTTGGCTAGCGTGGATGATGTGTCCGATAACCCCCTGATCAAGAACGCCCAGACCACGGAGCAGTACGCGCAGCTCGAGCAGAACATGACTTTCCTCGGTATGGTTGGTATGCTGGACCCTCCCCGTGAGGAAGTCCCCGGTTCCATCCGTCAGTGCAAGGAAGCCGGCATCCGTGTCATCGTCATAACCGGCGACAACCGCAACACCGCCGAGAGCATCTGCCGTCAAATCGGCGTCTTCACGCAGCACGAAGATCTCAAGGGCAAGAGCTACACTGGACGCGAATTTGACAACCTGAGCCCCAGCGAGCAACTTGAGGCTGCCAAGAACGCGTCCCTGTTCTCCCGTGTCGAACCTGGCCACAAGTCCAAGTTGGTCGACCTGCTCCAGTCTCTCGGCGAGGTCGTTGCCATGACCGGCGACGGCGTCAACGACGCGCCCGCCCTCAAGAAGGCTGACATTGGTGTTGCCATGGGCTCCGGTACCGACGTCTCTAAGCTCGCGGCCGACATGGTCCTGGCCGACAGCAACTTTGCCACGATTGAGGTGGCGATTGAGGAAGGCCGTGCCATCTACAACAACACGCAGCAGTTCATCCGCTACCTGATCTCTTCCAACATTGGCGAGGTCGTGTCCATCTTCCTCACCGCCGCCCTCGGCATGCCCGAGGCTCTTGTGCCCGTGCAGCTCCTCTGGGTCAACCTGGTCACCGATGGTCTGCCTGCCACTGCGCTTTCCTTCAACCCCCCTGACCACGACATTATGAGGCGCCAGCCACGCAAGAGGGACGAGGTCCTCATTGGAGGCTGGCTCTTCGTTCGCTACCTCGTCATCGGTACCTATGTTGGCCTGGCCACTGTTGCTGGATACGCCTGGTGGTTCATGTACAACCCTGAAGGACCCCAGATCAGCTTCAAGCAGCTGTCCCGCTTCCACCACTGCTCGGCCGACTTCCCCGAGATTGGCTGCGACATGTTCTCCAACGACATGGCCAAGGCTGGCTCGACCGTGTCGCTGTCTATCCTGGTCGTCATTGAAATGTTCAACGCTATGAACGCCCTGTCGTCAAGCGAGTCCCTGCTCACCCTGCCCCTGTGGAAGAACATGATGCTGGTCTATGCCATCGCCTTGTCAATGGCTCTTCACTTTGCCCTGCTTTACACTCCTGTCCTTCAGGGTCTGTTCTCCATCCTACCCCTCAACGCCACCGAGTGGAAGGCAGTTGTCGTCATCAGTGCGCCCGTCGTGTAAGTTTTGGACCTATCAAGTGTGATGGAAAGTTCGCTAACGATTTAAAGTCTCCTTGATGAGATACTCAAGCTCATCGAGCGCCAGTTCTTCATGCAGAAGACGACGGAAATTGATCTCAAGGCTAAGAAGGAGCAGTAGAGGGATAGATAGTAGAGGAGGATCATGTTCGCTAGACACTCCTCCAAATAGACAACATGTACACTTAGCTTGTAGACGTGTCTGTGGGTCCTTGGGCTGCATAGCACTTTAGGTTCCGCGGGAATAGACCTGTTCGAGCATGCATCACAAGAATCGTCAGCAGTGTGTGGTGCATCACTCGTCCCTTGGCATTTGAGCGAGTATCTAGTATAGTCAAACAGATGCAACCTTGGCCCCATTCGTCCCATTCGTTCATCATGAAAGTTGCCTCCGCCTAGTCCTGGCGGCCCTTCAGTAAGCGCTTGGTGACCTTGTCCTTTTCGATGATGTAGACGTGGGCACCCCAGCCGGAGAGGGCATCGCGGTCGACCGCGTTGAGCAGCGCTTGCGAAATGGTCTCGAAGAGCGCATCGGGTTCCTACCAGAGTCAGCACAGAGGACATCAGCCGAGGCAGTCGCAGCAAAATAACTAACCAGATCCGGCTCCCAGAGCCCCTCGCACATGCCGAACAGCTGCTCCGACGCCGTGCCCGACACGATAAAGTCCTTTGCGAAATCAATGCACCCAATGCTGTCGAACCCGCAGATAAAAGGCTTGCCCGTCGTGGGATCCAAGCCAGCCACCACTGGACTGACAAAGTATGGTCCGAACCGTTTCTCATACAGGCTCGACGAGACGAGGTTGGCGAACGTGCGGGGCGAGATGGACCGCTCCTCGCGGAGGCGGTACATGTTGGTCTTGTAGCGGAAGACGTCGGAGACGGTGCTCACGTCGGTGGCGAGGCCCGTGAGGCCGAGGAAGACATTGTCGCCGTAGCGGAAGATCTTGGGAAAGTTGTTGGAGATGGTGAGAGACTGCATGCCCAGGCGCAGGTCACAGGCAATGGCAACGCAGTCCTTGCCAACCATGGCGACGGCGGCACCACCGTCTAGTGATCGAGGTTAGCAACGATGGGGGGGGAGTCGGGGTCGGCCGGTGAACGAACTTATCGAGAAGGGTGAAGACTGCAGACAGGCATCATATGTTAGCTGGTGACGCTTCTCGACGCTGGGGACGGAATCGACGTACCATGGCGACTGTGGTGGAGACCTAGTCCCCTCTGTAGGAGATGAATACGTAACTCTTACTCGGGACGTCAACTTGACAAGATCGTCGTATGAACCTGTGTCGTGTTGGCGGAGGATGATGGCATTCAAAGTCGTCGCGGAGATGATGCAGCTTGGAGCTCCCCAGGTGCGTTTAGCGGAGAGCGCCTCAAGGCAAACAGCCATGGCGCGGACAGTCGAGCCTGGGGGTTCCACAGGCGTTGTTTGATTGGTTGGGTTACACAGGTGCTGGACAGCCCACCTCGAACTGGCGTTGACTCGCTGGAGGAGCTCTTACCTCACCGTGCCGCTGCCTGCGGATGCTTCGAGAACAGCGTGAGCTTACGAACAACCACTCTTTCATATACTCGCCCATGAACCGCGCTGCTTCACGATAAGGATCTCTCATCGAAGAAAAGAGGCCGACTCCGCATATTTCCATATTCCTGTTCGCAATCCTCATCTCGGCGAATTCGTCCATCTCTCTCGCCAAGTACTTGCATAACCCCACCATTCAATCACCCAAGGACATTCAAACCGACCGAATCCCGAGCTACCATCACGGTTGATAGTAGTCGCGAACAACCGGGGAAATCACAGGCATTCGGGGAATAGCATGTCCTCACACGTCGTGGTCATTGGACCAGGCGCAAGGCGCGCAACAGTCAAGGTATCGCCGGGCACCTACTTATCCGACGTCCTGCAGCAGGCGTGCAAGAGCCTCAACCTTCCGAGCGACAAGTATGTTGCCAAACACAAGGCGAAACAGGTCGATCTATCTGTGCCCTTCCGCACCTCTGGCCTCAGCCCTGGGGCCAAACTCGACCTCGTCCTCAAGTCCAACACGCCCTCAGCCATCCAAGTCGCCCTGCAGCTACCACAGCCCGAAGCCAAGGATATCCCCGGCGGTCGGTTAATAAGGAAGTTTCCCAGTGACTTGACGCTATGGCAACTCCTACGGCAGTTTGAAAGCGGCGATGCGAGTGCAGGGAGGAATATCAATATCACTGCTCGGGGCGTGGCCCAGATGTCCAACGAGACGGCGACCGCAGGGAGTGGACAGCTATGCTACGAGACCCCGGTGTTGAACATTATGGGAAGGGAGCTGTCAACCTTGGACGATTTTCAAAAGACGCTCTCGCAACTTGGATATAACTCGGGAAGTGTCCTCATACGACTTACCTACAAAGTAACAGATCAAACGCTGTACGACACGTTGGAACGCATTGGACAGTACTTCAAGGATGTGGAGGATACGTTACCCAAGCCAACTTCTGCGACAGCGGCAGCAGACACCCCCTCGGTCGAGGCGCCTACATCAGTACAGACAGTCGATTCTCCGATGCCGGACGTTGCGCCCACCAGCCAGGAGCCCAAGCCAACAGCTCCTGAAACGGCGCCAGCGCCGTCCAAGGAATCGGACGCCATCGATGTGCCAGATCTTGCGTCAAAGGACCCATTTCAGCCTTCCCATGTGTATTTGGCACCGTCAAGCGATGTCCCGGCTGCCGCCAAGGCACCAGTGCGCGAGGTGGATTACACGCCGACAATCGCGCATGCTCAGTTACACCAAGCTCGTCTACAGGAAAACTCCAGGAACAAGCGTTTGTTGTCAGACAAGGAACTCGAAGAAAAGGCGGCGGCCGAAGAAGCCAAGTTCGCCGCTGTCAAAACTGTCAGTGTCAAGGTCCGTTTCCCAGACAACACCAGCAGTGAATGGGTGGTTGGTCACGGGGAGACGGGCGGCTTTATGTATGAGGCTGTCAGGCATGTCATGGCGGACCAGAGCCAGCCTTTCAAGCTCATCATCTCGGGTGGACGGACGGTGATCAGGGATGACAGCAGCGCGAGCAACAGCCTTATCAGAGCGTACAAACTGACTGGCAGGACGCTAGTCAACTTGATCTGGGACGACAGCGTATCCGCCGAGGTGCGGAAGAAGCCCTTCCTCAAATCCAGCGTGGCAAGTCAAGGCGAGTCCGTCAAGATTCCCGAGGTACCTGATGTAGAGGAGGAAGAACCTGAGGCAGCACAATTTGTCGAGCCCAAGAGGGAAGAGAAGAGCAAAGGCGATGGCCTGGGCAAGAAGATGCCCAAATGGCTCAAGATGGGCAAGAAGTAATCCCATGTTGACTGACTGGTCCTTTGCCCATAGCGAGCTTGGATGGTAGCAACGCACACTGCATAGCGCTGTTTAACCCGACAATGAAAATCACAATCAAGAAAAAAGGCAACACATCTTGGTGAACTTGGTGTTGATTTTTCCTCTCGGCGCAGCCAAGCCTTCTGCGACGGTATATCATAAGCCGATCATTTCACATGAATCGAGAGAGACCACGCCAGAACCGATGCCCGTAAACAAATGAACCCAGGTATTCGTCATTCCTTTTCTGCCGTCGCTATTTTGTTGGCTCATCTCCACGTCTCAGCGTGTGGAGGTACCGAGTTGACAAGCGATTTGTCTTCTCGAGTTTAGTGGCCAGCACGGCGCGACTCGGCGATGACACGCTGGAGCTCATCAACCTTCTTCTTGGCACGGCCAAAGGTACCGAGCTAGACAGGGTTAGCGACATGATCCCGAGGCATCGACAAGTTCCAGGACATACCCTCTTCTTGGCGAGCTTACGGGCACGCTTGTCACGAGAGTTGCGGAGCAACTCAATGACACGGCGCTCGTAGGGGGCGAGGCTGGGCAGGCGTTAGCATGAGAACATTTGAGACAGCTGACAGTGCAATTGCCTCGACTGCCATGGAGGAGCAACTCACCCAGCGACCTCCTTGACGACATCACGGACAAACGCGGTGCGCTTGCTCAGGTGACCCTTGGTCTTGGAAACACGGGGCTTGACAACGCGAGCAGTCGTCTTCTATGATCCGAGAAACACAGCATGTCAGCGTCCATCATCTGCCAGGTAGGAGTTTTCGTCGAGGGAACCGAAAGAGAAAAGGCGAAGAAAAGAACGACACAATAACGCGTGTGCACTTTTGTCCATTCTCAGTCCCACAACCTAGAAGCAGAGATCCTCCACGAGGTGAGACTTGTATATAGACATTGTGTGTGATGGTTTGTATGTGTTCGCTCGATTCGACGGTCTTCTCTTTCTTTTCGGTTCGGTGTTTGTCGACGGGGATGTTTTTGGTATTTCAACGTACGTGGCCACGGTTCTGACCAATGGTCAGACCGGTCTTTGCGGGAGCCTCCTTTGCCATTGTGATGGTGATAGGCGATGTGGTTGCTGGAGGGTTAGTTTGACGATGGGAAGAGATGCGTCGTACTTCGGGGCGGCGGAAATTTCGCTAGAGGGTGTGGGGTGGGCTTGCGGTTGCAGGGGGGCAATTTTTCCCAGCGAGAATTTGTGCGGTCACGTGCCAGGGTATCCGCGGGCTCGTGGTGCACGGACCCTTTTAGACCGAGAGATCGGGGCTTGGCGCCGGCCGACAACGACCAGGAATGGTGCACCGCATTTCAACCGCAGATCCAGCTCTGAGTGCCAATCATTTCATTGTCTCACATGCTCTGTGCCTCTGATGAAGAGCGGCTTCGGCGAATCGATCTCACTTCGCCAATCTTGCCGCAGATTCTCGCATCGGTCCAGGTCCTATGCTGGTAGCCGGTTCTGTAGGACGAGTCAGCTTCAGGCACTGCATGACTGACTGGCTTTCCTGCCTGGCGCTGGGCTTACGTTAGACTTTTCACGACCATTACATTCAGTCATGTCCAGGCCTTGGATTGTAGGGTGTCTTTGAGATCCCAGTGACGCCGGGTGGGTTGATATGTTTCACTCGTTGGCGAAGTCGCCCCGATCGTCTTCATGGTTGCCGCTCTCGATCATCGCGTCCATCCGGGACTTAGACAAACGTTGTCCTGGTACCTGAGCCAGTGAATGTGGCGCTTGGGCGGCGCGGTGCTTGCAGGCTCCATACCTACGTATATCGACGTCAAGCGTGGAGATACATTGTCCATGGACGCCTGCCGAGTTCGACGTTTATATATCTTATTTCCCAGCTGCTGGCTCAGTTTCGTTTTTTTCCAAAATACACTATCTTCCAATGAACAATCTTAACTAAGCTACACGAAATGATCTCCTCTTTGTTGCTTGGTATTCTGCCCAGTGTTGCGTACGGCGCGCAGCTGGCTTACTCGCCTCCTCAGGCCTTGATGGCCTTTGCAGTGGCAGCTGACGATTGTATCTTTCCAGCCGACTTCGAGGTTCGAGACTTTGGTGGCATATCGAATAGCACGAATGGCACCACACTTAGGTCCCTCGACTTCTCCTTCACCAGTACGGACACTGAGGTGACGACGCTATGCCACTACAACTCTACCTCGGAGCCATCTGTGCCCCCTGGCAGAACCCCGAGATACAAATGCGAGGACGGGGACGTTGAGTTCATCTGGGAGAACGACAAGACGCGGTTAACGATGATCGAGAGGGTTTGTTCCGGATCTGACGGGTATGTTCACGTGATTCTTTGCCCAGAAGTTGTCGTTAACCACATCACAGCGTGCCCGACTATGAGGCTGCAGGGAGCGTCCGTATTCCCTTGACCTGCAAGCCCATGGGAAAGTGTGCTACAAATGCAACGGTGAACAATGGCAAGTTCACCAATATCTCTCCCGCCGCTACATTCAGTGTGTAAGGGGAGGCGATCGCGCATTTGAGAAGAGATAGAGGTTCACACTGGGAGATATATTGTATGCATAAAGATAGGCATCTTGGAAACAATAAGCGTGCCTTTTGGATCTGAATGGAGTTGCAGCGACATCTGGAGATCTGAAAGTGACGTGCGTGCCCCTGGGCCCTGGCGCCAGCGGCTTGCAGACGCCCCTGCAGCCTCCGCGTTTTCTATCCAGGCCAATGACCTCACCCACAACATCCAGACACAATACTGTCTACAACTTACAGGTACTCTTGAGTGTAATCGGATTTCTACTACACGTCACAAGTCAAGACTTGAATTTCTAAGATATTCAGTGCACGTTTATGTTGGAGGAGATACAAATATTGTTCACGTTCTTTTGGTTGTCATTATAGTGAGCGCAAGCTTGTGCGTGCTCCAGCAACTGGGTGTTCTCACACCTTGACTTAGCCATCCTACATTTCTGTCACTCAGTGACGGACCCACCGAGACCACGAGACCCTCCAGCTATGTACCGGCGCTTTAATCATGTCTTGACCAACATTTGTGATCATGCTGCTGCGCCATCTGATAGTGCACCGACGGTGCGTCATGTCTTCTGGCTAAAGCCAACTTCTCATCCAGATTTCTCCGGGGCAATCGATCCTGCTCTGGACGCTGCTTCTTTGCGCAAACGCAACCGGAACTCAATGGTCGCGTGAGGTCGCATACTTGGCCACTCTCCAAGTCTGGCACGCACTGCACCATCAAGTCTCCGAACCATGCTCTGGAACCGACGAGGGCTCCTAGCCCATATATCGAGTCTTGCTCTCTTTGCGACGACGACGACGACGAATGGTGCGGCAATCGATGCGCAACAGCCTCTCGCGCCTCCCGAGGGTGTTATGCCAACGACCATCTCCACGCCCTTCTTCGCCGAACTCGAGCGCCTTGCCCGCCTTGTCGACATCAGTTACTGTATCGGAAACACGGGCGTCAGTGAACCCTTTCAATGCGTTTCCCGCTGTAACGAGTTCCCCACGGTTTCGCTCGTTACGACATGGAATACGGGTCTACTTATGAGTGACAGCTGCGGCTACGTGGCCATCGATGACGGAGAGCGGAGGAACGACACGAGCCCTGATGACAGAGACGATTTTGGGGAGAAGGCAATCATTGTAGCCTTTCGTGGAACGTATAGCATCACCAATACGGTGGTGGACCTCAGCACAACACCGCAAAAGTACACATCATACCCTTCACCAGACCATGGAGGCGGCGAGCCGCCGGAGAAACCATCGCATGAGTGTTCAAACTGCACTGTGCACTCGGGCTTCCTGCAATCGTGGAAGACGGCGCGGGAGGAGGTGATCCCACAGCTGATCAACCTGAGGGAGCAGCATCCCGACTACCCAGTCCACTTGGTCGGGCACAGTCTGGGCGGCGCGGTTGCCTGTCTGGCCGCGCTGGAGTTGAAGATCTCCCTGGGCTGGGATGATGTGGTTGTCACCACTTTCGGTGAGCCTCGAGTCGGCAACCCTCGGTTTGCTCGTTTCGTGGACGAAGTGTTCGCTCTCAACGGCAAAGAAGACGAAGAAGAAGACTTCGAGAAACGGTCTTACCGCCGCGTGACGCACGTGAATGATCCGGTGCCTCTCCTTCCACTGGATGAATGGGGCTACGAACAACACGCCGGAGAGGTCTTCATCTCCAAGGGGTCACTGTCGCCGTCGGAAACAGATGTTCACAGCTGCGTTGGGTACAACGATCCAAGCTGCAGCGCTGGCGCGGACAGTTATGCGCGCTACAGGCTGTGGCAATTGTTCTTCTCGCACCGCGACTACTTCTGGCGTCTAGGTCTCTGTGTCCCCGGCGGCGACCCTGCGAACTGGGGGAGACAGCCATATGAGTACGACAATGAGCTATGAGCTATAAGGATGCAAGGACGGCGTTGGTGTTTCTATACCCTAGCTATAATTCTCAATATAGGTAGTAGAGAATATTTCATATTTACGAGTCGCCAGATTATCTGGCAGGCATTTGTGTACTTGGTGATAAGTCAGTCATGTCAACCAGGTCAAGCTGCACATTTGAGGTTTTTCACGCCGACCATCCATCAGCCTGCCCCGGCGAGCCGCACTCAGGGATTGCCAATGCCCCGGTGCTCATCTTTGCGGAATCAATAGAACACTGGCACGGGCATTCATGGGCTTCGAGAGCATAAAACCTTCACGTGCGCTGGTCAGTTGGCATCCAGCAACTGCAGACTATGCAGCCCGTAGGGTAAGTAGTCCAGTCATGAATCATGGAGCGAAGCCAACCACCCTCCTCTAGACATGGAGAAGACGCGCCTTACTTTTTCTACCTTGCCATCCGCATGCCACAAATATCGCAGCCATCTTACAATGCAAGCGAGAGCTGCGCCTCTGATGTTCAGGCCGTGTCAGCTGGCACGTGAACCTCTCTAATGATACGAGACTGGAGGGGCGCACAACACCTCTCTCTTGGTCCCAGGCCTGTGAAGATAAGCGCCTCACCCTCACTTGCTTTTCATCCAATCATCCGACCGTGCGCAATGTGGTACACAGCAGATGGCGCCCAAAGTAAACATGACCGATCCAGGAAGCGGTTTCTTGGAGACTGGATTGTCTATTACGGCCGTCAGTAGGCTGCCTGGTGGTGATCGGCAGGATAGGTAATTTACCTGGCTGGACCACTAGAGTGGAAATGTGGGCTCTTCGATATCGCGGCTCGCCCTGCTCGGTGCCCCGGGCTTGCTGGCGCCAGCACCCCCGATTTTCCCAAAAGTCCGCGAAAGGTCTGATGGTTGATTGCGTTGTTGTTGAGCTGCTGCTCAGCCCAGTCTGGGCCAGTCCTGGCAAACGTACGACGTACCTGTAGTGGCTGATGTGCTGTCCTGGCGGATAAGCATGTGACTGGCCCAATCGAGCCTCGTGAGGAGGGTCGATGGTGTATCAACGTGATGTGTGTTCGCGTGCCAAAGCGAGGCAACAGAACGGTGATTGCAGCCGCCGGGTTCAAATTGCCAGCAATATGAAGGGCTGGGAGCTGTAATTACCTTGCTCTTACTGACGACTTGGCAAAGGGCGCAAAATGCTGCGAAGAAAACACTGATCCATACCGCCCGGCTGCCCCTCTTTCTCACAGTCACGGTATCGAAAGCTGAGCCCAGTCCAGTCCAGTCGCGCTCCACTTATCGTTGCTGGCACTCAGCGGTTCTGCCCATCTCTGCCGTCGTGGAAGGTGCTGGATTCGCGCCTGCCAGGCTGCCTTACCGCAAGTTTGGCGCGTGTGCGGACGAGAAACCGGCGACTACAGGGGGGGGTCTTGGGGGTTCAACGTGGACGGCGTTAGGGGGCACGAGGCGCTAATTGCCCCTCGTCCAACGTCGAACCCCCCAAATTATCGCACCTACCCGGCACCCAAGGCCAAAATATAAACACACTGCCATCCTCAACGCCTCAGACAAGACCCTCTCCGCCCCCCCCCATTCTCTTTCTCACCTTGCCTTTTTGCACCACCCCGCAAACGAAACATAACAACAACCCGCGCAACCCACGGCGTGAACCTTTGGAATAACTTTCTCCGTCCTTGACTTGTCACGAAGTACACAATCACCGCAACCATGACTTCCGAGGTGAGTGCTCAGAGCCTATACCCAAACGGTTACCTTTCCATTCCGATGCAGCCACCGCCGGCCGCGATCATACACAACGGCGAGCGGATTTGACCCCTCAGCCCAACGCTCGCGCGCTGCTTAGAGGCTGCTGCGATGCTGCACGTCGCGCGCTTGCGCACAGAGTCATTTTTTGCTTCTAGCGCAAATCCTTTTAGTACGAGACGATGCTAACATCTTTCAGCGTGAAAGGTTTGTTTAGTCCCCAGGTCCGATAGGAGCTGGTCTGCCGAAGCTCCTGACCCCACCTCGAGCCGGCCACTCCCTCCATCACCGCAAGCTGAAGCAGCGCTGACAATGGTGTGTTTGATAGCAAGACTTTCCTCGCCCGCCTCTGCGAGCAGGCCGAGCGCTACGATGAGATGGTCAACTACATGAAGGAGGTTGCCAAGCTGGGCGGTGAGCTCACCGTGGACGAGCGTAACCTGCTGTCCGTGGCCTACAAGAACGTTGTTGGCACCCGCCGTGCCTCGTGGCGCATCATCTCCTCGATCGAGCAGAAGGAGGAGACTAAGGGAACCGACAAGCACGTCTCCACCATCAAGGACTACCGCCTCAAGATTGAGCAGGAGCTCGAGAAGGTCTGCGAGGATGTCTTGAACGTCCTTGACGAGGCTCTCATCCCCAACGCCGCCACCGGCGAGTCCAAGGTCTTCTACCACAAGATGTGGGTTCTCGCGCTCTGGCTGCGCATGCGAATGTAATTGCTGACCCTTTGCTGCAGGAAGGGTGACTACCACCGCTACCTGGCCGAGTTTGCCTCTGGCGAGAAGCGTAAGGGCGCCGCCACGGCCGCTCACGAGGCCTACAAGGTAACATGCCCTGCGACGACGAATTCAATGAAACTATCGACTGACTCCCGTCCCTAGAGCGCTACCGACGTTGCCCAGACTGAGCTGACCCCCACCCACCCCATCCGCCTGGGTCTTGCCCTCAACTTCTCCGTCTTCTACTACGAGATCCTCAACTCGCCTGACCGTGCGTGCCACCTCGCCAAGCAGGCCTTTGACGACGCCATTGCCGAGCTGGACTCTCTTTCCGAGGAGTCGTACCGCGACAGCACGCTCATCATGCAACTGCTCCGCGACAACCTGACCCTGTGGACCTCATCTGACAACGCCGAGGGCGAGCAGGCCACCGAGGCCAAGAAGGAGGAGGGCGAAGCCCCTAAGCCCGCCGAGGAGGAGGCCAAGCCTACTGAGGAGACTGCGCCCGCAGCTGCCTCGTAAAACCCTCTTCTCTACGCGATACCACAGGCGTCTGCAGCCTCAGACGGCCTACCTTTGTTAGCAATGCGGTCGTGATAGCCAACTGACTGCTTGCTGTGCAACACAACACCCGCTCACTCTCACCGTGGCGGCAGGCTAGGGGTTTAGGGGTGGGAGGGGGGACTGGAGTTGGGAGCGATTTTGAGGTTTCGTGGCATGGATTCTTCTTTTGGTGCGCAAATGGTTTTAGGGAAGGCTGTCCTGCCGTGCTCGTGCCTGGACAGCCGTACACTCTCGAAAAACTACGTGGCAGTTAATCCTAAGACTCCCCCTGTCTCCGTGGCCGCGCAACCTCGCTCGCTCTACCCAACACGGGACGCGCCCCATTTCGATACCCCGGTACGATGGAAATGTCCTTTTTCATATCATCAATTTTTCTTTTACTCGTCATACGCGGTGTGCTTTCTCTGTTGTCATTCTGCCAAATCGACGTCGGCTCGGGAGGACGACTGGCTGATTGTGGCTGGCGGCCTCCACAGCTACTCTTGCGAGAGCAGCTTTTGGCTTCGGGAGCGCCATCCTGGTGCTTGCTGGACGTCTTTCTTGTCGGACAGGGCGCTTCGGTCTTTGGGAGGGAGAGATCGCGCGAGCTTGGACGCTAGGAAGGGCAAGACGGGTTGTCTGTCCCATTCGATATGGAGATGGGACGCATGCGCTAGGATGGACCCCGGACGTACTTACTTGCCGAGACGTCGAATAATAAAAAAAGGTATATCTTACCTCTTGTGCGGGGACGCTTGTTGAGAGAGAGAGAGTGTGTGCGTGTCATGATAATCGTCAATTCCAGCAAAATGGGTATAATATGTATATCTGATCCTCGTGTCTTCATCACCAAGGCAGCTGCCGCCGCCATGCATTCAATCGGCACGCCCCAGAAGGCGCGCTGCTCGCTCCAGCCTGTCCAGCCTGTCCTTGAGGCCGCCGCCGCCGCCGCCGTGGTCGCTCCTCTGCGGCTCCTGTGCGTGGTCATATTCGTAGTCGCGGGTCTGGTGGTGCACCGTGTTCTCCTCGCGGTACATTTCGGTTCGGGTGCTGTGGTCCCAGGCATCCTCGCCTTGGCCCTTGTTGGCGGCGGCGCCCCCCATACCGGAGAGGCGACGGGTCAAACGACGCCACAGGCTGCGACGTGGGCGGGTGTGGACAGAGGAGGCGCCTGACGAGGAGCCGGAGCCGGAGCCTGACGAGGCGGCCATGCTGGGGGCGGACGGCGTGGGGGAGATGGGCTCGGGCTCGGCGGCGATGGCGACCTCGTCGCGCCAGACGGCGATGCGGTTCATCTTGTGGGGAGGGAGGTGGTGCACTGTGCGCTCTTCCATGATGATGGTGATGGGCGAGGGAGAAATTGGGCGAGGCTCGAGATGCACGGCTGTGGGTGGATCCCGTCGAGGCTGAGGTGAATTCGAATGAGCGTCGATAGGTTGATTGAAGCACAGGGGCAAACTGATTGTTTGACGATGTCGGATCAGCGAGATCTGCAAGGAGTAGAGTTGTCCAGTGAGTGCGTCGCGTGTGAAGTTGCCCCTTTGGCCGGTTGCCGGCCGTACTTCGCGACTGATCAAGACTCACAAAGCCTTTTAATAAGGTACGGATACGGACAGACGGTAGGGGAGGAGGAGCAGGAGTCTGGGCGGAAGGGAGCCAGCGAATCCGGGGGAGGGAAGGGGGGATGGAATTGTGGTTCGGGGAACTAAGGATTGCAGATTGACACGGTGAATGGCTCTCGTGACCCGTTTCCAGTGCCGACCTGTACGAGTCACGCGGAGGGGAGGCGTTGCTCCGAGTCTCTGATGAGTCCAGCGAGCGAGCGAGCGAGCGACGCGAGCAGGCAGGCAACATACTGTGATTGTTGATGAGGGGACAAGTCCAGGCTTTTGTGCGATTCGGGCGGGAACGAGTGGCACCTCTTGTCGGTGACTACGTACATGTACGTAGCCAGCAGCAGCAGGCACTGTAGCACAATGTCTCGCTGGGGTTGGGAGAGGTGCAGCGACGGGTCGAGAACGCGCTGCCAAGGGAGGCGACGGATGGTGATTCGTGATCAGCCCATTTCTGGCGAGTCACGGATCGATGCTGGTCGGGAGAATGGCCGGGGATCGGAAGCCGTTTTACCTTTTACCTTTTACCACCCTTCCACACCCCCTGCCATCTATGCATCCCGAGATCATACTGTGCCTCAATACTGGGAGTTGCGGGGGTGGATCTCACTCGCAAGGCCGATGAACGGAGGCTGAGGCCCCCGAGGAATGCATCCCACGAGGATTTCATTTGTGAGGGTGCGGAAGAAGGTGCTGGGGTTGTCAACGCCTGGCTGTTCATGCTGGATGTGAAGTGAAGATTCCCATATCGATTGATCTATCCCTTCCATGCTATCCAATGCCCTTGATGATACTTGTACCCAGAAACCAGACCGCAGAGCCAACGCCACGCACGCATGCTCACCATGCCCCGAAAATTAGAATGCACCCATCTCACCTGCTCGGCTGCAGTGTCTCCCAGCCGCCCATTCCGTGACCGCCATCCTCCATCGAGTCCAGGAGGTCCACAGGTCCGCGCTGCTGCTGCTGCTGCTGCGTCGAGCCGACAGATTTCCTAGACACCTCGAGGCTGGACATCGACATGCCCGTATTGCTCCTCGCGGGTAACGCAGGAGCAAACTGCCCATGCTCCGATCCGTTGGAGTGCGCTGATACAGTAGGCGACGTTGCCAGATGTGCTGGCTTCCTCGCCACGGGCGGCGCAGTCTTGCCTCGCGTGGCAGTCGACGCGTTCGATGCCGCCGACGTCGGGCGCAGTGGTTGCTGCAGACCGGCTGGAGGCTGGTGGTGGTGGTGTTGGTGTTGCGATGCTGCAGGAACAGAGGCTGAACTCATGCCTGTGCCCTGCCTGCGCGGCGGGGGAGGCGGTGGCGCCGAACCCTGCTGCTGTTCTAGATTCATCCTCCCGACCTTGGCGGCGAGCGAGCCGTCGTATTGCTGTGCTGGTGGAGGTGGCAGTCTCCTGGGCGTGTTGTGACTACCATTCTGGCCCGACGCGAGGCTGCTCGCCATGTTTCCCGGCAAGGCAACCTTTTCGTACGGCGAGCTCGACAGGCTGCCCGTAAAGGAGCCCCTCGAGGACGAGCGCGATACCGATATCCAGTCCTGCTCCTCGCCGTGCCCAAACGGATTCGACGGACGACGTGGGTTGAGCGCCATGGGCTGCCCGTCCTGGCCCTGCGGCGCGCTCATCCGTGACTTGGCCGTCTGCTTGTTCTCGAGCCACCACTTTTGCCGATCCGAACTGGCCGGCGGCAGCCCCGGTTCAATCGCTTCGTAGCCGATGAGGTCCTCGTCCTCCGTGTCGTCAAAGTCGCCGACGTGCGTGCCCGCGTCGCCCACGTCGGCTCGTCTACGACTGTACAGCTCCTTGCTGATCGCCTCGCGGCGGTCCTCGTCGACAATGTTGACCCGGCACTCGAACGCGGCGTAGACGGGGCGATGGTCGGAGAACCGGAGCGGCGCCGAGTCGTAGAGGAGCTGACGCAGGTTGGCACCCTTGCGGAGGATGCGGTCTGTCCACGCAGGGATACGCGCCTTTTCTCTATAGCATGTTTGTCAGCACGGGGGATCCCACAGAAGGGGCAAAAAAAGAGCAAGAGCATGACGTACGAGGTGTCGTATTCATCCGACCCCACGTCGAAGCGATACGTCGGAAGAAACGAAATGCGCGCCTCGGAGTAGAAGGGAAAGGCCAGACCAGCGACCATCTGCAGGTTCAGCTGGTCGTTCTCGTACAGAGCCTCGAGATCCCGCCTCTTGACAAGCGCCCGCGCCTTGTCCGAGCCCAGACCGATGCGGTAGTTGAAGTCCCCCAGCCAGATGACAGAGTCGTGGTCATCAATGCCCCTGTTGCGCTGGAAGCGTAGCCCGTGATGGATCGTAGCGTAGTCCCTATTCCGCTCGTCGTAGTTGGCGAACCCAGCCGCCAGGTGGGCGGTCACAAAGCAGATCTGCGTGTTGGCGTAGTCGAAGCGGATCGCCACAGCGCCCTTGTTGCCCGCCATGCCGGACAGGCCCGTCTTCTTGACGCTGCCCTCGACGTTCCTGATCTTGCCGAGCGCCGATGTCTTGACAAAGATGCACAGCGCGGCGCCCACGAGCTGCCCGCTACGCAGCAGGACGTACTTCTCGCCGCCGAGCGCGGCCTGGCGTCGGTTGAGCGTGCTCTGGACGGCGTGCTCCCAGAGGCCCCGCCTCGCCGGGTCGCTGTTCATAATTTGCTGAGGGCTGAGCTCTACAATCTCCTGGAATGCCACCGTGTAGATGTCGGGCTGCTCGCTCCCCAGGGCCGGAGGGAACAGCCACGGCGAGAGGTCCTCGTCCACGCCCTCTGTCCGCCCGTTTAGGTTGAACGTGCCCACCCATATACTGATGTTCTTGTACGATGTATACTCCTCGATGCGTTTTCCAAGCTCCATGGAGACATAGTCGCTGATGGGGTCGAACAGATGGACAGGGGCTTGGCTCACGAGGCGGCCTAGTAGCATGTCGATGGTGACCTGCCGCGACGGGTCGACAAAGTTGTTGTGGTAGATGCGCTGCACGGACTTGCGCATGTCAGCGACGGCGCCGGCCAGCGACATCTTGCCGTGTCGGGTGTACGACGACTTGAGCGCGCCCGTGCCCGCGTACGTCTTGGACAGGTTGTCGCCATTGTCCGCCCACAGGCTCGAGTGCCGCATCCAAAAGTCGGACGCTGCGTACACGCCCCGCTGGTGCAGGAAGGCCTCGACGGCCATCTGCGAGATCAGCGTCTGGATCAGGTTTGTCCGATCCAGGCAGTCCAGGCAGTTTGTGCGAAAGACACCATCCTGCTGCAGGACAACCCTCATGTGCCCCGGGCCGCCGCTCTCCTCAGATGCCTCCGCGAGAAAGTAGGAGAATGCGTCTATCGAGTCCTCGACGTACCGACGAATGCCCTTGGCGGCCTCGTATCCAGCGGGGCCCTTTGTCTCTGCGTGGAAGTCGTACCGTGTCTCCCGCAGCAGGGCGTGGTCGGGCGAGCCGCTCATCCCGGCTCGGCTCAGGGGACTGTGCTGTATCCCGTGATGGTAGAGGTTGCTGAGCTCGACCTCGGCGGGCTTCGTCTCGCTGAGGAGGTTGACGACGTGGACGGCCCCGTATGTCTGCTCCAGCTCGTCAAAGTGCTTGTTGAACGAAGGCTGCATGCCCTCTGGTGACCTCGTGACAGTGACCTTTTGCCGCCCTGGGACCAGGTCGGCCGCCTGCTCCCAGAAGACAGGCACCGAGCCTCTGACCTGTGCGTAGGAGAAGAAGACGCCTGCTGGGCTCCAGAAGATGGTCTCTGTCTCTACGAAGTTGGCGACGTGTCCGTCGTCGTCGATCCCGCGCGCGTTGAAACGCGTCCCTGCCCTTCGGCAGGACAACCGTGATATGAGCGTCATGAAGGAGGGCATCCCAGTCCTGGCCTTCAACGGCGATGCCGTCTGTGGGATGGTCATTGTCTTGCAAAACCCTCGAAAGGCCGACGTCAAGATCCTCGACGAGTCGAGCGCCTCCCTCTCCTGGGGCAAGAGCCTTGACCGAAAGAGGACCAGCGGGCTGATCATGAACGAGTTCCACAAGAACGCGTCGTCAAAGTTGTCAATGGCAAAGGAGTTGGTGTTGATCGGCCGGTCCTGCGCTCTGTTGGTCACGTCGAAATCGGTGCTGTAGTAGAAGGAGCCGTTGCTCAGGAGCTTGCGCAGCTCATGGCAGGGGTGCTCCAGGGCGACCTGGTTCCGGCTCAGGTTCTGGCCGTACTGCGATGTCTGGCTGTAGACCGAGGCGGCGTCGGACATGTCGGGCTCGAGGGTCTCGAGGGGCACCACGTCGTCATAGTCGGCACTGCTGAGGCAGTAAAAGGCGACGCCGCCAATCTTCTCCACGGTCTCACCGGGGCTGACGGTGGCGGCCCTGGCAGCGTTCGTGATGACGGCGATGAAGACCTCCCCGTTGACGGCAATCAGACCCAGGGTGCCGTAGATGGGTCGTGGCGTCAGGGGGCGGTACTCCTTGAGCAGCTGCTCCGACGTGGGCGAGAACTCGACCATGCATTTTGCGATGCCGCTTCTCTGGGTCGACGGGAGCGAGGTGTGGGATCCGTTGGGCCCGCCGGCGTCGCTACCGCTGGTCGAGGCGCTGTACCGGAGGATGAGCGTGTGCGTGGTCGAGACGATGGCGATGGAGCGGTTGGGGTAGTCGCGGATGTAGAGCTCGCAAGACTTGTCGGGAGCTGGAGGCTGGGCGCTCCACGCCGTGGGCGGATGGTCCATGATCTCGTGGTGCTCGCTCGTGGGTGGGCGCGCGCGTCAAGATGGGGAGAGGGGGAAGGGCGCTTCGACGATTTAGATGCGCGGACGCATTGTCGACGGAGAAAAGCTGGCCAAGACACAGACAGGGCTATCGATGTTGAGACTCTGGCCAGTCGTATTGACGGTTTGGGCCTTTGGCGTGTGATTAAGATAGGTTGGGTCTTTGTAGCGAAGGTTAGGTGGAGGATGGTCGAGCGTTGGTACGTGTAGTTCGTGTTGGGCGACGTCAGCTACCAGGGATGGATCATGGAATGGAGCTGCTGATTCCCGAACAGCCCAAGAGCAGGACGCGGTTCAGCACTGTGAGTAGGTATGTACTACAGCATCTCCAGAGTCAGGAATCACTCAAGTACATAAAATCATGATGCCCTTTGTTTTTCGGTTTTAAATTATAATTTTTTTCTTTTTGGTAAGTCGGCAACATTGACAACTCGGGCCATGTCTTCTTCCCGAGAAGCAGTCTCACACGTACGAACAGTGGCATCCATGAGTTCAGGGGGATATCAGGATCCAGCATCGAGACGCCCATGTCATCCAGCAGATGTACTTGACTGCCATCACTCACAGTGAGCTCACTTGAGCTTGCGCCTGTCCAGCTCAAAGTCGTCGTAGAATGCAAGGAGAGAGATTGAGCTGAGTGGCCCCACGTCGCACCAAATCTACTGCACTCCAAGCGTCTATCAAGTCGAGAAGAACAAACTGTGCCATTGAGACCAAATGGCAACGAGCAAGAAAAAGTAGCTTTAAAAGGGGCTTCAGATTCGAAGTTGAGATCATGCTCCTCATTGAGGAGCGTTCATTCTCTTCCTATCATATGTTTATGTTGAGAATCATCACAAGCCATGAGGAAGAAGAAGAAAGCCAGACATTTTTTTCGCGTGCGTCGCGCGAATATCAAGCCCACTGTGGTCTGCTGAGTCATCCTATCTCGGAGACATGTGGGCGCTGGTTGACGTGCAGAATCCGGGAGCCGACCAATCAACGCGCCCAGGGTCGAACCTCCAGTCGCTGGCTCGTTCAGCCTCGTACCGTCGCATCATCATCACCAGCACAAGCACCTCGTTGTCCTCAAGTCAAAAACCAACCACAACAGCCACAAACTGACGCATCGCGACACCGTACATACGACAACTGCGTCTCAATCACACACAGGCCGCATCTACCATGGGCGACTTTGCGCTGTATGGCGGCTCCGATGAGGAGTACGCCGCTGTGCGCAAACACAATGCAGAACTGGTGCGTCGCGAGCGCGCAGCCCCTCATGGCGCAATGCTGACCATATCCCCTGTAGGAAGCCGATCCAGACTCGTTCGAGAACTGGGACAACTTCATCAACGCGGTCACTGCGCTCGAGGGCGGCCTCAACAGAAACTCCAGCCCCCAGGCATTGGCGACCTTTCGCGACGCCTACGACCGCCTGCTCGCCAAGTTCCCGCTCTTCTTCGGCTACTGGAAGAAGTATGCCGACGCCGAGTTCAACATTGCCGGCCCAGAGTCGGCCGAGATGGTGTACGAGCGTGGCGTCGCCGCCATCATCAGCTCGGTCGACCTGTGGACGGAGTATTGCTCTTTCAAGATGGAGACGACGCACGACCCCCAGCTCGTCAGAGAGTAAGTATAGCCGACGGGATATCAACCCCTCCTTTCCCCTTTGCCATGCATAACATTACATTACATGCTCGAAGCGCGATGCGAAACAACCAGCCTACCTACTACCTATCTACCTGCCTGCCTGCCCACCCACCTCAGAAGCCCGGGCGCAAGGAAAGCCTCTGAATGACGGGCGGTTTGATGGTGAGATCCTTGCCTGCAGCAGGCCTACCCTCCCGCCGGATTGCTCTCTCACGCTTTCTGATCAGGCATTGTTCATGGTACGCGGGGACAAGTGACGAGTCTCACCTACCTACTTGATTCACCCGGCGCTTGGTATATCATCGCTCGGCGAGCACAGTTCCAAAACTCTTCACACGGCCAGCCCATCTTGTATTGCTCTCCCTCCCCCCAGCCCCTCTCCGCGAGTTCCCGGCCCCGTCGCGGTGAAGACTTTGCTGACTTGACCAACAGACTCTTTGAGCGAGGCGCGGCCTGCGTGGGACTCGACTTTCTGGCGCATCCGTTCTGGGACAAGTACATTGAGTACGAGGAGCGACAGGAGGCGCGAGACCGCGTGTTTGCTCTGCACGTCCGCATCATCGCCATCCCCATGCACCAGTATGCTCGCTACTACGAGCGCTTCCGCGGCCTCTCGCACCAACAGCCCCTGACAAGCCTGGCTGCCCCCGAGACGCTGGCGCGGTTCCGGAGCGAGTGCGAGGCAGAGGTCGCCGCGCTCGGTTTGCCGCCCAAGCCGGAACTGGAGCTTGAGCGGGATGTCCGGACCAGGATCGACAGCATGTACTATGAGACCTTTACGAGAACCCAGAGCGAAGTGTCCAAGAGATGGACCTTTGAGTCTGGTGTCAAGCGCCCCTACTTCCACGTCACCGAGCTGGAGCACCCGGCGTTGCAGACCTGGCGAGACTACCTCGACTTTGAGGAGGCCGAGGGGGACGCGGCCCGCATCGTCTGCCTGTACGAGCGCTGCCTGACGACGTGCGCGCTGTACGACGAGTTCTGGTTCCGGTATGCGCGCTGGATGCACGCGCAAAAGGGCAAGGCGGAGGAGGTGCGGCACATTTACATGCGCGCGAGCACGCTCTTTGTGCCCATCAGCCGTCCGGGCATCCGCCTCATGTGGGCGTACTTTGAGGAGAGCTGCGGCCGGGTGGACGTGGCCAAGGACATTCACGCGGCCATACTCCAGGGGCTCCCGGACGCGGTCGAGGTCATCAAGTCGTGGGCCAACCTGCTGCGCCGGCAGGAAGGACTCGAAGCGGCGGTGCAGCTCTTCAGGTACCACATCAACACGCCGACGGTCGACATGTACACCAAGGCCGCTCTGGTGGCCGAGTGGGCGTGGATGGTCTGGCAGACGAGGCGCCAGGCCGACGCGGCGCGCGAGATCTTCACCGAGAATGTGCAGTGGTACGCGGACAGCCGCATGTTTTGGGAGCGATGGTTCCAGTTTGAGCGCGAGCAGCCCCGCCACCCCGGTCCATCGAGCCAAGCAGACCAGAAGCCTCACAAGGAGCAGGTGGGCCGCCTGCAGCGCATGCGCCATGTGCTGGACGAGATGAGGAATCGCAGTCGGTTGTCAGCGGCCGTCAAGATGCAGCTGGCCCAGGTGTATCTCGACTACCTGGTGCAGTGCGGCGGCTCCAGGGCCATGAAGGAGTTCCTCGCGCTAGATCAGGAGATGTTTGGGTAAGCTTCTCCACTGCACCGTTGCCACTTGTCGCGTCCGCTAACATGTTCCCTCCCCCCCTCTTCTAGGCCTGCGTCTGTAGCAAACATTACCAAGAGATCTGGAGATGTCAAGATCAATGGGGCGCCGGCTCCTGGGGAGCTCGATGCTGCGTCGAGAGCGAGGGCCGAGGCGAGACACTACAATTTCTTCGAGTTGCATACGCTTCCTGATGCGGAGGCACAGGGTCCAGCGGACTTTAATTAATCTACGAGTTAGGGACAATGGAAAAATGGCCTGTTTGATGATGCCAACATTCTGGGCTTTGCTTGCGTGCGGGAACTGACATGAAGCGACGCAGTGCCAGCTCTCCGACTGCGCTCTACTCTACCCCTCCTTCCCTTGACCCCCGTCGAGGTATGTTTGCCTGCTTGCTCACAAACGCGTGAGCTGGCATTGCTGCGATGGTTATGCGGTTGGTGGGTGAGCGAGGAATGCGCTGGCTCACCCTCACCTGCAGACGAGGCGCCAAAACCGGACCCGGACCGCATTTCCAGCCAACGAGCCGCGGCCATTCCTCGTTCGCATGCAGACCGATCACAAGGGCATCAGACTACGGCGATAAGCAGGCGGCCAAGGGACGACAAGGCGAGACGGCTGACTGGCTGCGCAGATCAACATCGGTCGAGGACAGAGGCCACCACCACCACCACCACCACCACCCCGGTGACTCGGATTGGGGGACATGACATTGCGTAATCGCCGTTGGTGCGCAGTGTCACTGAGACATGCAGTCGGAGATGGCGTGGCCCTGGGTGCACGCACGCATGCAAGAAGCATGTACTAAAGGGGCGCATGCCACTCTGGATTGCGAGCGAGTGGAATCGTCAAACTTACATGTACTTGCGTCCCTGATCGCCCTCGAGTGAGCTGGCGCACCACACCGATCGCCTCGTCTTTAAAAAGCCCGCGCAGGACGTGGAGAGATGCCCTCAACCGTCCATCCTCCCACTCCGCCCGCGTCTGACGACGAGACACCTCCCCGCAGCAAGCCTACCAACAGCCCCATGCAGTGCTACAACGCGTCCAAGCGTACCACGGGCTCGGGCTCGGGCTCGAGCTCGAGCTCAAGCTCACGCGCAGGCCCATCTCGGCAGACGCAGGCAGACGCGCAGATGGAGCACCAAGACTGCACGGGGTGCCTGAACCCACTGCCCCGGGACCGCGAGGCAGTCGAGCGTGCACACGTCCTCGAGAGCCTCCCCGACGCCTCGCAGAGCAACTACAGCGGCGCGACGGCCGGTCCGGGGGTCACGCAGTTCAACAACTTCCTCGTCCAGGTGCAGGGGGGTGGCGGGGACCACGGGCCCGACGACGACCTGACGTCCATGTGGCCGTTTGTGTCGAGCAGGACGGAGCGGGCGCGGCACATGGGGGCCTGCAAGACGGGGGTGGGCAAGCAGATCAACGGGCCGGCGCTGCTCATCTCGGGGCGTGCGTCCAAGGCGCCGCTGCCGACGATTACGATTCCGCGGCAGACGCATATTGATCCGGTCATGTCGATGGGTCTGGGGGCGGAGGGCATGGCGTCTGCGGTGGCGGCAGAGGATGCGGCGCAGGTGAATGGCGGGTTTATCTTGTTTCAGGGCGAGTGATGGCTGCTGTGATAGGATACTTGGGGGGTTGTCAGGAAGAGAGGGTTGAGCAAAGGGATGCCGTAGAGTTCGGGGAGCATCGGCCACTGCTCGATGGAGCATTGGTCACACGCGTTGTCTGCGCAAAGACTACTCTTTTCATGATTGCGTACTCATCGATTGGATTGTGTACAAGTCAGCATTGTGAGCCTCGTCCTTCATCGCCAATGCCTGCCAAGATCCTACCTACCAAGCGCACTGTAAGTAGTACATGTACCATTCATCGGCAATGGAGTCCCGAGTCCCGCGAGTCCCCACGTCCCACGAACTTCAGTCCTCTCTCCTCCTCCCTCGCCCCGAAGCGACCCAATGCCACGATCTGGCCTCTCATTCCCCTTGCAAGAGCCGAAGGGCTGTGGGGAAGCCCCAGAAACCCCGCGCCGAACGAAAGGGACGGGGATGACGAGCCAAAAGAGGCTCCGAGAGTGAATGGGATGGCTCGGCCAGGCTTGCCAGCTGCCCAAGTCGGGAATCCCCTCCAACGCCGATTGGTGCGCATCGTCGGCAGTCAGGATCGGACCAGGGGTTCGACCACATTGACCCGGCGCGCATTGGAGGCTTGGCCACGGAGTGCATGTATTGAAAAGAGGGCAAATGACTCACTCACAAGGTAGGTGGTTTCCGCCATGCCCACTGTACAGTCCTCCTCCTCGCCATGAATTTCCTCAGCACGCTCTGGTCCCTGGTCCTCGTGACCACGACCACGACCACGACCACGACCACACTGGCCAGTCCCACGCCCTCCAGCATGGACGTCCGCTCCCATCTCGAGGCACGCGCCGGACAATCACTCGAGGCTTCCTCGCCCGCTGTCTCGTACACCAACACCCTCATCGAGCAGCGTGCCGACCCGCACATCTACAAGCACACGGATGGCCTCTACTACTTCACCGCCAGCGTGCCCGCCTACGATCAGGTCATCCTGCGTCGCGCCGAGACCATTGAGGGCCTCCGCGACGCCCCCGAGACCGTCGTCTATGAGCGCACCGCTACCGAGGGCCCCGGCAGCGGCTACATCTGGGCGCCCGAGATCCACCACATTGACGGGAAGTGGTACATTTACGTCGCCTTTGAGCAGGGCCAGCGTGGCTCCTGGGCCATCCGCCCCGTCGTCTTGGAGGGCACGGGCGACAACCCCCTCGAGGCCACCTGGGAGAACAAGGGCGTCATCGACACGGGCATGGACGACTTCTCGCTCGACATGACCTACTTTGAGGTCAACGGCGTCCGCTACCTCTCCTGGGCCCAGGCAGACGCCAGCTTCGGCTCGGGCACAGGCCTCTTCATCGCCAAGATGGTCAACCCCTGGACCCTCGAGCTCCCCTCCGTCGGCATCTCCTACCCCACGCTCGCCTGGGAGCGCGTCGGCCACAACGTCAACGAGGGCGCCTATGCCATCGTCCGCAACGGCAAGGTCTTCCTGTCCTACTCGGCCAGCGCCACCGACCACAACTACTGCGTTGGCCTGCTCACCGCCGACGAGACGGCCGACCTGACGGACCCCAACGTCTGGAGCAAGGCCCAGGCGCCTGTCTTTGAGAGCTACGAGCCCACGGAGAACTGGGGACCGGGTCACAACTCGTTTACGAAATCCGAGGATGGCCTGAGCGACGTCTTTGTGTACCACTCTCGCGGCTACAAGGATATTGTAGGCGACCCCCTCAACAACCCGGACCGACGCACGCGCGTGCAAAGGTTGTACTGGAAGGCAGACGGCACCCCTGACTTTGGCATCCCCGTCGCGGAGGGCAAGACACCTGTCAAGCTCGCCGCTGCCGGGGGCCATCTGGCCAATAACGGGGACGGTGAACCCATTGTCGTCTCGATGGGGGCGAGCCTGGGACAGACGCTGTTCCGCGTCAACGAGCCTGGTCTGGCGGGGGAGGGCTCTGTCAGCTTGGAGAGCGGTAACTTGCCTGGACACTTTATCAGCAACCAAGACGGTCGTGCCGTGCTGGTCAGTGCGTCGGACTCTGACGCGTTCAAGGCGGCTGCGAGCTTTGAGCAAGTGGCTGGCCTGGCTGGGCAGGGTGTCTCCTTCAAGTCGGGCGATCTGTATCTGAGTGCTGGGTCCTGCGGTGTCAAGTTTATTGAGGCACCGACGGAGGAGGGGGCCACTTTTACTGAGGAGTAGTGGCACCAAAAGATTCTTTCGTCAGTGCCATTATAGACCTATGGGACCTGGCGGCATGTTTGCGTCCCCATTGATCATGTCACCTCTCGTTCAGAGAGTGTACAACCCTGAATGATCGCGTCTGTGCCGGTGCTTGTGTCAATGCAAGGTCGTGATATTGTGGGAAGCTCAGCTCAGCCCTGGCTGCGCGGCCCTTTGAATGAATGCGAATGTCCATGCCCATCCATGCCTTTCCTGCCTGCCCCTGGCTAGATTTCAGGTAGTCAGCTCAGCAATGCCTTGTGGGATCCCGCGTGTCGTGGGCCCATCTGTCTCCCACCGGGCACTGTGCATTACTGAACATTCTTCTTTGGCCTGTAGTCTGGTTAGAGATGTATGGCTTCTGTACGTATGACCACGACGGTGGGAAGTCACGCGCAGCTTGTCATATTCAGTTGGATAGTTGCCATATTGTGTGTGCCTGTCTCAAGA